AAAAACCTATCAGGTAAAGGGTATATATGATATATTTATAGGTACATGCACCTTGGACGCATGTATCTAGTACCAAATTATCAATGAAATGTTGAAGAATCAGTACCAAACACAGAATGTAGAACATTTTACCAGGTTACCAGTTGTTAAAAATCCTCATCTCCAATGGGTCTAGAGTTTACTACAATTTCAATCACAAACCAGAAGATTTTAATTGATTTCATAAAAAATTAGTCACCCTGATTGGTAAGTACACTGATATCATGGTTAAGCTAAAAGCTTCGGTTAGGAATCCATACTAAGAAGAGTGGATTCCCTCTTGAAGAAATCATTGTGAGCAGAAAGTAAATGTTATTCTGCGCTTGCTTTTAGAACTAAAAAAGGATCCTTGCTCCAAAACTACAAGTTATCCAACAAACGCGAAACACAGTATCAACACAGAAGTAATACTAGCCAGCAATCAATTCACAACTAGCTCAAGTGCTACGGACCTAAAGACAAGAATAGTAAAACACCAACACATTCCAGTAATATAGTAATAAAAGTTAAAATTACAGAGTTTTAAATCAAAATTTGAGTCCACAGGACATACATATCTAATATCGAAAGAACCACACAAAATGGCCATACTATCACAGAAAATGGTAAATCACATTAGAAGACATCTTTAATGTTTCATGTACAGCCCTTTTACAGAAGACAAAGGGGAAATTAAAAAGCAATAACAAGAACCAATAGATTAGAAATAAATTAAACCGTATGAAACGTATGCATATGTGGCAAAATTTAACTAGTTGCACACAGAATAAGCTTTCAAGAAACTGCCACTAAATCTGACCTTATGGTGTAACCAAAAAATATTTGACCTTATGGAATCAGTTGCATATAACCACAAACACACACACACACACACACACACACACACAGAGGGAGGGAGAGGGAGGCGAGCACTTTAGTCTCCTGCTACATATACAACATAGAAGACCTCTCTATAATAACTTCAACACAGAGAGAACCTTCCTCTTCAACAATTACCTGGTCAGCAGAATGAATTAGGACAGTTCCTTTGGTCTCCGTTGCAGAGGTATCAACGCCACTAACAAACACAGCAACCTGAAAAGGTATAACAGAATATTAAAGCTGAGAAACCTGAACCTTTCAAAAATATATTTAGACCACATAACATGGCTAAAGGGTTCTTATAATAAAATATTGCAACTGGATCACACAATTAAAAACAGATGTGATCAAGTACAAAGTTAAACAGAAGCGCATTGCAAGTTAAACAGCACGAGAACACTTAAGTTAGTCAATATTCTTCATATCAGCAATTCAAATATTATTAACAATTTTAACTCACAAAACCCAATCTAGTTTAATAATTTAAAAAATCGAGAAATGAAACATTTTAAGAAAACTTTTAACAGATATATGTACAATCCATGAAGCACAAATCACGAAATTTATCTGCTATATATAAGTTAAACAACAAATACAAATGAAACCAAAAAACTACTCTTGGTTATATCACCATAATTCCTCTTAGGGCCACTTTAAGTATATACAAAATTTTTTTTTACCATATTACCACATAATAAGAAACCATAAATCTGTACTAAGCTTGAAAAATTATTGAAACGCTTGTGATGATAAGTAAACATCCACCAATCTATTATATGTTGAGTTTTCAATGGTACATTTTACCGTTTTGCCTTATTTTGACACAATTTTCCCGCTACTAGAAACAAAGAACAGGTACTTCAAATTTGTGGAAATCGGTATAAACAAAAGAAAGGACCCAAAAAATAAACAATGTTAGCCTTTGTAATTCTCAAGTCACATGCATATAGAATCAAAAATCTAAATAATCAAAGGTATAGTGCAGTCCTCTGAACTTCAATATATGAAGAGCTGCACGTCATGACAAGAAGGCTGCTGCACATTTTGAGTATAGCTTATTATTGAAGACTATATGCCTAAAATTAGTGTTTTCAAGGTAAGATCATGAAATCAGAAGCCGTAATCATCACAGTTATAAGAAACTAAAAGAATCACTGTTATGTGGTACATAACCATCCAATATTCATGCCATTATTTGTTCTGATTCCAAACGTTTGAAGTATGACAACCTTTTTTTTTTGGAAATCGAAACGTGACAACTTGGGAAGAGGGCATTGTACGGTACACAGCAGACCAACACCTATCCTATCCTAACTGGTATTAGCTTTGATTAATTATCATCACTTCTACATCATAACAAGTCAACAAACCCACCATTTCCATAGATTTTTCTTACATCATACTATCTCACACAAGCAAACAGCAAGTCAATATAGGCAGCTGGCACTGGCAATCACAAACCAACTTGATGGCATTTAAAGGTAACAAAAAGGCATGATAATCATGCTCATTTTCCTGTTATAATCATTGCATATCTTCTTCCTCACACCCTATATTCCATGCTGCAAGTTTCAATAAAGTACACTCCTATCCATCATTTACAATCAATTTGATATTAGATTCAAAATAATACCCACAGGTACCAGTAAATTGTGTCTTTATAACAAAAACCAAAGGTAAAGAATACTGAACCACTCACAAAATGGTGCTAAAAGACTCAAAGTAATTAGAGAAAGTTGACCAAAAAGTAATTTGCAAAAGACTAAATCTGCCAAAGACCATGAACAAACAGAGCACATCATTTAATGCTATAACATACATATGTTATGAAAAAGTTAAAGTACATAACATAAAAAACTGCTAACCTTGGCCTTCTCCATTCTCTTTATACTCCCCACGGCATCAGTTTTCAACACCATGCCTCGAACTACTGTACAATTATGCAAACCCCCTCCCACAATCTTTGCAACACGTACATTATCCACATTAAAGTTTGCTGGGTTCTTGGGACATACTTGTATGCATGCCTATATTGTCCAATCAAAGAGCTACTATTAGAATTTGCTTACAAAAGTGACATGCTATTCTTCTTTTCTTTTCCTTTTCTTTGCTTCTAAATAGCTGGGTAGCTGACATAGAAAATAAGCAATAACAAATAAGGGCATGCAAGTTATAATTACATCTGCGACAAGTGAGGATAAGATATCTTCTTGTCCGAATTGCTTGCTGGCAACAGCAGCTTTCATTCTACAAACCACTTCTTCTTTGTTGCGAACATCCATTTTCTCAGAACCTTCCTCAACCAGTTCATCTAAGATTTCAATAGTCTGAAATATCCCAAAAATAAAAATAATAATCAGAACGGAAGAATTCCAATAAACCCAAATGGGTAAACAATCAGCAAATCATTTGAATAACCTTTGTGATAGCTTTATTGTATCCACTAATGATCTCACTTGGGTGCAGGCCCATCCTTATAAGCTCCTCTGCGTTTTGCAGGAGCTCCCCAGCAAAAGAAATGGTCAGATTAGCACCGTCACCGATTTCTTCTTGTTGAGCCCTGCCTGCCAAAACCAACAGCTTGGCAGCAGGATGCTGAACCTCAAGCTCATTGACAATGGTGGCAGCATCATTTGTCACAAAGAGCTTGTCCAAATGATTGATTACCATCTTATTCATACCTGAGCAGTAATGAAGAGAAACAAATTTTAAAAAATTAATTGATTTCAACTCTGATCAACTGAGACTGTGAGTTTTAGAGTAAGAAAGCGATACCATTGGGACCCAGAGAAGTTCGTGTGATGGTAGAGAGTTGCTTGCAGGCATCGATGTTCTTCACCACCGCTTCGTCCAAGCCGGAGAGGTGCTTGTGCCCCTCCTTCAGCATCGACTGTATACCGTAGGGCTGCATTGCGAACTACTTCTTTCTTTCTGTTTTCACCAAAACCCTAACCCTAAACCTCTCCTGCCTGCAACTAAAAGCGCTTTTCGTTTTCGAAACAGACAGCGCGGAGCTCCTTCCCTTTTCAAAAATAACACCTCCAACTTTTTCCAAAGAACTTTACTCAGAAGCCCTTGGGCTGGCGACGGAGGTTGATAGTCAGGGTTGGAACTTGGAATGCCTTCCCATAAAAGTAAAAAGGCTTAATATCACAAAATGTTATTAAGGTTTACGAAACTATCAGATTACATTTGTAGTCATCAAGGTTAGTATGTGTACTCACAAATGGTCCCTGTTAGGTTTCATGAAAAAACTATGTTAGTTTGCTAACATGGCATATAATATATATCACAAAACATATATGAAGTTCACACATCTATCAAAAATGGGCCCTGCGAAATTTTTTTTATTTTTTCATTTAAAATTCATAAAATTTTGGTTTTTTTTAAATTTTATGAATTTTAAATTATTTACAAATATATATTATATTTTAAATGCATGTGACACTATATTATTGGAGATGTGTGCTCCACATATATGTCACATCAACAAAGTAATGGAATTTTTAAAAATAATTTAAAATTTATAAAATTTAAAAATGAAAAAAACCAAGAGTTTAGGGATCATAAATGGTCCTCAAGGTTTAAATCCTTTTATAAATGGTTTTTTAATTTTTAAATTTTATGAATTTTTAATTATTTTTTTAAAACTTCATTACTTTGTTGATGTGACATATATGTAGAGCTCATCTCCAATAATATTTTGTCACGTGTATTTAAACTACAATATATATATTTTTAAATAATTTAAAAAAGAAAACCAAAATTTAATGAATTTTAAATGAAAAATAAAAATAAATATCGCGGGACCATTTGTGAGAGGTGCGTGAACCTCAGGAATGTTTTGTGATATATATATATATGCCACATCAGCAAACTAACGAAATTTTTAACGAAACCTAATAGTATAAACCATTTGTGAGCACACATACTAAGCTTGAGGACCACGAATGACATAAAAAAACTTTAAAGATGCAATCTGATAGTTTCGTAAACCAATGGTAATCCTATGCCAGTGAATCGTAGAGCAGCGTCTCATTCAATACAACGGTCAGACCCGTGGGAATAATTTTGAATCTCGAACAATTCTTCACAACCTCTCAACATTGTTGATTGTTGAAAGATTTTTTGCCTTGGCCAATGACATCGAACCACATTTGTGCTTGAATAATCTATAATAAAAAATAAATTGGAAATCCAAGAAAATATCAAAAACTATGACATTAAATTTAAGAAAACAACAATTACCTCGTTGCCAAGATTTTCGCCGCTTCGAACGTTGTTACTCGCCTTTGCCAACGCATCTCTCTATTTCCCTAACTCTTTATTCAAAAAAATTCACCTACTAGCCAAGGCCATTTTCGTACGAAGCAAACCCGATCTTCCACAAAGTTCTCCATGAATTTTCTCCTCATATGAGAGAACTTCATCTCATTGTCTGTGATCGGGCAATGACCAACTTGGACACAATACTCACACAACAAAACATCTTCCATGGTTGTCCACCAGCCTCCGGCTTCGATTGAAGAGGTCATTTGTATTTTTACACAAATGAAATTTAGTAGTAGAAAATTTAGTGTGGAAAATGAATAATATTGGAATGAGAAGAATTCGTATGAAGAATTGGTGTGAAAAGTAAATAATATTCATAGGTATTTATATATAATAAAAATTCAAAATTTTTAGTACTTTTTTCAATTTTTATGCCTTTGGATAGTAGTGGAAGAATGGATTGGACACCCCAGGTAGCGCCACGTGGATTTTATCCATTTGGGGAAAGTAGGCGCAAATGTCAGCGACAAAAATTCAAAATTTTTTTTTACCGTTGGTGTGCGTGATGTGCGCAGTCCCCGCGTGTACGTCACACGCCAATGGTAAAAAAATTTGATTTCTTGCGCTAACGCCGTCATCGGTGACGTCATAGCCCTCAGGCAAGAGGGTGGGCTGATGTTGCCTTGGGCCTTGCCCGGGTTGGTGGAGCCCATCTCTTGCCCAGGCAAGAATGGGGCCCTGGAAACACGAATGAAGGCCTAGGGGGCCTCTTGCTCGGGCTAGGGCATCCAGCTGGAAATGCTCTAACATGACCCGATAAATAATTCATAACATGCACAAATTTTACTCGGATCAACCCGCACAATAAAAAAATTGGGTCAAATTCAAGTCAGTCCACCAAGCTAAGATTAATAAATGGATAGGTGTGAGGCAAACTGTTTGTTAGCTTACTCAACTCATTTTGTGTCAACCCGTCACATTTAAAATGTTTAATTTTGTTAGTTTAAACATAAGATGTATAACATAATACATGCAATATAATAATAATAATTTTAAACTCCAATTTAATAAGTCAATCAACGTAAACTCATAACTATTACTTATATATATATATATAATAAACTTTTTTAAAATAAACAATATTCTAAACTACTCTATTCTCTGGAGATGGGGACTTGAACTTGTGTGCAAGAGTGTGAGCACATTGCCTAACCCACATATGCATAAACACTAAACATCTTGTTTTTTAATAATTTAATCACATTATTATTTTAATTTCAACACTATATTCATCTATCTACTATCTTAGATTAGGACATAAATAATGAATACTCAAATCATTAAACCGCATTGAATTAACATAAAGAAAATCGAACTTTGTCGATTATAAACTGTTTATTACCGAAATATTAGGCCTAGAAAAATGGTCTAAGCCCGATGGGCGAGTCCAAATTCAGTCATATTTTTTGGGCTATGAGTTGGTCCAATATGATATTGTGGACAAGCTTAGCTTAGCCCGTTATGTAAAGGGCATGGCCTGATCCTTGATTTGTAAGCTCATAGGCAACCCGACCTCACCCGATATTATAATTAATCAATTACCATTAATTAAAATTATATTTAAGGATATTATAAGATAACTATTAAATTATGAAAGTGATGTCTTAATTATTATACTGTGGAATTATTGATAAGTCCTTGGAAGTACCATAATGTACACATCACGCCTCACGCTATGATGTCTCTACTATAGTTTTTTTGGGGGAGTAATATATTGGATTGCCTCAAGATTGTCTTCTAGGTGATTGAACCAGAGTGCACTTTTGGGGGAGGGGAGAGTTTGACCCATTTTTTCACTATGGTGCCACCCCATGTGCGTTTCCTATATTTGTTTATACAATATAATCTCATAAGGTAATGGCTCCAATATAATTAACACAAGTGAAGATGGCACATTACTTGTTTTAGAGGGGCTGGCGGCAACAAATTTTAAAAGGCTATATTAACTTAAATGACTTCAAACTTCAATTAGACCAAAAAAAACAAAACAAAACAAAAAAAGACTTCAACCTTCAAAGGCAAGGTTGTTGTATAAAAACCTACATTAATGAGTTCATAACACGAGAGTCTGACACTCTATTCTTGAAACAATTTGCAATCTTAATTTTTAGGGTTAATTACAATTTTGGTCACTGGGGTTTGGCCCGATTTTAATTTTGGTCACCTGACTTTTAATTTTCTGATTTTGGTCATCACATTTTGCATCATTAACAAATCAAGTCCAATTGGGAATTCCATTAGTTAAGACGCATGTGGTGCGTGCGTGCATGGGTATTATTACCCTTTCGCCCCAGCCCTTAATCATAAAACCATCATCGCGCACGACTTTTCCCCAAAAAAAAGTTAGGATTATGAAATTTGGGGAAAAGGCTAGTCGATTTCGAGGTATAAGGTTCGATTCAGATTCAATCGATGACGATTTGATAGGTGAAGTCACGATTTGAATGGGAATCATCAATTTCATGTAGGAATTCATCCATTTTTAGGGTAATTTCTTGTTTGATTTGGTTCTATGTCGATTTCAGTTTCTAAATTTTCCTATTTCTTGTATCTTTTTTAGTTTCAGTTCATACAATTAGCTGCGTTTCTTGTAGTTTGCATATGTCTACTTCATCTTCTCGTGGATTGAGGTGCCCTTTATATGGAGCTAAAATGAAATTACTTCTATCAACTACAAAATAACATTACAACAAATATTTCTGGAAGTGTACAAGGAAATATGCAAGGCATGGTTTTGAATCAGTTTATTTTATGATATGGATATTGTGGTTATGCAAAGTGGTTGCATGATGTAGGGAGGTGTTGGATGCAAAGCTTTTGTATGGTGTGATGATGTTGACAACACAAAAGGAAGGGAAGATATCATCTTTAGAGACTTGCAATGGATGGAAAACAATGGTAGCAAGGACATGGGGTTTCAATCTATGCAGCTACAAGTTGGAGATGTTTTGAATATGCTAAAAGGAATAAAAGAGATGTTGTTGATCATTTGTATCTTGATTGCTGTTAATGTGGTTTTCAATTTAGTTATAAAAAAAATGAGGTGCTTAAATGGTGCTTCATTTGGGTAAAGACATGTTTTGGTTGTAACATTCTGCTCAAACATTTTGGTTGTAACATTGTGATCAAAATTTAGGGAAAGACATGTCTCAGAGGTTGTAAATTTCTAGTCATGAAATGAAAACATTCAGCTCTTGTTTTGGTTGTTACATTCTTTGACTCAAATGAAATGAAATGGAATGGAAACATACACATGGTGCAATACACAAACCAACATACACATGCTAATGTATACAAACTTGGCCATGATTCACAAAATAAGCCAAAATACAGTGTCTTTAGAAATAATATACACATGTTGCAATACACAAACTTTGTCATGATTCACAAACTTTACCAAGGAAATTTCGATTTTTCTCCTTCTTTTTTTTTATTTTGTTCATTTAATCCCTTTATTAACATAAAGGGCAATGAAGATGAATTAGGAGGAATTAAGAGTAATATGTTTTGTAATTTGGTGGTTGTAATGTGATTGAGAAGCCTGGGTTACTTGAGACAAATAGCAGTAGTTCAGTAAGCAATGTAATTTGAGACTAGTAGACCAATAACAGTAGTTCAATAAGCCTGGGCTACTTAAGACCAGTGGGTGTAATGTAATGTAATTTGGTGGGAAAACAATGTAATTTGTTTTGATTTTTATTAGTAAGCAATAGTTCATTGTAATTTGTTTTGGGTTTTCTTTGTACTATGATATGAATGGAAATCAGTAGCAGATCTTAGATCATATCTTGTTCATTGGATATCAAATGGTGACATACTGATAAGCATCACACCAAAAACAGGTTATAACCATATCTTGTTCATTAGATACGAAAAACAGGTTACAAAAACAAGTTATTCTTGTTCATGCCATATCAAATGGTTACATCTCAATATCTGATCAATATATACATCACACTGAAAACAGGTTTCAACCATCACATTACATATCAAATGGTCAATTGCATCTAAGTACCTGACTCAAAAACCTTGAATGACATCAAAGCCTAATAAAACCAACCATCACAGACATCAAAGTGTTACCAAAACCAACAACCCAATTGCAACCATGAAGACGTTAAAGTCTTACAAAACTAACAACCAATTGCAGAATCTATAATTCCACAACATTCAAACCATTCTTCTATGAAACCATAATTCAAAAGGAGTTTATCCTAATTAAAAAAAGGTTGTTGCAAAAGTTCAACATCATCACATCTAAGGATGAAAAAAAGGATCTTTAACAAAATGGTTCCTCTGTTGTTCTTTCATCCTCCTTCTACATTGTTGTACTAGAGATAGTTGGCAGATTGAGATTAATCACATGTTTAAGAAGCCAAGTTGCTTGAGATGGTTGGAATTGAGAAGCCTGAGCTGCTTGACACAACATTAAGGATTTGTATTATACTAAGATGGATATACTCGTTCCATTACATTGTAAAAGCCATCCTTAATCTCGTAATACCATAATTTACAACAACAAGTAACCCTTGTATAAGAATAAAGTAAGCGCGGACCTTGGTGAAATAAAATTGGTCCTTATTCTTGTAAACACGGTGTTTACAACATATAAGACTGCCGTTATATTCTTATGGACAAAGGGGTTCCATACATTTATAAAAATGAATCAAACAACACAAAATAAAGTTAACATATTAATTTCATCAATTGTTCGTACATATGGTAACTTTTGTTATATTTTCACACCATGTGCTAGTCTTAATCATGATGAATACCAAAAAAAAAAAAAAAAAAAAAAAAAAAAAAACAAAACAAAAAAAAAAAAACACCAAATAGGACATTCGACCTAGATGTACAAAAAAAAAGTGTCTACCTAACCATTGGAACTATCCTTTGAAAACTACTTTACAAAAAAAAGAAGTTGTCTTATTCTACTATGACGATACTCATTTTAAAAATACAGGATATGCACCAAAACCAATAGCATCACAACATTAGGTCTATGCTTACAAAATATATACTAGTCAATCATGATAGTCCCATTACCTAACCTTGTTAACGGTGCCGAGGTCTAGGCTGACCGCAGCCTGGACGTGTTTCTAGTATAGTAACTTCCACTACAAAAAAAAGGGTCATTACCGACCAACATTCTCCGAGGGCCCCGAAATTTCCTCGGTAAAAGTGTTTTTTCGACCAAAAAATACTGTCCGTTGGAAATATGTCACGAGCCTGAAATTTATTTCCGACAAAGGAAATACCCTCGGAAAAAGTCTCAATTGTCGTCGGAAATGTAATTTATTTGGTGGGAAGACTTGGCGCCAACTTTATTAACGACCAAAAGTATGTTTGACGGAAATAGGATGATTATTTCCGAGGGCTTTCTCTTTCCGTCGGAACTGTTTGACTATTTCCGAGGGGCTTCTTATTCCGTCAAAATTGCTTGAACATTTCCGAGGGGTTCTCCTTTCGTCTGAATTGTTTGACTACTTTCGAGGAGAAATATGTCCTCTCGGAAAAACGTTTGAATGTCAATTTCCCATTTAGAATAAATTAAAAAAAATTTGATTGATGATATTGTTAGCTAGGGAAGAAAACAGATTTTTTTCAAGAGAAGTTGGTTATCATGTAGACCCAACAAACCCAATGCCAATATATATGGTAGTTGGTGGGGGCTGTGTTCCATGGGGGGTTGGTACAGTTTCATTCGCAAGTCTCTACACAAAACAAAACAAAGGCATTATCTGCATATGAAATGAAACCCAAATTAAAAATCAAAATGATATGAAAATTATAATTTGATGCACAAACCAAAGCTCTCTGTAGTGATATGCAGTTCTTATTTGAACCTATCAACTTTTTGGCCCCTCCCCCACAAAAAAGAAGAGCCTCGCTAGCTGTGAATTTCCCATTAGAATAAGTATATAAAAAAATTGATTGATAATAACCAATCACACTCCAAAATAAATAACTAAAAATAGCCAATCCAAAAAAAAATAAGCAATCACAATTACATGACAACTCATCCCATAGTTGTAAGTTGAACACATCGATCCCTTCTTCAATCAATTTCATTGTCTTCAACATCATTTTGGATGGCATGCATGCTTTGAATTTGAGTCTCTGCTTCTTGGTATGGCTCAATCTCATCATTAGTCGTCTCATAAGCATTTCTTGGATTTGTTTCCACGACAAAACTCCAAATTTTATTTCTAACCCCCTTCACATAAAAAACTTGGGTTGCTTGGCTTGCTAGTACGAATGGCTCTTGAGTATTTAGCTTGCGTGTTGTATTAACAGTGATTATTCCATAACGATCTATCTTGTAACCTGTTCCTTTTCGTGCCATGTCATACCAATCACAATTGAACAATACAACTCTATTTCCTTTTGTGTAACGGAGTTCAACAATATCTACTAAGGTTCCATACCAAGGCACATCGTCAATCTGATTCTCCCCCTTAACCATAACTCCACTATTTTGTGTTTTTTTATTCTCATCACGCTGCAATGTATGAAATCTAAAACCACTAATATAATAACCAGGATAATAAGTTACTCGCCTTTCAGGACCTCGAGCCAAAGAAAGCATTTGCTTACTAACTTTACCATCGTTGTATAGTTCTGTGACCTGCATAGAAAGGAAAAAATATTTTTAAATAAACATCTATGACATTCAATAATTTTTTGAATACAATATTATCCATACCCTTTTAGAAATCCAGTTTGAAAATTGAAGCCTATGTGACTCCTCCACATTATCAACACTAGACTGGATTAGAACGTTCTTATGTTCTCTGCATACATAACAAATGATTATATTCAAATTAATACAGTGACATATTACATCTAAATAAATAGTAACTTATTAAATACACTTAGAAATTATAGTATTTAAGAATTCTTACTGGACAAATGGAAAAGCTTCATCACAATTTTGCAGGACATAATGAGTGGCAGCCTTATGAAGTTCGATGCTCATCTCTCTAAGTACACCTTTCCCAAAAGCTCGACCAGGTGTTGAGAAAATAGATAACGGAGATGCATCATATGACGGTTGACCTCCATCGTCATTTCTATCTCTTTTATTAAACTTAGTTTCAACTCGATGCAAATAGCGAGAGCAAAATATTAAACACTCATCTCCCAAGACACCTTCGGCAATAGACCCTTCTGGATGAGCCTTATTACGAACATAAGTCTTTAGCTTATGCAAATACCTAATTACGTCATAAATACCAAAATTAGAGAATCATACATCAGCAGTTAAACAAATCATGAATAAAATTAATATCTAAACATTGAGATTACCTTTCCACAGGATACATCCACCTGAATTGTACTGGACCGGCCACTTTTGCCTCCCATGCCAAGTGGCAAGTTAGGTGAATCATGATGTCAAAAAAAGCAGGAGGGAATATTTTTTCCAACTTGCATAGAGTTATGGCAATTTGTTTGTCAAGAAGATTCAAGTCATCTTCTCTTAAAACTTTAGCACACAATTCCTTGAAAAAGTACGATAATTCAATTAAAGGCTCACTTACATCTTTGGGCAATAAATCTCGCGCCACAAACGGAAGTAATCTCTCTAAGAACACATGACAATCATGAGTTTTCATACCAGAAATATTACGCTCTGAAGCATTCACACATCGAGATAAATTTCCAGAGTACCCATCTGGAACTTTCAACTCCATTAACCATTGACATAAAGCTTTGTTATCATCATTTGACAATGTATAATCGCCTGGGATAAAATAGAGCTTACCATTATCTCCTTCTTCTGGATGATACCTGTGTCTTATACCCATTTCTTGAAGATCAAGACGAGCATTTAAAGAATCTTTTGTTTTACCATCAATGCTCATCATTGTGCCAATCACATTCTCAAATACATTTTTCTCAATGTGCATGACATCTAAATTGTGACGCACCAAAAGTGTTTTCCAGTAAGGCAATTGGAAAAATATTGAATGTTTTTTCCAATTATGATCTTTTCCAAACCCAAGTATTGTATGCTTTTTCCCATCCTTGCCATATGTTATTTCTCTTAATTCACCAAGTTCATTTATCACATCATCACCAGATGGTCTCTTGGGTGCAAGTCTTATTTCCCTTGTATTATCAAATTGGCTTCGTTGATTACGCCATACGTGGTCAGACGGTAAAAATCTTCTATGACCCAAATAACATGTTTTAGACCCATGAGATAACCGACGATGCGAAGTATCAGATGCACAATATGGGCATGCCAATTTACCAGACGTACTCCAACCTGACATGTATGCATATGCTGGATAATCATTGATAGTCCAAAGAAGTGCAGCTCTCATCTGAAAATTTTGCTTTGCATATATATCATACGTTTCAACACCAATTTCCCACAATGTTCGCAATTCGTCTATCAATGGCCTCATGTATACATCAATGTCATGGCATGGACCCTTAGGTCCAGGAATAAGTAAAGTCATGAAAACATAAGGCTCCTTCATGCACATCCACGGAGGAAGATTATATGGGTATATAAGAACTGGCCAAATACTATAATGCAAATTCATGTTCCCAAAAGGGTTAAATCCATCTGTTGCCAAACCAAGTCTTACATTTCGAGGTTCCATACCAAATGACTCATGAATTTGATTAAACGATTTCCAAGCCTCAGAATCTGCTGGATGCCTCAACACTCCATCTTTTACACGATCCTTAAAATGCCATCTCATATCTACAGCTGTCTTGGATGACATGAATAATCTTTGAAGTCTTGGTGTGAGTGGAAAATATCTAAGCACCTTCCATGGAACCCTTTTACCTTTCTTTTTGCTACCCTTTCCTTGTTTCTTCCATCTCGAAAGCTTACATGTAGGACACTGCGTTGCATTTGCATGCTCCTTATAATAAATGATGCAATCATTATTGCATGCATCTATCTTATCATAATGAAGACCTAAATCTAAAATAATTTTCTTTGCACCGTTAGTGGTTGTAGGTAACTTCTCACAAAAAGGAAATGCATTTTTCAACAATGTTAGCAACATACCAAATGCTTTATTGCTCATAGTACCAATACCCTTGATATGCATAAGGTTCACAACAAAAGACAAATTAGAATATGATTCACAACCAGCGTACAATGGCTGTTCTGCCTCTTCTAACAATTTGTAAAACTTGTGCGCATCTCCATTTGGATCTTGTGGACAACCTTCTTCTATTAAACCATGCATATCATCGTCTTGCTCCATACTGGCCACATCATGTCCATCATTGTCACTATCACTTTCATCACTTTCATCACTATCATCACTTTCATCAATATCCTCATCCTCACCCTCACCGTGCAAATACCATGTAGTATAAGTTAGTTTAATTCCATTATAAAGAAGATGCTTGTGTACCTCATACCTCAGATGTCTATATCGATTACTGCATTTAGAGCAAGGACAGAAGATCTTAGAATCATCCGGCTTAACATGGTTGTATGCATAATTGAGAAAACTTTCAACTCCTACAAAATAATCTTCTGACGACCTCCCAGATTGCATCCAAGATTTATCAACAGGCATTTCTCTACATAAATAAGATCCAATTAATATTAATAGAACAAACGACCAAAAATCCAGATATTAAACCTTTATCATTTTCATATTTGAAACATCACCCAAAAGTTTGACTAGCATTTCTCTGCATGCCATATATTCTTTTAACAAAAGCTAGGGAAAAAAAACAGATTTTTTTAAAGAGAATTTGGTTATCATGTAGACCCAACAAGAAAGAAAGAACCAAACCAACGTGCCATGCATCCACCATTCGCATAAAATTAAAGGAATCCAAAACAAAATTATGCTTGTATTGCAAACCAAAGTAGCTAACATTTTAAACATGACATATTATGTAATTCTCTAAAACATCACCCAAAAGTCTCAGCAGCAGCAGAGACACAGATAAATACCACAACAAAATAGACTAACAACACAGAGTCTTAGATTTTCAAAGCAATAAATTAAATCACTGTCAGAGATCATAGTTTTGTACCAAGCTTTTCCTGCGGCCTTGATAGTAGAAGCCAATTAGAATATAAATTATTCTTCCAAATGCAGAAAGTAGAGGAGCTGAAAACTCAGATTATCCAATTAGAAAGAGACAAAGGAAGACCCAACACATACTTCTACTCATAACACCTGCAAGGAAACCATCTGCAAGAATAAATTCAATCAGATACAATCTAAAGGATAAAATACCACAAGAAAGCAACTTAAAGTGATAGCAAATTTGACATTTACCTATATTCTCACAGCGCTCCAAAAATTCATTGAACTCTTCCATAAGATCTGGATACTTTCCCAACAAATCGGTCACCTGAGACAGGCAGAGTTTCCAAAAAATGTCAAACTAGAGGCAATAGCATCAAGTAGTCAATATTTTATCTCATTACATTTTTATAGAAAGATATAAAGCATGGTCATCATAAAGTGTCCTTTGTCCAGTATCCCCTAGCTCAAAGAGTAAGCAGACAAAGCTTGACTTTAGAAGCGTCGGTTAACTGCTGAAAATGGTGTAAGACGTACCAAATTCTGTAGATCATTCCTTTTAATTATTCCATTGCTATAATTGTGAAGGCATTTCAAAAATGCTTGGTAGTCTTCTTGACTGTACACATCTAGAACAATAAAAGGAAGGAAAACAGAAAACAAACAGGACCATGTGTTCTTGATCTAGTCATACATATTTCTCTTCCTAATGTTATAGAAGATGTCCTGTAAAAAGTTAAAAACCACCCAAAACATACTAGAATATGAAGGCAAATGATTTCTGAGTTAAATTTGGTTTTCTTTGACTGCAAACCAGTAAATTGGGTGTCCTTTTGTTAGTTGCCCTTAGTCATTTGTGTACACATCTAGAACAATAAAAGGAAGGAAAACAGAAAACAAACAGGATCATGTGTTCTTGATCTAGTCATACATATTTCTCTTCCTAATGTTATAGAAGATGTCCTAATTTCAAATCCTCTTCCCCATTAATTAAAAAACATTAATACTTTTATGCTCATATAATACTTCTTCATTGAAATACACAGCAGCAAATAACACAGAGGCAAAACCAGTCAGATGATGGACAAATTTTTTATTTCTTCTTTGGTGGCCAACAAGCCAATTCATAAATAAAGAGTAAAAATCTGTAGCCAGAAAGTGCAGAAAACAATAATTTCACAACATATAATCTATTCTTTATTGGAACGACACATATTAAAAAACAAGGATAGGTTGAAACTATACCTTTATTGGAGCAAAACGAAGTCTTAGATTGAAAGATGATAGATGGCAAAATCTGAAAACCAAACACACTCTATCAGATTAAAAAAGATGATTAACTTCTGTTTTTTGGGTCGAAATCTAGTTTCAAAATGAAACCAGAAGATATCAGATAACAAAACAGAATGTAGAGATAAAGAATCACTGTGCAGAGAGTAGAATACAAACAGAGCCCAGCCAAACCCATTAGATAAAGAATCATATAACAAAAAGAAAGTACAGATAGATAGATCAAACCCATTAAATTGAATACCCATAAATAATATCAACAAAAAAAATAAAAAAATTGCAACTAGAATGAAAGCTCACCTGCGAAACTTGGATGGCCTGCCTTCTTCTCCCACTCTTGATAGAAAACTGATATAAGGTGTATTTCTTGGCGCGCAACAAAAAAAAATTCCCCTGCTCTTGAGATTTGCAGAATTCCACCAATTATGAGATTTGCAAATCCCGTCTTTATTTCCTTTTGCCAAACACACGATTACTGTTTTTGCTGATGTTGAAGTTAGGGTAAAAGCTATGGGTAAGTTTTGGGCGTGTTCCCCCCACCCCGCGGCGCGCTTTTCTTTCTTCTTTTTTTCTTTTTTTTTTTTTTGTTTTGTTTTTTTGGTGTTGACTACTAATATGGAATAAATTTTGAAAGACAATAACTCGTGTGTGGGCTGATGATAAAGCATGATTGGGTTTCCTCAATCCATAGTTAGAATTTTGTGTTGTTTTCTCTACCTAGTTTGAACGGGTGAAGCAAATTCGTGTATTTTCAAACTTTCAGGGGAGGTCACCAAATCCAAGAAAAATAATTGAATTCCTTTACATGGTGATATGGGAAACAAGACTATTGAATTTGGCCTAAAATGCAATACCATATCGAATTTGGATTCGAATTATCATATTTAACACATCAATGGTTTTTTAAGATTTTCAAATACTCTTGATCACATGTTCTTCCGATTGATAAAGATAACAAATTATCAAATAACATAAAAAAGTTTGATTTCCCTCATCATCATATCGAAAGAATTAAGTGAAATTACTAATGTAAATGAATTTAATTTGGATTACATTGGTCTAATTTGGATTAAGTGAAATTACTAATGTAAACGAATTTGGATTGTATTCGAATTTTGAAATAAAACTCTTTCGTACTATAAGACCATCAATTTTAGCTTGATCCTTCCTTTTGTTTTATCATTGAATATGTAACATAATGGAGTTGAAACGTACAGTCGGGTATAGATAATATGATCAACACTAAAAAATATAGATGTCTTTATCAATCTCAAATAATTTAAGGAATTCAATTATTTAAGTACAAATAATATAGATTTGTCTGTTTCAACACTATTGATTTCATGAATTTGGATTCAATTGGCCTAATTTGAATTTGGATTCAATTGGCCTAATTCGAATTTGGATTGTAAACAAATTGGATTTGGATTACATTGGCCTAAAATGCAATATACCATATCGAATTTGGATTCGAATTATCATATTCAACACATCAATGGTTTTTTTAGATTTTCAAATACTCTTGATCACATGTTTTTCCGATTGATCAACATATTTAAACTTGATCAAGTTTTAAACGGACTCTTTCGTACTATAAGACCATCAATTTTAGCTTGATCCTTCCTTTTGTTTTATCATTAAATATGTAACATAATGGAGTTGAAACGTACAGCCGGGTATAGATAACATGATCAACACTAAAAAATACAAATGTCTTTATCAATCTCAAATAATTTAAGGAATTCAATTATTTAAGTACAAATATTATATGGATTTGTTACAGAAACCGTATATTTGACAAATACTAATATCAAATGTGATCAAGTTTCAAAGCCCTTTGTTTTATTTTCTTTAATTAATTAATTATTTAAACAAAATATAAACAAATCAGCAATTAACTCCCGTTGGCCCAAAAAAAGTGGGGGAAAGCCCAAATTAATTATTTGTTTGCCGCTCAAGCCTCTTTTTTAATTTAGGTTTTTTGCTAACCCTAACAGTTATCAGTTTTCAACAGCAGCCACAAAAGAGGAAAAAAAAATCTTCCATACGTCTTCTTCAACGTCTTCTCCCTAAACCCTCTTCTCCTCAGCAATATCAAGGAAGCTATTGAGCCATACAGGTAACCTACTACATTTTTGCTAATATCCATGTATTGTTATAGATATAGAAAACTTCAACTCATGCTTCACGTTGTACCGGCTCATGTAGAGGTTGTTATAGATCTTTAGCATCTTTAAAGATTATTATAGATATAGAAAAATGGGTATTGATATAGAAAAATGGGTACTGAGTATTAGCATACCTTTAGCAAATTGTTTGAACGGACAGCATGCAATTTCCTCTTAAATTGTTTGAACGGACAGCAATTTCCTCTTTGGAAAGAGGAAATTATCTATGGCAGCCTTTAGCATACCTTTAGCAAATTGTCTTCCAGAAAGATAGAAATCAATACCCATGTATGGTGATACTGACATGGGTTCTCATGGAAATCAGTACCCATCTAGTTTGAACTGCAACTTGCAGTTTTTGGAGAACACAAGCAAGCAATAATAGAACGGCAAGAAGCAAAGGCCAATTAGGACTTCGAATTGGAAATATCCATGTATCTATCTATATCTACTGTAAAATTGCATGCATGTCTTCAATCCCATGCTGGTTGGTTGACAGTCAACATGATACATGTAGATTAAGCCAATAATATTTTCAAGCAAGACCTCTCTCTCTCTCTCTCTCTCTCTCTCTCTCTCTCTCTCTCTCTCTCTCTCTCTCTCTCTCTTTCAGCAAATTGTTTTCTCTACCTAGTTTTTCCTTTTTGGATGAATTTTTTTTAAGTATTATTTCTGATTTATGTTTTTTTTAAATTATGACATGGGTTCTTTTGTGATTATAAATGGCAGCCATGGCAAAAAAGAAAAAGAGCAATAATAGAGCATCACATGATCGTGAAATGCAAGAGACAAATCAAACATGTATGAGTTATTTGTGTCGTATTATCGATTAAATTCTTGTTTCTATTATTTTTTATAGTTGTATTTCTATTATATGAGTTTTTAATTTTTTAATTATGTTTTGTGTTTGTATTTCTCTTACAAATGTTAGCCGTGGCAAGAAATGGAAAGAGTCAAGATAGAGCATCAGGCACTGCACATCCTCAGTCATCTAGACTCTCCTTAGATCGCCATATTTCCAATGAGTCATCACATGATAACGAAATGCAAGAAACATGTATGATTTATTTTGAATTTTGAATTTTGAATTTTCTTTGTGTATATATATATATATATTTCAATTATATGATTAGTTCTCAATTAATTTCCAATTTTTTGCTCTATATAAATTGTAGCCAGGGCAAGAAAGAGAAAGAATCAGAATAAAGCATCCAACATTACACATCCTCAGTCATCTAGACCTTCCTTAGACCAACATGATGACCCCATTGAGCCATCACATGATAATGAAATGGAAGACATGCCCCTTGAAACCGAACCATCAAATGAAGAAGGTAATTTTTTATTTATATATATATGAGGTTTAAACTGAACCTTCACATGATAATTTTTTATTATTTTATATATATGATCCTATAGCTAGTTTTTTTTGTACCTTGTACTTCAAATATATATATATATATATATTTTTTCTTATTAGGTTCAATTGTTGGAATAAAAAGAGGTAGAGGGAAGGCTAAAGGTAAAGATGGAAATGGCACTCCAATTGTAATACGTAGAGGAAGGTAATGTATAAGGCCTACAAAGTTAGCCATTTCTCGTGTAGATTTATTTTTATTTATTTATTTAAATTTGGTTTAAATTTTTCAGGATTATAACCACTGGAGCTGTGCGAACTATAGGAGTGCTTTTTTATCAGGCTATCGATGGAGCATGGCCAACATTTAAAACATTTCCATCAACTCAAATGGATTTACTGTATGATCGCTTTAACACAACAGGATATACACACACGTGCTCAGAAGAAGAGATGAGGGAGGCATTCGAACAACATATTAAATTGAGATATTCCGATTGGATGTCCGCATTGAGAAATAGCGTTTTTAAGAAATACAAGACTACTGGTGATAGATACACTCATTGCCCATTAGGGATATCTCAAGATGTTTGGTCTAAACTGGTTGATCATTGGTTGCAGCCTACATGGCAGGTAAAAACTCAATTTAAAATAATATTGTTATGACTGGCTAGTGTATGCTTTGTTTTATTTATAGATGCCTTATATGGGTTCACTAAGTTGATATTAGGTTATGATTTACTTTTTTCATGTAGGATAAAAGTAAAAGAAACAAGTCTAATAGGGCGAAATCCACAGTTGTGCATACCACGGGTTCTGTTCCAATGGAAAAGTACAGAAAAGATGAGGTAAAAATATCCATTTGGTTGTTGCTTTTTGTTGACTGTTCCTTTTGTGGTTATTTCCAAATTTGGTCCTAACAAACTTCATTGTTTAAATCTTAATAGCTTGATCGAACTGGAATTGAACCGAGTCCAATTGATTGTTTCAAAAAGTTCCATGTAAGTAAGCCTAAGAATGGAGGAGAAGAAAGTTGGCCAAGTGAAAAGGCTAAAGAACTTTTTGTACGTTGTCCCTACTTTGTTTCTCTTTTATTTTTCTTTTTAAAATTTTTTATTCACATGACATTTTTTTTATATCCATGTTTATATTTCAACTATTTCATTGAAGGAAAAAATGGAGAATAAAAAGGTTGCTGCAACGGAAGACGAGAATGAAGTAGATGATTGGGATATATACAAGGAGGTTATTGGTGGGCCAAGTCACGGTCGTATCCTTGGTTTAGGTGGTGGCTATAGTATAAAAGATGTGTATCCCTCGGATGACCAAGGTTGTAATAAACGTATATGCTTAGAACGTGAAGAAGAGCATGAGAAATTAAAGGAGGAAGTGAAGGACTTGAAAAGTGTGCTGTATGAATTGAAAGATCTAGTTCAAAGTATGAGGGAAAACAACTCAAATACTTATGCACGCTCAAGACAATCTGCTTTAATGGTGAACTCTTTTCTTTCTCATTTCAATATTTTGCTCACTGTTAAATATTGTATTTGTTATTTTTATTCTCAAATGATTTATGTCTTATTAATTATTATCTTTTATTCGACAGGACAATGTAGAAAGTTGTTCAGATGCTCACCTCGAAGACGAGTAGTGCAACATCAATTGTATTTTGCTACAATATGTATTTTGAATTTCAAAGTTTTGATATATTTGCGGATTGCATATATGTTTTAAGGATGATGGGGATTGTTTATGTTTTAACTATTTAGAATAATTTTAATTGAATGCATAAAATTTTAGTACAGTATGGTGTCGTATGATTTTTTTTATTATTATTACCAATTAAATACGGATGATTAGAAAACTATTTCTAGCAAATATTATAATTCAAATTTCTTTTTATTAATTTTTTTTATAAAATAATTACATTTTTCGACCGCATTTCCCTCTCGGTAATGCATATTTCCAACGAACACTTTATCATCGGAAATAGTTTCCGACAATAATTGCCTATTTCCGACAAAATTCCCCACGACATAATGGGTCGAAACAATTATATTTCCGACCACTTGTTCGTCGAAAATATTTTCTGACAGGATTAATCTATTTGCGACAAACTTTGCGACGAATAAATATGGTTGGAAATATATATTTCCGACATAACTTGCCCATCGAAAATATATTTTTATACTCTTTTCCGACGAGCTATTATATATTTTCCACAAACTCTTTTGGTCGGTAATGATAATTGCGACGACATCTAGCCCTCACAAATAATATATCATTGTCGGAAAAAGTATTTCTGACGACACTCATTGGTTGAAAATATGAATTCACAAAAACAAGAAATCAAGATAAAAGAACTATTTCCGACAATCAAATAAGTAATTACGACCACATGTACGGTCGGAAATAAATATGTAGGGTCGTTTTAAAAATCCATTTCCGATAGAAATTTATGCAATAGCTACGAAGCATGGACGTCGGAAATACATTATTTCCGACGGAATGGTCGGAAATGAAGTATTTGCAACCGAGCTTTTAGCGACGACTGCCGACGGACTTTTGCCGTCGAAAAAAGATATTTGCGACGGCAAAAGGCCTTTTGCAACGACAAAATGCCCTCGCAAAAGGGCTTCTGTTTTGTAGTGTTCCGATTTGGTTTTTTTTTGTTTCCGAATATAAACCCTCTTTTTTCTAATGGTGACATCCGCCACATCCTTTTTCTAAACTTCAACATTACCAATCTTCTTCCCCATCGCAGTAAAACCATATGCATTTTCCATCATTTTAAATGCTTCACTTATCACATCACATAATTAATTTTTTTCATGTCTCATTAACTCAATAGCAAGTCGCATCCGTTGTACATTAGAGTCGTATTGCAATCAACAAAAAGAAATATTCAACGTTTAATTACGTATAAAATATTTTTACCAAAAAAAAATAGCACATACACAATGCATACCCGGTCATACCACAACCAATGATAATATTGCATGTGTCTTATGACAAAAATGCCACACCATTAGGTTGGACGGGATTGGCATCCAATGGGGACACAATATAAAATGAGGAGAACGTCCACCCCGTCTCAAATATCGACAAGATGTCATCATGAAAAATAGAGTCTAGGTCCAACAACTATTGCATGAACAACAACATAGTCGACATAAGTAACATCGAGCAAAAGAAAAAAGTATAAGTATATTGAACAAAAGCTTATCCACTTACAGTAAGTTGGCAATCGTTCTCGCGTTTCTTATTATGATGCAGATCAGGTAAACTGTCTCAAATTTCGGTTTTCTTATGAAAAATGTCACAAACCAAAAGATACCAATGACCAAGTACATCGTCGTGCATCAGAATATATATTTGCAAAAAAGTGGTCTATACATTATTACTAATAATTCACATAATTGGAGCTTGCATATGAAACCCACATGCATGCAGTCATTCAGTCGCCCATCAAATCTTGCCAGAAGACAAAGCTTCTGTGTCCTAGCACATGATGTTATATGATCATTGGTACGTACCAACTTGGCGCCTTCCTGCATTTTATGAGGTGTAACACATCACCTTTAACCAAAATATCATCATTTAATCTTATCCATTTACTTACCGACCAAAAATACGTAGGTAGGAACCATTTTGTGGAGGTGGTATCGTATAAATATTCTGCCATTACATTGATTACCTATTAAAAGATAAGACACGATTGTTAGCCTCATATACCAACATTCTAAACATATATTGATAAGTAGTCAAATACGTATTGAATTAATAGCCCTTACATCATCAAATAGAGACGACCCAGGGGCAAGGCTTCCAAAATGGTGACGAGTTATAGCTATAGCACCTATGTCGACGAGTAGTTCACTGCTAAAAAAACAAAAAACAAAAAAAAGAGTCTTGTAATCAATTTTTCTTATGTCATTATAACAACATGACACATATTGTGGTAGAAGTCTCTGTGTATGTGTAGAGATGGATGATATAATAATTATTTTCACAAATTTGGTTCAGGGTATACATCCAAGGTTTTTGTTGTTAAAATGTTAACTCGCAATTGTACGGGCCAATTAGTAATATAGCAAGACAAGTACGAGGTCGTACCCACGAGGATTGAGAAGTTAAAATTAGTTATGTACTTAGATTACCAAATTCAAGAAAGTAGGAGGTTAAGTCTAAAATAGAATTTAAAGCAAGAGTGATTATAATTGTTGAACAAATGAGGCAAAACGAAATTTCAAACAAAAGCAAAGTGAGCAAATGTAACAAAGAGTGTTTTTGTGGGCTGGAAAACAGATTGGGAGACTAGGGCATTCGATTCACCATAACAATTCAATTCTGGGTTATAAGGAGTCAAGTGACAAGTCTAATTCGGATTCAAAGATTGATTCTAGCTAAAGTATGATTAGGCCATGGTGTCTGGTCCTAACCTTGTGTTCCTAATTCCCTAACTTGATCATTTGTTGTCTAACCTAAATTAAGCATTAGGAACCCATTAAGCATAGAAGAACAATTTAAACAACCAAGCATGTATCTAATCCCTGTTGTCGAATGTCCATACATACTTTTCTTATTCATAGTTCAATTCGAATCAAAGCATGGTGTCTACTCTTGATTCAAACCAAGATAGCTAATATACAAGTTCTAATGGTGATCAATAATCCAAACAAGCATATTAACTGAGAAGCATAATGAATAAGAACATGAATCATGAATCAAACTTGAAACTCAAAACTTCAACTTATAAACCTAGAATATTCATGTTAGGTTACATCGAAGTCCTAGTTATGAATTTAGCTACTCATAATGGAAATGAAACTTAAACATAAATGAGAAAACATAATGAATGCAATAAGAGTGGAAAAACCCATTTCTGAAGTTACTTGTGGTGTCCAAGGCTTCTCCAAGTGCTTCTCCACGTCTAATGCTGCTCAAAGAGCTTCCTCACATCTAGAGTATGGCAACTAAAGAGGTGATTTTGGATGAGTTTGGGTAAGTGGTGATGGCAGAGAAAGAGGAAATTCGTAGGGAAATGGAAGGAAGACTTGTTGGAGCTGTTTTGGTGATTTGGGACTGAATGAAGTGTTTGGGGAAGGATGGGAGTGTTAGAGGATGGCTGAAGTGAATTTTAGGCTGAATGGAGTGACTCCCCTTTGAATGAGTGTACATCTCTTTATTATAGAGTGTAATTTCGTGCTCCCCTTTAGCTGGTGAAGCACACCCATTCCTAGCTGTTCCCAATTGCCTAAGCTGTCCATTAGGTTCCCATGCTGCTTTGTCTCCCATGTGTGGCTGACTTGATGTGTAGCCCATGCCTCTAGGAATGTCAGCTACTTATCCTTCTGAGTTTCCATGTTGTCTTGTCTCCCATGTGTGGCTGATTTGATGTGTATTTTGAAGGGCCCACGGATTGGGGTCGACTTAATCAATTGATACATTTGAGTAGTTCATTTTGAAGTTCAGACTCTCATCTTTCCAACCACATTATTTGGGCCAATCCAAGTTGGGAGAAAGACGTTAAGGCCGAAATGAGTTGCTAACTCAGTCTGCTCGTTTTTGCACCATTTTGCATCTTTTCTTATCCAAAGGCATCATTGCTATCTAAGGCCCAATGAACTGAATGATAAACATAAAAGGGATTAAAAGCACAAGTTTGGCTAAATAACATAACCAAATCATAAGCTAGAAGGGTACAAATGATATGCAATTGTGAACTGATCAATTTTGGATGTAATGTATTGCAACAAAATGCAAAACTTAATAGATCTTTATCATCTTCGGAAATATTGTTGGTTATCCGAAATAGACCAACATTCAATCTCTTCAGAATTCGCTCGTGCACAATTCCTTGTCGGATTTTTACATTTACTTTAACTTTCAACACATTGAAGTCTTCATAAAGAGTTCTCTTGTGGGAACCTGCCTTTTTATTCGTTGTTGCACGAGTCACTACCTGATCCCTTGTTGAAGTAGAACCACAATTCTCTATAAACAAACTTCTTACGTCGTTGTGACCCATTCTATCCTAGTGCCCATAAATCATTTCAAAATAGCATTTACAAATCAATATAAGTGAAACAAAAAAACATTAGATGATACAATGAGTCAGCATAAAATAAGGACATCTAACTTTGTTATTACATCGGGAGAAAACCAAATAAAAATACAACATAATTTATAATACAATGATTTCTGCAAATCAAATATTCAATGATTGTCATCATCTAAACATGTAAACCGACAAGTGAAATTATAATCAAACATGTAAACCGACAAGTGAAATTATTAAAACACATACAAATAAGCTACAACCATTACTCATCATACCTCATTGTTGTTTTGCATATTTTCTCTCACGGATGACTTCAACGGAGGGAGCTAAAGTTTTATCAAGATTTGCAAATCCTTTGTCATTGTCACCTTACTCGTTGAGAGTTCCGCCTTATTTGTCTTGCCTACTTTTTGGAGGTTTAGTATTTCCAAGGTCTAATTGTCCCCCATCACACCCCATATCAAACATGTTACCATTTTCCTCATTCAGCTTAACTTCATGTTGATGAGGGTGTGAAGTGCGCAATGTTCTAACTTTCTCATTTTTTAATGCTAACTCAGAAATAACATTAGAGAGTGATTCATCCATATGAGCAACAGTGCCACCAAAGTTGTCATATCCTTTTTTTATTGAACTTAACTCTTTGGCAAAGTGAGTCATTGTTTTCGTATAATCTATGAGACCTTCATATTCAGCTTTGATAACAACTACCTTGTAACTTTCAAACCCTCCTTTTTCTTTAGCCACTTCTTCATTTTTTCGGTCTCTACTTTCCCCCACACAGTGAGTGGTAGCACAGATATATCTACAAGTAGGCTACCATGAGCTATAGCATCAAAGTAAAACAATTGAGGGAATAATAAGCAAATACCAATGTAAACTTGATTGTTACCCTTAAATGACCTGACACTATCCAATAAAAATTTGAATGAATAACTTGCGCAGTTTTTCCTTGTTATCTCTTAACGGAAGCATATATTTTAGATTCACATACATGGATGTGGTTAGACATAGCAACGTACATAGAGTAAACATGACAAAACCAACTTTGAAAAAGTCACATGCTTATTCTGTCCCCCACCATCATCTGCTTCAACTCATTATTCTTTAAAAGCTTCTTTCCAACCAAAAAAGAATTTCACATCTTTATAATGTGTTGCTCTCCATAGATATGGTGAAATCAACTTCCTCTCCTCCATCCTTAACACCCATTATGTGCACAAAGTCATCCACAAATATCTTAAGTGTTTTTCCATGTACCACAATTGATGATTCAGAAGGATTGAGTTTATCAATCAAAAAACGACACATTGAATAAGATTGTTTTCCGCACTTCATTTCCAACAATGAAACAAATCTCATTTCTTAAATAACTGCTTTTTTCTCATCACTTAAAACATTTATAATGTCATTTAGATCATTTCAACTGCATCGTGTGACTATCTTCAAACAACTCTTGTGAGAGTCGTTTGTTGAAGGTTTTTTAGGTTCATACTTTGCTTTCTGAGTAAAATCTAACTATTGCCACATATAATAGATTTCCTTCTTAGTCTGAGGAAGAAAAAATAAAATTAAATCAATTCATTATAAGTTGTGAGCTGTAACGTCTCTATTTAAATGTATTATTGCCAATTTATCACATTAGTATCCACCTTCTCCACTATTTTTTGTTGCTTCATTTCATCGCCCTTTATTTTCCTATTTAAAACATTCACATTTAGTTAGTCTATAAAAAGTACTTAATATACTGGAAAAGTTGTTTAACACTTACAAATAGTTAAAATAACTGGTCTTGCGACCAATCATCTTCTTTGACTGGTCTTTTGTTGTTTTTTGCTCTTTGCCCTTGTTATGCACATCACTGTTCTTTCCTACCATTTTATAATTCCAATTAATAATGACCTGTATTAAACAAGAAAAACATTGTATCATATCAAATAAACTCAATCGAAAATAATAACATGTCAACTCATATGCAAATTGTCAAATTATATCAAACAAACTCAATGGAAAAATAACATTTAACTCATATGCGATTGCCAAGAGGGATATGAAATTGCAGGACCCTTAGGCCATCCCCAATGGGGGCTCTATTTGGGGCTCAACCACCACAAGGCTCCCATAAATACAAACTCTCCTTAAAAAGGCATCCCCAATGGTGCAAATTTGGGGCTCTAAAACTTGAAGCCCAACCGGAGTAGTAGCTAAATGTATGAGCTTGGTTAAAGCCCTTGAAACCGAGTGGGACCCACGAATTAAAAAAGCTGCAGCTCACTTTTTTGGTCTTTCTCACTTGCCTGCGATTGTACAAGACCTACTTGCCATTTATTTGGTTTGTCAACAGCATGCTGAACCACATCCATTAACCAAAGGATATAAATGGGCAAAATTATGTCCAACGGCTATAAACAGCCATATTGTGTCTTTTTTCTTTATTTATTTATTTATAAATAAATAGATTTGCAACTCAATTCTCCCTATAAATATCCATCATATCTCTCATAATTTTTACACACCACAACATCTTTATCACTCTTTCTCAATTTGTCAAATTTTTCACTCACTAGATTATTTAATTTTTTGTAATTTTTTTGTTAATCTCTTTTCCACCAATGGCCGAAAGTTCGAAGTAAAAAGGTGGAAATTACTCCATCAATGAAGATGTTGCTCTATGCCAAGCTTGGATAATCATTAATGAAGATCCAATTATCGGGAATTGTCAATCAAGTGGCGCGATGCGGAATCGAATAGGAGATCAATTCATACAATTTCATCTCGATGCCTAAGAAGTTAGATCATCAAAGAACTTGAAATCGCGTTGGACGAACATCTCCCAAATGTGCAACAAATTCTCCGAGTGTCTTACTCAAGTGGCAAGGTTGAACAAGAGTGGCCAAAATGAAAATGACAATGTGAGTTTTTAAAAAAAATTATTTTATTTTGCCAACTTAATATTTTGTCAACTAATTTAAATTCTTGCATATAATATGTGTAGATTATTGATGCAAAACGACTTTTTTTCGAGAGTACCAAGAAAGCATTCCTTGACCACTGTTGGAATGTTGTTCAACATGCTCATAAGTGGCAACCCTTTGATGGGTTCCAATCCTCTCCCTATGTGAACGCTTCTCCAATGAGTGAATCTATTCATGTAGATTATGATTAACAGGATGAATCCGTTCCAGAAACTCAAGCGTCCCTACAAACCTCAAACTCACGGCAAAGCCCTATGGACACAAAAAAGCTAAGGAGCTAAAAAGAAAGGCTGTTGTGGAAGAGTCATCTCAAGATGATAAAGAGCTCAAAGAAATTATGAGGTCTTACAAAGATTGTATGATTAAGAATAAAGAGTTGAAGGTTATGTTTAAGGAAACCTCCACAATCCAAACTCCGACGAGAAGGCGATGGGTCCAACATAAACAAGCTGATATTATCGAAAAGAGTTCTTCCCGTTCTCTAAACTTTGAGGATGAAGTCTATCGTCCCCAACCCCCAGAAGATGATGATTTCTATAATAGTTTAATAGTTTGTTTTATTTAAAGAATATTGTAGTTTGTTGTGTGGAGGTCCCAAATATTAAGAGTTGACACATCTTTGCAACGGCCTTCCTCCAAGTCGAGGCCAACTTTGGTATTTCCTGATGCATGTTTAGCATATAGAGAAGATATGATCTCCATTGCATTAAGCCCAGCATTTTCAGCTAGCGTTTTAGGCACCATCTCAAAGCTTTCGGCAAATTTTTCTATAGCATACTAATCCAATCTACAAAACCATTGTTTCTTTAGTGGGTTATTGCACTACTACCCAATCAGAAATCTATGATTGGGAAAATGATAACAAAATCAAGTTCCAATAGTTGGTCTAGACATCAATATTTTATTTTATGTTTCAGGGACAACATCTTGAGAAAATCATAATTCACACCATTTACCTTGTTTCTGTAAAAGAGAATTACTTTACTCTCTTAGCTAACTCAATTTCAGTAGCTGCTGCTATAGGAACAATGCGGCTATCCTTGCACATTGCCTGAAAATGAAATGCATTACGACAGTAAGATATTAATTCCAATGGTTTGGACATCTGATTAAACAATTTATTCAAAAGTTCCAGAGAACCATATGCTAACAATGATTGAAGAGGTAAAACAAAACCAGCCTAACAAGAACATACAAAATTTTGAATGTTCCTTGTAAATTACCTTGTAAGTGTTCACTCCATCATCAACTGCTCTTCCTAGGTCATCTAATATATTGTTAGTACTCCCTCGTAGAAGTACGGTAGATACAGAGTTACCACCTTCTTCATTCTTCACAACAGTGACCTACATGACAAATCATTGGACATGTTAAAATGAAATATGGGAAAACAAATGGGGCAAGAATAAGCAGATTTATCGACAAAATACTATGTAAATCACTGTTTTATACTTGCTTATTATCCTTGAATGAAAGTTAATACTTGATTTTAATTCTTTTATATAGTTTATAGATTTTTCAATAAAACTAATGTGTCTCAAAAGGCTTATGCCACGTTTTGCAAGACGTGTAATGCCTCTCGCCAACACCTTGCCTCTGAAAACACTGATGTCCATGAAAAGATTTTTAACATACCTTAACACTAGCAATTTCCTCGATCGACACAGAGTCAACATATCCCAAATCATTTGGGTTAGGCTGGCAAAGCTTCAACTATTGCAAACATTAAAAGTATATTAGGAAGCATTCAATACAGTTCTCATAAAATTTCAAATTCTATTAAAATTGCCATAGCAACAACATCCATTGTACTGCAAAATCGACTCAATTCAAATTTTGAACTGATTTTCAGCACCATAAGTATGGAATCAATAACCCAAAAAGTAAAACACGAACATATCTAAAGGATCTCTAAGAGACCCTAATAACTTCAAGGGGGTATTGGAATCAATAACCGAAAAAGTAAAACACTAACATATCTAAAGGATCTCTAAGAGACCCTAATAACTTCAAGGGGGTATTGCATATGTAAGTGTGTATCTAAAGTCAAGTACAACATTAGTGGATATGCATGCATGTATGACAAGACAATAGAAAATTGATACTTACTTGTAACGCTCATAGAAATGCAGTGCCATCTCTCCAACTGCTGCTCCACTCACAATTACTTTCACACCTGAATCAGCAACTGCTTTGATGAGCTCCTCAACTTTAGCTTCTTCAGTCTTTGCATAATTTTCTAGCTAGAAGATGCCAATAAAAGGCTTATTAGAAGCCATGTGAGACATAAAACCTATCTTTGCAAACAAATTATGGAAATAGAAAGGCAAAGGCATTTTCTGTATCCAAGACAAGCAAGTTATGAAGATCATAATCAATGTGCACGAAACTTTAATATGTAAAGACTACAGTAACAGGCATCATATATGATACTACCAACCCAAGAGAAAGAAAAGGTAAAAACAATTAACAATAAAACATACTAGGATCATTACAAAAGAACCTGAGAGTTTAAAAACTGATCCAATATGAACAGTTAACACTTCTCAAAGATAACTACAATCCAGAAGGGATCTTCTTTTTCAAAAAGTACCTTATCAGCAGTATGAATTAGGACAGTTCCTTGGTCTCAGTTGCAGAGGTATCAACACCACCAGTAAACACAGCAACCTGAAAGGGTGTAAACAAATATACAAAGCTTAGAACCCCAAACCCATGAACCATACATTTACACCACATAAAAAGCTTGAAAGCTTTTATCATAAAGAAAACAGCAACTGGATCGCATAATGAAAACAAGTATGACCAAGTATAAAGAATTATAAACTTCAATAAAAACATATTGTTAAGCACAAACCCAAGGATACAAAGTTTGTCAATATTTTCTAAATCAGTAGCTCAAAATACAAACACAACATTAACAATAATTTTAGCTAACCAAACCCAACCTATTTTTATAATTCAACAATCTACGAAAGAAACATTTAACATACTTTAAAAGAATCAAAGTACAACTCAATACTAAACAAAAATTACTAAAAGGTGAACTCAAAGCAATCACTGAATGAGTAAATCTGTCAGAATTAATAATAGACCATGATCAAACACAACACTTCATTACATATATATGTTAAGCCTTAAACCTAGAAATGGCTACCTAGACCTTGCTCCCTCCAACTGAAGCCTTTTTCCTTTTAGCCGGTCTCTTCTCGGTGTTTCTTCGCTTTTTTCCTTTTAGCACCTTTTTTATTTTCTTAGGGTTTTTTTTTCTTTTTTCAAGTTTACATTACATTCTTTTTTTATTTTTTGTTATTGGGAGGAAAGAAACCCTGGGGTTTACAACCACGATGGTAAGAGCACTTCCACCCCTATAGGCAAAGGTAAGGCAAAGGCTACCACTATTCAATTTTGTTTCCACCTCTATGGGCTAGGGCAATGTCAATTACTATTCACATGAGATATGAGGAGATGAATTTGTATAGAATTTTTGGTGCGGGAAGTAAAGAATATAGCTAGGTATTTATATATAAAAAATTCTAAAATTTTTGGTTTTTTTTTCAATTTTGGGAAGTAAAACATTGTGTCAGCAGCCTTCGGGCAACAGCTCAGGCGATTCTTGCCCATGGGCTTGCCAAGGCTCGTGGGACCCACCCCTTGCCCAGGCTGGACTTAGTGCGCTGGAGTTGCAATTTGGCCCTTGGGCCCCCTCCTGCCCGGGTATGCTTTGTGCAGTGGACTTGCCCTAACCCCACTCAATTTTAACATGCGCTAACCCGCTTGCAAATTGGCTTTTATTAATGATTATGATAATAGGATCAACTACGTAAAATCCCCTGAATTATGAAGTTGTTACAAATTTATACATGAATTTTCCTTATTTTAAAGAAAAATAACAGTTTTTGAGTTCCCTACTTGGATAGGTACCAAATAGGCCCTTGTTTCAATTTTGACACTAGCTCCCGTATTTCTAACCCAACTCTCTCTTTGATAGCTCTCATGCCTCTATTCCATCTATTCAACACAAGATGCCAATTCTATCTTAAATATATATGAATTTGATTGTCTCCAATTCATGACTAAATCAATTTAGGGTTTAAAGAGAAGCTTGATATCATGTACATATATGAATCAAAGTTGTGGTTATGAATCAGTGACCTCCCAACATGTATATGAATCATATGTTTTACATATATTTAATATTTATTTGTCATAATTGAATGTTTAAAAGGCTTACGTCTCACCTTGAGAGACATAAAATGCCTTTTTTCAACGCCTCGCCTTTCAAAAAATTGGTATCTATGCAAGCCAAAAATACTTCATCTAAATCAGAACATGTAATTCCTCTGCCAAAATTCTTTCCTTAAGTATGATTTTATCACCATCTTCTTCACATTCTATTTTAGGCTCCTCCCCAAAGCGAAGCCCTGTAATCAAACAGAAGTCATGATGAGTGAACTGAGCAATGTCACACCCTATCAAGAAACTTAGTTCATCCAAGTCTTTCACACCAAGCCTGGCGACTCAATGCAAAGCCATCTCATGTACAATTTGCTTGCTAAACTGAATTTTAACAATATTTGCAAGATGACCAAAGCATAAGTTTTTTAATTGCTCTAACTATTCTTTGGTCAATTTCGATGAAATTGCAGTTAGGCATGAACTTGCATGTGAGCAGTTATTCACCCGTGCAACATATGCCTTATGATTCTGGGCATACTACCTCCACATTAGATCTCATTTCTTGAAAATTCTTACACAAATACAACTTCATTATTTATTTAACACATCATTCGTTCAGCTAACTACACTTAATTTGAACATAATACTTTTGTACAAGTATTAATAAATTCAAATGCACAGCACATAAGTTATTATACACACATAGAAATTTAAATTCAATTTAAGCTTAGTCCCACTTGATAGTAATATCACAAAATTTTCACAATCCATTTTCAAGATTTTTATGTACTTTCAAATTTTATTTTCTACCAATTCATTCATAGTTTATTCCTTGTCAATACAAAGTGCTCAATTACTAACTCATTATTGACATGATGTTCATTGATGTAATTAATTGCAAGTGGACAATAGCGCTCAAATTAATGTAGTAGTAAGTAGAGTATCATTTCAACAGGGATCAAGTTAATCTATTAAATACTAGAGTGATTTATTTCTGATTATATTTGAATTAAACGAAAAGAGAATTATGATGATTAAAATCTAATTAAGCAAGTAAAGTAAATTGAGATCAAGTAAATAATGTAAAAGATGAAAACAAAGATGATAAAGCACTAGGGCACCAATTTCACCTAGTTAATCTCACCAAAATCCTTCTAGATTGTTAATCCTAATTACCTAACATGTTGATAATCGTTTTCCCTTACCTCACCAATACTCTCTTCCGAGTTATATTAGTTGTATTCCTTACCATCAACCCACTCTATTCCTAGTTATGGATTTAGATAGCTAAGAACCCATTAAGATTTGTGGAAAAAAATAAAAATTACACAAACCATAACCTAGTCTTCCAAGTCGGCTATGTAATTTATGGTACTTGTTACAAGAAGCTATTTTACTAGGAATCTCCTTCCGGTCTCAACCTAATTCTTCCAATCATGCAATTAGTGGCCAATTAATTGAAAGCATTAAGAACGGTAACAAGCACTCAACATGTATAGATAAATAAAATTAACAATATCAAAGAATTTGAGTATTCATAGCTAGGCTACATCGTAGCCCTAGTAAAAGGAATTAGCTCATGAAGGACTTATTGAGAATCGTGATGGTTGATGAAGATATGGAAGACACCGAATTCTCCAAGTAGAATGCCAAGGTTGCACAAGCTTTCTTCGTATTCTCCTCTGGATATTTCGGTTATGAGTATGAATATGTAGGATGATTGATGATGGAGGGATCCCTTGAATAATGACCTAAACTCCCTATTTATAATACTCCTACAAATCCTACCTATTTAAGGTATAATTACAATTGTTATAAAAGTAGGATTCCTCTTATAATAGGGTCTTCTTTATTTCTCCTTGTTTGACTTGATAAGACTTGAAATATCTTGAACTAGGAAATTTGACAACATTCCTTGCGACGAAAGGAATGACTTGGCTTCTTGACTTGATTTAATCTCCAATCTTCATCTTCTTGCCCTTTTTAGCACACTTTCTCATATTTCATAATTCCTTCACAAATCTCACAAAACCAATTAAACAACCAATTAAACTCAAGGAAATTAACAAATAAATAAGTAGAGGAGGCATAAAATATATATAAATATAGGCTTATCATTCATTTCAATCATATGGGTTATATTTCAATTTCTTTACTTCCGTTATCATCATCATATTACAAAACTCCAAATCATGCACCACTAATAGCAAATATATTACAAAAATCCTAACTTTATCAAAATTGAAATTACACTCAATTACTTACATATTACCAAATGCTGATTCCAAATGCAACTTAGGGTTTTCTCAAATGTAACAATTGAACATTGGCACTTATCACTTTCAAAATATACGATTTGCTTTCGCCACTTCGTTGTAACATTTGCTCTTACAATACAGCTTCGTCTTTTCCACTCAAATTATGTAACTGATTTTATTGGTAACATATGGAGTTGCCTTTCGACTTTCGTGGATTCGCACAACTAGCCGGATTCCAAAACATAGCTTTCAAATTGATGGTTTCTTGGCGCTTTTCAGTGATTCTGCATTCAAATCTTGGTGTTAATTTTTGGTTTGTGGGTTTCAAAATTTGGGTTTCTTTTCACCCATTCTTGTGAGGGGGTTTTTTTTTAAACCTGTTCTTATATGTAACCTTTTTAAACCCACGTTTTAATCTCAGTCATTGAAGTTCATCGAATGGCCACAATTGCTGTCGACAACTAAGCTATCTTTTTTTTTCTTTTTTTTGGGTCAAAAGGCAACTAAGCTATCCACATAAGAGAAATTCACATACATAAGAGCACCTCCACCCCAAATGGCAAGGGCAAGGCAAGGTTTGTCACTATTCACTTGAATAGTGGCAGCCTTGCCTTTTTTGCTGCCACCCCAAAAGGCAAAGGCAATGACAATTACTATTCATTTTAATTTATTTTCTATTTTTTATTCTTAAACCATTAATTTTGATAAGCTTTTTGGATAAGATTTTCGATTGCCACGTGTCACTATTCATTATAAAATTCTCACCTAAAATTTCATATAACATTTTTGGATAAAATTTTGGAATTAAATTTTGGAATAAGATTTTCGGCTGTCATGTGTCCATACGTTGTTATAACATTCAGATCTCAAGTTTCAGATAAGATTGTCGGTTGCCAAGTGTCTCATTTCATATAAGATTTTCAGATATTTATTGAAAAAATTATAATCTCATATTTCATATAAGATTTTCACACTCTAAATTAAGCCACATGTCTCATTTAAGATAAGATTTTTGGATATTTATTAAAAAAAATTCTAATCTTAGATTTCATATTAGATTTTCACCCTCTAAAATTGTGTCATGTGTCATCTCTATCTTCTAAATCCCTCTATAAAACTACACCCTCAACTCAGACCTCTCACACCATATCTTCTCTATCCTTTCATTTCTCAAATTTTACAAAACACATTTTACTCTCAATGTCTAACCTTAGGAGGGTGTTGGAGAGGTAATAACAAGAAGATGAAGAAATCAGACGTAGACGTGATAAAGAAGATCGTGAGTTGGATGAAGAGAAGGAATAAGTTGTTTTAGCAGTGGAAGAATTGCCTAGTTGTTTGGCAAAGAGATTATGGGAATATAAAGGGCCAAAAAAGTATAATTCTAGAGGCCGTAGCATCATTCGACACTTGGGGTTGGCATGCCTTTTTCAGAGTTGCCGAATCTCAGAATGACCTCAATGTGCTTGGTCAATCCCAAGTATTCAACGATGTCTTGAGAGGTTATTCCCCCCACATTACGTATCGAATATATAATACCGTATACTCAAGTGCGTACCACCTCGCGGACTAAATTTATCCAAGGTGGACGACATTCGTGAAAACAATTCCAAATCCCCCATTGGAGAAGGAAAAAAGCTTTGTTATCTTTCAAGAAGGTTATAGGAAAGATGTGGAAAAGTGTTTCAGTATCTTGCAAGCTCATTGGACAATTATTAGGGGTGATACTCAGATGCTTGATAAGGAGGTGCTTCAGAGCATTATGGTGACTTGCATCATCCTCCATAACATGATTGTGGAGGATGAGTATGATTATGATGCTCCAGAGGTTTTTGAACCCAATCCCATGAACACGGCATTGACAAGAATTTATGAAAGGCCGATGGGAGCAAATGGACAACCAATGGAGCACGAATTGTTGTTTCGGGATGGTCGATCAACAACCTTATGATTGACCGTTATCAGGAAATGCAATCTTCGTATGTTCACGAGAGACGTCAAGTTGACTTGATCGAGCACTTATGGGAGATGAAAGGCAATCACAATGGATGAAGTCAAGTTTAAAGCTTTGTTTGGAATTATGCTTTGTTTTGTGTGTGGTTTGTAATGAATTAAGGTTTGTTTTTATGTATGAAATGTTTTTAATAAATAGCTATATTATTTAATGGTTTCTTTATTGAATAAAAGGGAACAATACAATGAATTAATACATATGGCAACTCTTTCAATACAACCTAATGGTTTTGATCATTTAACCAATCCATGTTGCTAGGTCCATCGTCATGGAAAAGCTTTCCTCTCATAACATCCTTTCGTTTTAGCTTCCATAGGTCTTTGTTTCAGAGGACATATGGCTCATATCCATGGCCATGATTTTCATCTCTCTATCCTCTATATCTTGTTCTTGTGCTTTATGCCTTTCAATTGCATATGCATCACGGCATGCCTTGTCCGCTTCTTCTCTTTTCAAGTCTCTCTCAATTCTCAATGTGCCATTCCTAGCAATTTGCTCCAAAAATTGTGCACAATTAGTGTTCGAAGTGCTCCCTGTCTTGGCATTTGCTACCTTTCTCCCAATAGGTCTTGGCTCATGTTGGATTGGTGAGTCTTAATCCATTGGAGAGTCCAATGGCGAATCGGTTGCCGGTGAATCGTGGAGAGGCGTCTCATTCAACACAACCATCGGACCAATAGAAATAATTTTGAATCTTGAACAATTCTTCATAACGTCCCAACATTGGTGATTCATGAAACTTTTTTTGCCTTGGCCCATGGCACCAAACCACATTTGTGCTTGCATAAACTATTCAAAAAATAAAATAAAATGGAAATGCAAGAAAATATTAACAAATTGGAAATGCAAGAAAATATTTTAAAAAATGAATATGCAAGAAGAAGAAAAAAAGTGACATTAAATTGAATAAAACGGCATTTATAAATATTTTACCTCGTTTGCAAGATTCTTACTGCTTCGAATGTTTTCCCTCGCTTTTGCCAACACATCTCTCCATTTCCCTAATTCTTTATTCAAAATTTTCTACCTACTAGCCAAAGCCATTTCCGTCCAAGACGAATTCGATCTTTCATAATATTCTCCATGAATTTTTCTCCACATGAGAGAACTTCACAGGCAATGACCATTTTGTCAGCGCTGACGTCAGCAGCCTTCGAGCAACAGCCCCGTCAAATTTTGCCCGTGGACTTGCCCGGGCTGGACTGCGCACGCTGGAGATGGGTTTGTGGCCTAGGGCTGCCTTTTGCCCAGGCTAGGCCCTTGCGCTGGAGGTGGCCTAAGGGTCAGCCCTTTGCTTTTCTCCATGCGAACAAAGTCCAATAAACAATCTTAAGGCCCATACAGTACTAGGATGTACTTGCCTGGCCCAAATCCATTGATCAAGTCAAAATTACAACTTTCCCCATGGGGTGGCCGAAACCCTAAAACACAGAAACGACACCGTAATTTCGGATGTTAAAAGGGGCAATTTTGTCTGTCAGTCGAACAATAAAAAAAAACCACTCGCATCAAAACCCTAGCTCCATATCCCCTCGTCATATTTAGGGTTCTTGCCTCTCTTTCCCTCTCTATCTGCCGCTCTCATACCAGACCCCTACTGTGGCTGCAACTCAAAATCCCAAATGGTCTCTCTCTTGCTCTAGCTCTGGCTCGCTAGTGGATTTCTCTGTTTGTTTTGTATTTAAATGTTATCATGATCTTGTTATTGGTTTGGTTTTTTTTCTTTTCTTTCTGATTTGTTTTTGGCTGCTGTGAAATGCAGGCTTCAGAGAAGAAGTTAGCGAACCCCATGAGGGAGATCAAGGTCCAGAAGCTGGTCCTAAACATCTCTGTTGGTGAGAGTGGAGATCGACTTACCAGAGCCGCGAAGGTAGCCATTGCTATCCTCACCACCCATCTCACACAAATACCATGCAATTTACTTCTATAGATGGTTTATTTGTTTGTTTCTTATTTGAAGGTGTTGGAGCAACTCAGTGGACAAACACCCGTTTTCTCCAAAGGTAACATTGTTTTTCCCTGTCACCTGGTTGTCTTTTTATTGGTAATAAACTTTGTGATACTACTGGATACTAGTTCGCTTTAAATGGGTTTGTTTCCCTCACGTGCAAATGATACAGATTTATACCTAATAGGATGTAGGTACAGAAAATGATGCTATAGTTCCGGGTTTTGGGTTTCTCATTGTTTTGATTGATGGTGAAGAAGGAACACAAATAAAAAATCTTCCAAAAATCGCTGGTCTAACATGTAATTTTAAATTTTAAATCTTGGGTTTATGTTTCAATCTGTTGACTGCATTGTCTTGGTAAGGATTTGGAATGATAAATTATTTTGGAATACATGTAGTCTTCTAATTTTATTATAAATAGTAGGATATAAGTTTTCTTGGAATACATGGAGAGTCTTCTAATTTTACTATAAATAGTAGGATGGAGTCTCTTCTGATTTTGATATAAACAGTTGGACGCTGTTCGTGTATGCTCATCTGCTTGTGATTGTTGGATCAGTATACCTAAATTGTATTTTCTTTTTTAAGATGGTTTACAATTGAAAATGTTTGACTAGTGAAGGGCTGGTTTGTGCAACAATACATTGCTTGCGTAGATGCAGAAAGTTAAATCAAGTGTGGTTGGTTTCTGACTTCTGTGCTTTTAGGCCTTCTACTTTGATATGTTAAAGTCCTTGGGTATTGACTTTGGTGGTGAACTGGTGGGCGTGACGTTGTTTTAATTCAGACTATTGTGTCAAAAGTTGTTGAGTATAGCTGAAGTGATTGCTGCGGTTACCAATCCAGTAAACTTACCCTAATACAAAAGATTTTAGCTTAAGTAGTTGCTGAGGTTATTAGCGCCATGATTTGGTTATATTTGTTGTATTCTTTCTTTCATCTGTTTTATATTGTATTCTAATGCAATTTTCGCCTTTGCAATTTATAGCAAGGTACACTGTTCGATCCTTCGGTATCAGGCGTAATGAGAAGATTGCCTGCTATGTCACTGTTAGGGGTGACAAGGCCATGCAACTTTTGGAGAGTGGATTGAAGGTGAAGGAATATGAGTTGCTAAGAAGGAACTTTAGTGATACTGGTTGTTTTGGATTTGGTATCCAGGAGCACATTGATTTGGGAATCAAGTAAGCTGTTTCATTGGTTATTTGTGCATTCATTTATTTATGGGAGTTTCACTAAAACACCCAAAATGGGGGTTGAAATTATAAAAAAACCCAAGCACTATTTAAACATATAAACACACCCAAAACCCATCATTACACACACTCAAAACTCATTTATAAACACACCCAAAAAGTTGACTTTGGGGTTGATTTTGGGTGTGTTTCTATGTTTAAATAGTGCTTGGGTTTTTTTATAAATACATGTCTAGGATTGGGTTTATTTATAAATTTGTATTTATTTATTCCTTTAAAATATGAAACTTTGATTCCAATATTATCTTACTATAAATTCATATGATTCAAAACTATTTCTTGGCTACGATTTTAAAGATAAAATGCCAATTCTGCATTGCAGAGTGTAGGTTTTTTGCATGCATGTATTGTTTATTTGTTTGTAACTATTGTCATTTGACAGTTGAGTCTTAGAAAGCAACTGGAGTATTAGTTTGTTTGTTATTGTGTACTGGAAGTGACTGCAATGTATGGTTTACTGATTTGTCACAGAAACTTGGATAAATCTGGCTATTGTTTTCAAAAACACTGTTATTAGTTATACATTTTTACATTTTTGTCGCTTTTCCTGTCTCATGTGGCCAATTGGATGTTACTATCTTGGTTTGGTTGACTTTCATTCTTACTCTATCTTATTTATTAATTATGTATTTATCATTGTGCTTTTGCAGGTACGATCCTTCAACTGGTATTTATGGGATGGATTTCTTTGTTGTTTTGGAGCGTCCGGGTTATCGTGTTGGCCGTCGTCGTAGATGCAAGTCTCGTGTTGGGATCCAGCACAGGGTCACCAAGGATGATGCCATGAAATGGTTCCAGGTCAAATATGAGGGTGTGATCCTTAACAAGTCCCAGCAGCTCTCAGCTTCCTAGTTCCTTAGGATTGTGAAATTAGTTTGATCAGTCTCTATGACCTGCATATTTCAATTTTAAGTTTTGTCAAAGCTTGAGTTAATGTTTGGTGGACCAAATTCTGTTAATTTGTTGTTTTTTGAATTATAAGTTTTTGGAAGTACCCTTTAAGCTTTTGTAGTTACGGCTTATGATGAGTTCCTGAGTTGTCACGAATTTTGAGTGCTCAGTACTTCACACTTTGCTTTGAGCCTTAAAAACAAAATCTTTGAGCCTGAAAAATTGTTCAATTGAAAGTTATTGACGGAAGGTAAAGGGGGATAAACAGATGGCATTCTGTAAGGTATACTGCATCTTCTTGAAGGAAAGCGGGATAAACAGATGGCATTTGGAACGATCAATATTGGTCTCTCTGAATGTTGCCTACACATACCAAAAATCGAAACAAGAAAATGTTGAAATTTCAGAGCCTCTTTGCTTTTAAGCGAGGCACGGAAGACTCCGAGGGCAACTGTACTGCTCCTATAAAATTTGTTAAAAACAAGTTTAGTTAAATTTGGATGTCCAACACAATGTCTCGTTGTGAAAACTGCTTACAACTCCAGTACAGCCAAACCAATACTCAAAACAAGAAATGTCCAAACTACAAGGCCATGCCTGCTCTCTGCTTTTTAAGTGAAGAGACTCGAGATTGCAAGGGAAACTGCATTGCTTCTCCAAAATTTCTTTAAATGAGTTATGCGAAAACGACAGACGGAACGTATTCATGGAATGATAAGCTTCTTGCCAGCATATATTGTATCCCCTGTAAGACCATTAGCCTCTTTGATCGCTTCAATGGATACCTAAGATGTATATAAAAAGAAAACATATATCAAATCAAAAGCAAAACATGACTACCAAATAAAATATCATACTAAAAAAATAAAAATAGCATCATACCATTTTGTAGTGGAAAAAAAATTCATAATTCAAAGTGCAACATATTATTACTTTCAAAGGTTTTGGCAGTCATCCAACATAAATAAATTCTCACCCTCTGTTTCAGTAACAAACATAATAATAAGCCATATCATTGTGGTTACCAAACATTTCAAGTTGCTCCACCCAAGTATTTTAGAATGAGATCAATCAAATTCCAGCATTATGTTGTTTTGGTAATTAAGTAAACGTTCAACTCCGTTTTTCCGATTATTGTTCAGAAAAGAGTTTCTGAGGGTGCAAGTACTTAGGGTTTCCACACATATTCCATATGTTTAAAGTGGTAATGTAAGTAGGTCCTTCTATCTTTTGGTTCTTAATTATCGGCTGCACAATTGAACACCACCAGAATTACTTCTACTCATCCAAATTTTCTCTAAAGGAAATGTAAACTTAGAACATTATCATGTGCAATACCAAAAGATTAAAGAGAAGATAAAGTTTACCCCATATTCTCTAGAGAGCCCCCAAAGTGTATCTCCTTTCTCAATCTCTATTGTCTTATGCGACGACTTCGGTGTGTCTGGCACATTTTGGTCCATGCTCGTAATGGTTTTCTACAATGACACCCACAAATCAAATCAATGAGCTTTCAATAAAACAGCCAGAAACTTCAGAGTTTAGAGCCATGGCTTTCTCCAAACTATAATTGATGATCAAGTGCACAAGCAATGAGCAAATAGCGGCACCTTCAATGACCAATGTATCAAACAAAATCAAATTATAAGTAATGGGTTTTTCCAAAACGTAAACACTAATAAATAAATAAAACCCAAATGAAAGGTCACTCACTCAAGTAACAATAAAAATTCAAGAATCCAATTATGCAAGCAATGAATATCACAAAAACAAAAACCCAAAAGCAACAAAGAAATGGTTTACAAAATGTCAAATCGAAAAATTTCACACAAAACTGGATCAAAAACAGTAAATTGCGAAATGACATACGGGCAGAGGAGGGTGTGGTTCCTTGAGAATGGGTTGTTGTTGGGGAGGGAGAGGCTGAGGCTGAGGCTGAGGCTGAGGCTGAAGCTGAGGCTGAGGCTGAGGCTGAAGCTGAGGCTGCGAAGAAGTCAGCTGAATGGGCTGAGTTGACTCACTGAGTGGAGTTTCTTCATTTCTTTTTTTGTTAAAAGGGTTTAACGCTTTGAGAATGCTCAGGGCGATGCCCGAGAAGACCACCAACCCGGCAGTCTTGGCGACGGAATTGTCTTTGGAATCGCCGTCGCCAGCGGCGGAGCTTGGGTCGGCCATTGATGGTGGGTTTAGGGTTTAGAGTACTGAGCGAGAGGGAGGAGGGAGGAGGGCTTTAGAGTTTGTTTGTTGGGGTTATTTTCAGGGTCGAGGCAAATTCACCAGACAGAAAGCTACCTACTTCGGTATTTTTTTCAAACTTCGGACTGAAAAAGAGAGCCTTTCAGACAAACACGCAATTATTAAGATATTTGTAATTTTGATTTTAGCAATTTTATGTTTGTAGTTTATTAATTATTGCAATTAAGGGATCATCGTGACTTCATTTCGTCCAATTTTTCCACCGGAATTTTGATAGAATGAAGTAGAATTTTGAAATTAAGGGGTCCTAGGGATGAGCACAGATCGGTCCAGTAAGCTAATCTCTAGGTGTCATTTGGTGACTAGTATTGGATTGGATACTTTTTATAATTAAAGTATGTTTAAAAAAGAAATAAAAACTTCATAGACTAAATTGAAGGTAGAAGATGGATTACTCATGGACTATATTGCACCGATATGAGCATAGGGTTATCGTTGACTTTCCTGAAAGTTAGACATTCCAATACGTTTTTGATAGTTTAAGGACACAGTCCCGATACATTTCCGACACTTTAAAGGGTAATTTTGAAAATTATAAAATCTTATGGAGTCAGAAATTTGGGAACTAGTTTCTCAATGTTTTAATTTGTTTTTGTGTTGCTTTTTATTTTTATTTTTATTTTTATGGAGACTTGTATTTTGTGTTTAGTTTTATGTTTTGAAATCATGACGAATGATTATAACATGATGGATGCAATATTAATTAATTAATTAATATTATTTTAATCTCCGTATTGGTACCCGTATCCTAGTTTTTACAATTTTGCCATATCAACGAATCGTATCATATTGTATCAGCGTACCTGTACCTATGCAACATAGCTCATGGAGAAACTTATTTACTCTAATTCTCACAAAATGGTAGGATAACAATACCTTATAACTAATCTCTCTCTCGGAAATGATTTTAGTGCCGCACTAGGGGAGGAGTTATTGTTCCTCCTCTCCTCTCCTCCTTCCCTCTATTCTCTTCCTCCAATTTCCTATTTTCCTCTCTCTCCTTTGTGAGAGTTCATCCACTCCTCTGTGAGAGTTTATTTTACTCCCTTTTTTTCCTAGTTGTTTGTGTTTCATTTCTTCTCCTCTTTCCTCCTCTCGCTACTTGTGAGTCAGCAGCTCCTCCCACTCTCCATAGGTGCATTTTCTCGGAGCTATGTCTCGGGTATGAGGTTTTTGTCTCCTCTACAGTCTCTTTCATGTGTTCTACGACTGCCTTTCTTTGTTGATTCTCAATCACCACCCTGTGCTCCTTGGCTTTGCGGGTGTAGCTTTCGTCGATCTCCTTCGGTGCCAGTATCAGTATGTGGTGTGGGGATGCGTTTAGAGTGTTAAATACACCAGTTCCTTGGATTATGAGAGCACATTTTGTGCGGGTGGCTTGTTCCCCCATACTTTGTTTGGATCTTTGGTGTGTGTTAACAGTTTCTTTTCAGTGATTGTGGACTTGCGAGGTGTTGCAGCATGTGTTATGTGGGATTGTAATTGGGCCATCACTTTGTCTGTTGTGTGGTTTTATGTTTGGGCCTTTGTTTTTTTGTTTTGTTTAGGTTATCTTTGGTTTGTGGCTTTCCACCCTATCGTAATGCTTTTTAATTTAAGGTATTTTAGGTTTTAGACATAAAAAAAATTTCACTTTTGGAAAAAGCCAAAGCTTTTTCAAAAAAGACAAAAAAACCGCTCAACTTTCAAATCAAAGACATGCAAATGTATTGAATTCCTTAGGAAATCTAAAAATAAATAAGGGCATTTTTGTCCATTTATGCTTCTTTTAAAATTTTTCTCTCTCCTTTTGCTTTTTCTAAAATGTCCCTTTAATTTATTTGAATATAATTACATTGACCAAAAAAATAAAGTTGACCACAAAAACAGAAGCCCCCATATTTTGTGGGTTCCCGTGGGGAGGGTAATAGCTGAAACGTTTACGACCTTATACAGATTTTTCAGGTTTTATGTAGAACCTCAAAGGAGTTTCTGGGACTTTAGGGGCCACCACAACCACTTCAGGCTTATCTTAGCCAATGAAGAAACACAATAAAAATATCTTAGCCAATGAATAGAGAGCGCATGGAAATGTGATCTTAAAGTAGAGTATATGGACAGTTGGGTTCGACGTACCGCAAGATCAAAGGTTTGCAAATTGTTATGTTTAATTGAGTTAACCAGTTGGTGCTATTTTCTGCTGTTCTGCAAAACACTATATGCAACCAAACCAACCCAGACTAATCGATTCGATTCAGGTCAGTTTTTCAATTAAAAATTTCCAGTCTTAGTAAATACAAAGAAATATGTAGGCAGCGATGAAAAATATCAAATAAATACAAAGAAGAAACTAGCATTTGAGATGCATCATTGAACAAAAGCTGTGGCAAGATTGAATTGAAGGCACAAAAGTTGCATCATAGATGAAAATTACATAAGAATCCAATAGATTACTGTCTGGGAAAGGCACATAAAAAAGCCTTCAACAAAATCTCAAAGACCAGTGGCAGTCAGTTACAAGAACTCGAGGGCCTCTCTTAAGACGGCACACTACCATCAAGAGACGGAAGAAGAGTTCACTAAAAAAATTTCCACTCTAAACTCTCACTCCGCATCCTAAAGAAGTACACACAACTTAAAAGTTACATTTTAATTATGTATTCAGATCTTCAACTGACAACCAAAGCTTTGTAACTAGTGATTTTCAAAATTCAATCCTTGCAGAATTGAAATCTAAAACATGCTTTTCATCTGTAGACAACAAAAGATTACTAACTCAGAGCAATACAAACGAGATCGTTAAACTGTGACACAGAAAAAGTTAGTCCTCATCCATCCCTGCAGGCTGATCTCTCTTACTTGGGCCACCTGCTGGTTTTGCCATTATAATCTGCAACACAGAGAGTTTTGTCAACATAATTATTTATGATTTAAATGATAATCAACATCACATATTCTTGCAATTAGATAAATTAATTTTAACACTTAATTGATGCTAATCATCAAACCAACTTTCATGTTCTCACAAAAACAAAACAGCTATTATGTCTTTTTTTTTAGTCTTGTTTTGTCAAGAGCAAAATCATTGAAAAGCGGCCCAACTTATATCCAATCAGTTATGCTAAAGTGGGTATTTCTAGCAGAAGATATATTAGCAATACATTTGAAAGTCATAAATCCTTGTCTCACAATTTCAAAATCCCTCGCTGTTCAATTCTTTGTAAAATAGAGGTACGCCCAACCCTACATCAATCTTAATAAAGAATTATACCTACTGCAGTGACGCTATATTTAACAAATTCTGCATTTCCCAAAGGAACTTCAAAAAAATATCATATTTGCCTCCATTGTTTGAAGTATTGGTACGAGTTTCATAGGTTTCTTATTTTAATCCAAACAACAGCTCAAAGACGAGTTTAAAACCAGATGCACTTAGTATTTCAGTTTTCCCTCTGGTCTGAATGATTCAGTTCGAAATTAAAGTTGGGTACTCCAAAAGTTGGAAAACCCAATAGTTATTAGTTACTTACTTGATCTACTCGTAGAACAGTGCAGGCAGAATCTGCAGCATATTTGAGAGCAAAAAACCTGTAGCAAACATCCCAAGAAAGATCAGGCCAAAAATAAAAAAAGAGCCGAACATAGAATATGATGCCTATATCGTATATAAAACAAATTTTTAACCCAAAGTTTACTTATAAATCACAGTGATTTCAATAAGAACATTGAATTCAAAGAGATGAATGAAAAACAACTATTTACAATTAATAAAACATCTGATGTGTATGAGTTTGAGATATGAACAACGCTTGGCTTACATGTCATTATTCCTCCTTAACTGAATCTTCACTTATTGAAAAATACTACAAACCCTTTCATATGGATGTAACTCATACGAAAATCCATAATGAGAATACATCCACTAAATTGATAGAGGATTTTAAAAAGGTTAGAATCGTCGCTGCATTATCCTCAAGAAACCAACCATTTCTTGAAACCAAAACATAAATAAAGCTTTCAAAATGGATATATAGCTACATCTATATACACAAACAGAATAATGAAGGGAAAAAACACTGAATAACTGGGTTCCATAGAGTAAAGGATTTTGGCAAAAACATGAATTACCACAAATCATGGACTTCAGGCCAAAAAACAAAAATACAAATCATGGACTAGATTAAATATTACAAATGTAGACAACTGCCTAATTATGCCCTATTATCCATATTACAACTTCACCGCAATACCCCCACAAAGCTAAATTAAATTGCACTTTGATATATAACATCAACAGGACACATGCACCAATCAAATGAACCACTAATAGAAGCAGCAGGAACTCATTGGCTAGCAAAACCTCCAGAAAGGGCATGGGAATTAAAAGAGTCCTCTACCAAAAAGAAATTAAAAATTCTAGACCCAAATTTAATGTACAAAACTTACTCTTATTACCAATATCACATCAAGCATCACAGTTGTAACAACATACAATGTAATGAAAACTTCCACACACAAAAAAAAACATAAATCGTTACAAGACAAAGAAAAGCTTACTTAGTTATGTGGAGGTCCCAAACATTTAGAGCTGACACGTCTCTGCAAACACCGTCTTCCAAGTCGATGCCAACTTTGGTATTTCCCGATGCATGCTCAGCATAAAGGGACGATATGATCTCCATTGCATTACGCCCAGCATTCTCAGCGAGAGTTTTAGGCACCATCTCAAAACTTTCGGCAAATTTTGCTATTGCATACTGATCCAATCTGCAAAACCATTCTTTCTTTAGTATGCTATTTCACTAATGCCCAATCGTGACCTATGATGGACACACCCAAAAAAAAATTTAATTTAAGTTCCGATAATTGGTGCAGGCCTCCAGATTCTACTTTATGCTTTCAGGTACAACATTACATGCGTATTATGAAAACCAATAATTCAGATCAATATCAAAGAACTCTAAATGATTCAAATCAAAGTACTTTACAATTACCTATCTCAACCACACCTTTTTTGGACCAGAACATCCATGATATATCAGTTTCTTTCTTTTGTTCTTTTTAGTGCTAGGAAATTGCACCTTCATGTGCTACCTAAGTTTGATAATTTAAAACTGTAAAACGGGTGTCCCTCTCTAGTTGGGTTGTAATACCCAAGATGCTTCTTTAAGGCATTTTCTAGGAAATTTATTTGGATACCATTTTAATTTTTTATACATCTTGTATACTTCAATTTACCCCATACCACAATTTCAATAAAATTCTTTATATGATATGTATTCCTCATACTCCACAGAATCTTGCATAGCAATTTCCAACTCCTTTGAGGATATATCTTTGTTATTGTTGATAATTGCTGTGTGACTGTACCTTAAAGTTTTCATAGAATCAAGCAAAAATATCTAATAGTGGTGAAAGTTAGGCATATTGCAGACATATTGTGTAAATCACTTCAAATGAATAAATTCAAAAGCAGAGGCAATTTACCCTGTTTCTTTAAAAGAGAATTCCTTCAGTCTCCTAGCTAACTCAATTTCAGTTGCCGCAGCACCAGGAACAATACGGCTATCCTTGCACATTGCCTGAAAATGAAATGCATTAAGATAGTAAGATATCAATGACACCTGATCGAAGATTTTTTTTTAAAGTTCCAGAGAACCATATGCTAACAACAATTTCAGAGGTAAAACAAACCCAGCCTAGCAAGACATACAAAATTATAAATGTGCCTTATAAATTACCTTGTAAGTGTTCACTCCATCATCAACTGCTCTTTCAAGGTCATCTAATATACTTTCAGTACTTCCTCGTAGAAGCACAGTGGATACAGAGTTGCCACCTTCTTCATTCTTCACAACAGTGACCTACATAGTGGACACGTTAACAAGAAATAAGAAAAACAAATGAGGCATGAATAAGAAAATTTATAGACAAAATACACTGTCTGAGGAAACATTTCTTATCATACCCTAACACCAGCAATTTCCTCCACCGAGACAGAGTCAACATATCCCAGATCATCTGGGTTAGGCTGGCCAAGCTTCAACTGTTACAAAAATACAAAGTGTATTAAGAAGCACTCGATAAGGTACACATAAAATATCAAATTCTGTAAAATTACCATGGCAACGGCACCAGTTGTGCGGCAAAATCGTCTCAATTCAAATTTTGAACTGATTTTCAGCACCATGAGCCTAGAATCAAGAACTAAAAAGTTAAAACACTAAAAGAGTTCAAGGATCTCTAAAAGAGATCTAAATATCTTTAAATGGGTAGTACATAGTGAAAGTGTCTACCTAAACTCATAAGTCCCAGTTTATGCTACAATTACAACATTACTGCATATACACAGGATGAACGCACAGGGGTCGAAAAAAGTTTAACGAAATAAAAAAGCCATTGAAACTTACTTGTAACGCTCACAAAAATGTAGTGCCATCTCTCCTACTGCTGCTCCACTGACAATTACTTTGGCACCTGAATCTGCAACTGCTTTGATGAGCTCCTCAACTTTAGCTTCTTCAGTTTTTGCATAATTTTCTAGCTACAGGATGACCACGAAACCACTTATTAGCTAATAACAGATCAACCACATTAAACCTAACTATGCAAATAAATTAAACAGATAGGCAAAGATAATTTCCAACATCCAAGCCAAACAAGAAAGAAAGATCAACTTTAATATACTGAGACTGATAGTGACAGACATCAGATACCCAGAAAAAGGTCAAAGCATTTTAAAACAAAGCCAGTTAGAATAGTTATGCAAAAACTAGAGAATTCAAGCACCATTCAATTCAAACATATTTACCAATAATCAATTTCCTGAAATGAAAAATAAATAATGAAGCTAATAATTGAAAAAAGTTTGCAAAGGAAGTTGTAGGGGAGAATGATTTTACAATAGCCTGCATGAACAGAAGAGTTCCTGAGTTGTAATCTGCATATCTAAGATATAAAGCTGAACATTCCCTACAGACTAAGCAGGCTCGATCATACATTAGGTTATGCTGCTTATCAGAGTTTTAGGACCCACATCAACCTTTTGTTTACCAATGTCCACGTAGCACTGGTTTAACAGGAAAAACCAAACTCACACATGTAGACATACAGATATATCATTATATGGGTACACGATCCTGATTCTTAAACATGATCTCGCAGTTCAAGAGGTGAAGATCAAACAATGCGGCAAAACGTAAAACGCCTGCCTCAAGGCCCAAAACCCGAAGCTAAATTCTAAATCATATGCCCTAAAACCCAACACTTCACCCTAGAGTACTAATAAACCATGTTGTACTTGTAACAGGGAAAAGAACTACTAAAAAAACCTATAAGGTAAAGGGTATATATGATATATTTATAGGTACATGCACTTTGGATGCACGTATCTGGTACCAAATTATCAATTATACGTTGAGGAATCAGTACTATATACAGAATGTAGAACATTTTACTAGGTTACCAGTTGTTAAAAATCCTCATCTCCAATGGGTCTAGAGTTTACTACAATTTCAATCACAAACCAGGAGATTTTAATTGATTTCATAAAAAATTAGTCATCCTGATTTGTTAGTACACTGATATCATGGTTAAGCTAAAAGCTTCGGTTAGGAATCCATACTAAGAAGAGTGGATTCCCTCTTGAAGAAATCATCGTGAGCAGAAAGTAAATGTTATTCTGTACTTGCTTTTAGAACTAAAAAAGGATCCTTGCTCCAAAACTACAAGTTATCCAACAAACACGAAAGACCAAGAACAATCTTTTGCCAAAGTATCAACACAGAAGTAACACAACTAGCACAAGTGCTACGGACCTGAAGACAAGAACAGTAAAACACCAACACATTCCAGTAATATAGTAATAAAAGTTAAAATTATAGAGTTTTAAATCAAAATTTGAGTCCACAAGACATAAATATCTAATATCGAAAAAACCATACAAAATGGCCATACTATCACAGAAAATGGTAAATCACATTAGAAGACATATTTAATGTTTCATGTACAGCCCTTTTACAGAAGACAAAGGGGAAATTAAAAAGCATAACAAGAACCAATAGATTAGAAATAAATTAAACCGTATGAAACGTATGCATATGAGGCAAAATTTAACTAGTTGCACACAGAATAAGCTTTCAAGAAACTGCCACTAAATCTGACCTTATGGTGTAACCAAAAAAATATTTGACCTTATGGAATCAGTTGCATATAACCACACACACACACATACACACAGAGGGAGGGAGAGGGAGGCGAGCACTTTAGTCTCCTGCTATATATACAACATAGAAGGCTTCTCTGCATAATAACTTCAACACAGAGAGAACCTTCCTCTTCAACAATTACCTGGTCAGCAGAATGAATTAGGACAGTTCCTTTGGTCTCCGTTGCAGAGGTATCAACGCCACTAACAAACACAGCAACCTGAAAAGGTATAACAGAATATTAAAGCTGAGAAACCTGAACCTTTCAAAAATAAATTTAGACCACATAACATGGCTAAAGGGTTCTTATAATAAAATATTGCAACTGGATCACACAATTAACAACAGATGTGACCAAGTACAAAGTTAAACAGAAGCACATTGCAAGTTAAACAGAATGAGAACACTAAAAGTCAGTCAATATTATTCATATCAGCAATTCGAAATATTATTAACAATTTTAGCTCACAAAACCCAATCTAGTTTAATTATTCAAAAAATCGAGAAATGAAACATTTTAAGAAAACTTTTAACAGATATATGTACAATTCATGAAGCACAAATCACAAAATTTATCTGCTATATATAAGTTAAATAACAAATTCAAATGAAACCAAAAAATTACTCTTGGTTATATCACCATAATTCCTCTTAGGGCCAGTTTAAGTATATACAAAAAAATTTGTAACAAATCACCACATAATAAGAAACCATAAATCTGTACGAAGCTTGAAAAATTATTGAAACGCTTGTGATGGTAAGTGAATGTCCACTAATCTCTTATATGTTGAGTTTTCAATGGTACATTTTACCGTTTTGCCTTATTTTGACACAATTTTCCCGCTACGAGAAACAAAGAATAGGTACTTCAAATTTGTGGAAATCAGTATCAACCAAAGAAAGGACCCAAAAAATAAACAATGTTAGCCTTTGTAATGCTCAAGTCACATGCATATAGAAAAGCAAAAATCTAAATAGTCAAAGGTATGGTGCATTCCTCTGAACTTTAATATATGAAGCGCTGCACGTAATGACAAGAAGGCTGCTGCACATTTTGAGAATTAGCATATTATTGAAGACTATGCCTAAAATTAGTGTTTTCAAGGTAAGATCATGAAATTGGAAGTCGTAATCATCACAGTTATAAGAAACTAAAAGAATCACTGTTATGTGGTACATAACCATCCAATATTCATGCCATTATTTGTTCTGATTCCAAAGGATTGAAGTATGACAACCTTTTTTTTTTGGAAATCGAAATGTGACAACTTGGGAAGAGGGCATTGTATGGTACACAGCAGACCAACACCTATCCTATCCGGACTGGTATTTGCTTTGATTAATTATCATCAGTTTTACATCATAACAAGTCAACAAACCTACCATTTCCATAGATTTTTCTTACATCATACTATCTAACACAAGCAAACAGCAATTCAATATAGGCAGCTGGCACTGGCAATCACAAACCACCTTGATGACATTTAAAGGTAACAAAAAGGCATGATAATCATGCTCATTTTCCTGTGATAATCATTGCATATCTTCTTCCTCACACCCTATATTTCCTTCCTCGCACCCTATATTTCATGCTGCAAGTTTCAATAAAGTACACTCCCATCCATCATTTACAAGAAATTTGATATTAAATTCAAAATAATACCCACAGGAACCAGTAAATTGAGTCTTTATAACAGAAGCCAAAGGTAAAGAATACTGAACCACTCACAAAATGGTGCTAAAAGACTCAAAGTAACTAGAGAAAGTTGACCAAAAAGTAATTAGAGAAAGACCAAATCTGTCAAAGACCATGAACAAACAGAGCACATCATTTAATGCCATAACATACATATGTCATGAAAAAGTTAAAATACATATACATAAAGGACTGCTAACCTTGGCCTTCTCCATTCGCTTTATACTCCCCACAGCATCAGTTTTCAACACCATGCCTCGAACTACTGTACAATTATGCAAACCCCCTCCCACAATCTTTGCAACACGTACATTGTCCACATTAAAGTTTGTTGGGTTCTTGGGACATACTTGTATGCATGCCTATATTGTCCAATCAAAGAGTTACTATTAGAATTTGCTTACAAAAGTGACATGCTATTCTTCTTTTCTTTTCCTTTTCCTTTTCCTTTTCTTTGCTTCTAAATAGCTGGGTAGCTGACATAGAAAATAAGCAATAACAAATAAGGGTATGCAAGTTATAATTACATCTGCGACAAGTGAGGATAAGATATCTTCTTGTCCAAATTGCTTGCTGGCAACAGCAGCTTTCATTCTACAAACCACTTCTTCTTTGTTGCGAACATCCATTTTCTCAGAACCTTCCTCAACCAGTTCATCTAAGATTTCAATAGTCTGAAATATCCCAAAAATAAAAATAAAATCAGAACGGAAGAATTCCAATAAACCCAAATGGGTAAACAGTCAGCAAATCATTTGAATAACCTTTGTGATAGCTTTATTGTATCCACTAATGATCTCACTTGGGTGCAGGCCCATCCTTATAAGCTCTTCTGCGTTTTGCAGGAGCTCCCCAGCAAAAGAAATGGTCAGATTAGCACCGTCACCGATTTCTTCTTGTTGAGCCCTGCCTGCCAAAACCAACAGCTTGGCAGCAGGATGCTGAACCTCAAGCTCATTGACAATGGTGGCAGCATCATTTGTCACAAAGAGCTTGTCCAAATGATTGATTACCATCTTATTCATACCTGAGCAGTAATGAATACAAACAAATTTTAAGAAATTAACTGATTTCAAATCTGATCAACTGAGACTGTGAGTTTTAGAGTAAGAAAACGATACCATTGGGACCCAGAGAAGTTCGAGTGATGGTAGAGAGTTGCTTGCAGGCATCGATGTTCTTCACTACCGCTTCGTCCAAGCCGGAGAGGTGCTTGTGCCCCTCCTTCAGCATCGACTGTATACCGTAGGGCTGCATTGCGAACTACTTCTTTCTTTCTGTTTTCACCAAAACCCTAACCCTAAACCTCTCCTGCCTGAAACTAAAAGCGCTTTTCGTTTTCGAAACAGACAGCGCGGAGCTCCTTCCCTTTTCAAAAATAACACCTCTAACCTTTTCCAAAGAACTTGACTAAGAGGCCCTTGGGCTGGTGACGGAGGTTGATAAGACAGGGTTGGAACTTGGAATGCCTTCCCAAAAAAATAAAAAGGCTTAATATCACAAAACGTCACTAAGATGTACGAAACTATCATATTGCATCTTTAATGTTTTTTATATCATTTGTAGTCCTCAAGGTTAGTATGTATACTCACAAATGGTCCATGCCGTTAGGTTCCATCAAAAATTCTGATAGTTTGCTAACATGGCATATAATATATATCACAAAACATCCCTGAGTATCACACATCTATCACAAATGGTCCCTGCGAATTTTTATATATTTTTTCATTTAAAATTCATAAATTTTTTGTTTTTATTTTATTTTATGAATTTTAAATTATTTTAAAATATATATTGTATTTTAAATACACGTGACACTATATTATTGGAGATGTGTGCTCTACATATATGTAACATCAACAAAGCAATAAAGTTTTTAAAAAATAATTTAAAATTCATAAAATCGAAAAATAAAAAACCAAGGGTTTAGGGATCATAAATGGTCCTCAAGGTTTAAATCCTTCTATAAATAGTTTTTTTATTTTTAAATTTTATGAATGTTAAATTATTTAAAAAAAAACTTCATTACTTTGTTGATGTGGCATATATGTGAAGCCCACATCTCCAATAATATTGTGTCACGTGTATTTAAAATACAATATATATTTTTAAATAATTTAAAAAAGAAAACCAAAATTTTATGAATTTTAAATGAAAAAATAAAATAAAATAATTGCAAGGACCATTTGTGAGAGGTGTGTAAACCTCATGGATGTTTTGTGATATATATATGTCACATCAGCAAACTAACGTAGTTTTTAATGAAAGCAGAGACCATTTATGAGCACACATACTAAGCTTGAGGACCACGAATGACAAAAAACATGAGATTTTTTATTTAAACCCCGCACTTCTCTTTGTTCACCTTAATACTTAAATCATTAAGCTGTAAGTTTTATTAGTGTAAAAAGACAAAAAAGGTCATCCAACTTAATACTTAACCCTAGTACATCTATACACACACTCCACACACCCCACAACTCTTCATATTAAGTTTTATAAAAATACAAACTCCTCTACATTGTATTGCCGGATTACTGTTCAGACGTAGAACATTGACGAGTCTGCCTCTTTAAAATCTGTGTGGGAGCTGATGGAAAGACTTATTGATTGTTTGGCTGTAATGATCTTATTCTCTTCCCTTTATTGATTGCTTGGCTGTTGATTGCATTTATTTATTTTTATTTTTTTTGCACTCTTGGCTGTTGATTACTTTGTTATTTTGATTTTTTATTTAAAATTTATTGGTAAAGATGTTCTCTTTCTCTAGATACAAAACAGTTTAGCTCCTTTATTAGTATATCCCCACGGCGATTGAAACGATTGCAAATTAGACCTTGCAAGTTGTTCTCCATCCCTGAAGCAATTTCTTAAAGGTGACAGGTAGCCCATGTAGGAGGACTTGTTTGAGCTCTTAAAATTTGCAGACAATTAGGTTTCACAATTATAGATGATTCTTTCCAAGGCTTGAAGAGAAAGATCAGTCGTCACTTGTCCCCTGTATCCTTAAACTGATGCGTAGCACATACTTTTGCTTCAAACTTTCACCCCAAACAAAATCTCATGTATACTACAAATATTGTTTAATGATTTAAGTATTGGGTGAACAAAAAAAAAAAAAAAAAAAAAAAAATTGCGGTTTAAATAGAAAATCTCTTTTATTTATTATTTTTCAGCTTAGGGTGTATTTAAGGGTAGTTGGGAAGATAGTGGGGTTTTCTTAGAAATAGTGAAAATTTAAATTAAAAGTCGAGGTGAACTTAGAATATGGGGTGGACTAAGAGAAGTATGGGGTTTAAATAGAAAATCTCAAAAACATTAAGAAATTGGAAATCCAAGAAAATATCAAAAAATATGACATTAAATTTAATAAAACAGCAATTACAAAAATTTTACCTCGTTGCCAAGATTTTCGCCGCTTCCAACGTTGTTCCTCGCTTTTGCCAACGCATCTCTCTATTTCCCTAACTCTTTATTCAAAATTTTCCACCTACTAGCCAATGCCATTTTCGTACGAGGCAAACCCAATCTTTCACAAAGTTCTCCATGAATTTTTCTCCACATATGAGAGAACTTCATCTCATTGTCCGTGATCGGGCAATGACCAACTTGGACACAACACTCACACAACAAAACATCTTCCACGTTTGTCCACGAGCATCTGGCTTCGATTGAAGAGGTCATTTGTCTTTTTACACAAATGAAATTTAGTAGTAGAAAATTTGGTGTGGAAAATGAATAATACTAGAAGGAGAAGAATTTGTATGAAGAATTGGTGTGAAAAGTAAATAATATTGGTAGGTATTTAGATATATAAAAAATTCAAAATTTTTGGTACTTTTTTCAATTTTTATGTTGTTGGATAGTAGTGGAAGAATGGATTGGACACCCCAAATAGCGCTACGTGGCTTCTATCTGTTTGGAGAAAGTAGGCGCTAACGTTAGCAACAAAAATTCAACAAAAAAAATTACCGTTGGTGTGTGTGATGTGCACGATCCCTGCGTGTACATCACATGCCAACGGTAAAAAAAATTGATTTCTTGCGCTGACACCGTCATCGGTGAGAGGGTGGGCTGATTTTGCCTTGGGTCTTGCCCGGGTTGGTGGAGCCCATCTCTTGCCTTGGCAAGAATAGGGCACTGGAAACACGAATGAAGGCCTAGGGGGCCTCTTGCCTGGGCTAGGGCATCCAGCTAGAAATGCTCTAACATGACCCAATAAATAATTCATAACATGCACAAATTTTACTCGGATCAACCCGCACAATAAAAAATCAGGTCAAATTCAAGTCAGTCCACCAAGCCAATATTAATAAATGGATAGGTGTGAGGCAAACTGTTTGTTAGCTTACTCAACTCATTTTGTGTCAACCCGTCACATTTAAAATGTTTAATTTTATTAATTTAAACATAAGATGTATAACATAATACATGCAATATAATAATAATAATTTTAAACTCCAATTTAATAAGTCAATCAATGTAAACTCATAACTATTACTTATATATATATATAACTTTTATTTTAAATAAACAATATTCTAAACTACTCTATTCTCTGGAGATAGGGACTTGAACTTGTGTGTAAGAGTGTGAGCATATTGCCTAACCCACATATGCACAAACACTAAACATCTTGTTTTTTAATAACTTAATCACATTATTATTTTAATTTCAACACTATATTCATCTATCTACTATCTTAGATTAGGACATACATAACGAATACTCAAATCATTAAACCGCATTGAATTAACATAAAGAAAATCGAACTTTGTCAATTATAAACTATTTATTACCAAAATATTAGGCCTATAAAAATGGTCTAAGCCCGATGGGCAAGTCCGAATTCAGTCCTATTTTTTGGGCTATGAGTTAGTCTGATATGATATTGTGGACAATCTTAGCTTAGCCTGTTGTGTAAAGGGCATGGCCTAATCCTTGATTTGTAAGCCCATAGGCAGCCCGGCCTCACCCAATATTATCATTAATCAATTAACATTAATTAAAATTATATTTAAGGATATTATTAAATAATTATTAAATTATGAAAGTGATGTTTCAATTATTATACTATGGAATTATTGATAAGTCCTTGGAAGACCATAATGTACCCCACGCCTCATGCTTGATGCCTACCACGTTGTCTCCTGTATAGTTTTTTTTTTTGTTTTTTTTTTCATTCGCTTGGGAGGGGAGGGGGAGTAATATATTGAGTTGCCTCAAGATTGTCTTTTAGGATAATTGAACCCGAGTGTACTTTGGGGGGAGGGGAGATTTTGACCCATTTTTCACTATGGTGCCACCACATGTGTCTCTCCTATATTTGTTTATACAAGATCATCTCATAAGGCAATGGCTCCAATATAATTAACACAAGTGAAGATGGCACATTATGTGTTTTAGAGGGGCTGGCGGCAACAAATTTTAAAAGGCTATATTAACTAAAATGACTTCAAACTTCAATTATACCAAAAAAAAAACAAAAAAGAAAGACTTCAACCTTCAAAGGCAAGGTTGTTGTATAAAAACCTACATTAATGAGTTTCATAACACAAGAGTCTGACACTCTTCTCTTGAAACAATATGCAATCTTAATTTTCAAGGTTAATTACAATTTTGGTCACTAGGGTTTGGCCCAATTTTAATTTCGGTCACCGCACTTTTAATTTTCTGATTTTGGTCATCACATTTTGCATCATTAACAAATCAAGTCCAATTGGGAATTCCATCAGTTAAGACGCATGTGGTGCATGTGTGCATAGGTATTATTACCTTTTCACCTCAGCCCCTTAATCATAAAACCATCATCGCGCGCAACTTTTCCCTTAAAAAAAATTAGGATTCTGAAATTTGGGAAAAGGATGGTTTATTTCGAGGTATAGGGTTTGATTTAGATTCAATCGATGAAAGGGAATCATCAATTTCATGTAAGAATTCATCCATTTTTAGGGTATTATTTATTGTTTGATTTGGTTCTATGTCAATTTCAGTTTCTAAATTTTCCTATTTCTTTGTTTTTATTCGTTTAGCTGCATTTCTTATAGTTTTCAAATGTCTACTTCATCTTCTCATGGATTGCAGTGCCCTTTATGTAGAGCTAAAATGAAACTGCTTCTATCAATAGAACAACATTACAACAAATATTTCAGGAAGTGTACAAGGAAATATGTAAGGCATAGTTTTGAATCAGTTTTATTTTATGATATGGATATTGTGGTTATGCAAAGTGGTTGTATGATGTAGGGAGGTGCGGGATGCAAAGGTTTTGTATGGTGTGATGATGTTGACAACACAAAAGGGGGGGGAAGATATCATCTTTAGAGACTTGCAACGGACTGAAAACAATGGTAGCAAGGGCTTGGTGTTTCAATCTATGCAACTACAAGTTGGAGATGTTTTGAATCTACAAAAAGGAATAAAAGAGATATTGTTGATCATTTGTATCTTGATTGTTGTCAATGTGGTTTTCAATTTAATTAAAAAAAATGAGGTGCTTAGATGGTGTTTCAATTTGGGTAAAGACATGTTTTGGTTGTAACATCTTGCTCAAACGTTTTGGTTGTAACATTATGATCAAAATTTGGGGAAAGACATATATCAAAGGTTGTAAATTTATAGTCATGAAATGAAAACATTCAGCTTTTATTCTGGATGTTACATTCTTTGGCTCATATGAAATGAAATGGAATGGAAACATGCACATGGTGCAGTACACAAACCAACATACACATGCTGCTGTACACAGACTTGGCCATGATTCACAAAATAAGCCAAAATACAATGTCTTTAGAAATAATATACACATGCTGCAATATACAGACTTTATCTTGATTCACAGACTTTACCAATGAAATTTTGATTTTTCTCCTTCTTTTTGTTTGATTTTGTTCATTTAATCCCTTTATTCACATGAAGGGCAATGAAGATGAATTAGGAGGAATTAAGAGTAATATGTTTTGTAATTTGGTAGGTGTAATGTGATTAAGAAGCATGGGTTACTTGAGACCAGTAGCAGTAGTTCAGTAAGCATGTAATTTGAGACTAGTAAACTAATAGCAGTAGTTCAATAAGTTTGGGCTACTTAAGACCAGTAGGTGTAATGTAATGTAATTTGGTGGGAAAACAATGTAATTTGTTTTGAGTTTTATCAGTAAGCAATAGTTCATTGTAATTTGTTTTGAGTTTTGAGTTTTCTTTGTACTGTGATATGAATGGAAACCAGTAGCAGATCTTGAATCATATCTTGTTCATTGGATATCAAATGGTGACATATTGATAAACATCACACCAAAAACAGGTTATAACCATATCTTGTTCATTGGATACCAAAAACAGGTTATAAAAACAAGTTATTGATAAGCATATCTTGTTCATGCCATATCAATGGTTACATCTCAATACATGATTAATATAGGTATCACACTAAAATAGGTTCCAACCATCACATTACATATCAAATAATCAATTACATCTAAGTACCTGACTCAAAAACCTTGACAAACATCAAAGTATTAACAAACCAACAACCCAATTGCAACCATGAAGACATTAAAGTCTTACAAAACTAACAACCAATTGCAGAATCTATAATTCCACAACATTCAAACCATTCTTCTATGAAACCATAATTCAAAAAGAGTTTATCCTAATTCAAAATAGGTTGTTGCAAAAGTTCAACATCATCACATCTAATGATGAAAAAAAGGATCTTTAACAAAATGGTTCCTCTATTGTTCTTTCATCCTCCTCCTACGTTGTTGTATTAGAGATAGTTTGGCAGATTGAGATGAATCACATGTTTGAGAAGCTTGAGTTGCTTGAGATGGTTGGGATTGAGAAGCCTGAGCTGCTTGACACAACATTAAGGATTCGTATTACATTGTAAAAGGCATATTTAATCTCGTAATACTGTAATTTACAACAACAAGGAACCCTTGTATAAGAATAAGATAATAGTGGACCTTGGTGGAATAAAATTGGTTCTTATTATTGTAAACACGATGTTTACAACATATAAGACTGCTATTATATTCTCATGGACAAAGGGGTGTTGAGGCCCAAAAAATCCACAGTTCGGCCCAAATAAATTTTCGGCCCAATGCGATACCTTATCAAGAAGAAACCCGATTTGGGCATGCAAAAGTTCGTCATATACGTTTTGCACACATGTCACGCCAAGCAAATAAGCAACATGCCACGCTACAAGCTTAAGTGGGCCCAAGCCACGTTAATGCCTGGGGCTTGCTGAGCGGGTTGTGGTATGGATGGTTACGAGTATTCACGAGGCTCATTGATGGTCCAAAGAGTGGAAGTTTTGGGCTACTTGGGAGCACCAAAACTCAAGCTCATTCCTTGAGTCCAAACATATGGGCAAGCATGAGAGAAAACCCAATAGCCCATCACCTTAAGAAAAGGCCCAAACATCTTTAAAAAATGTCCAATAGCCATAGCCCAAAAAAATCTCACATCAGCCAAAGCTTCCAGCAGTCTGACGAAATCAAAGGGAACTCACAAACCGCTGGAAACAAAACAAAACAGCCCAGCCCAGCATTTTATAAAATATCCAACGTCGTGCTCTGTTAAAACTAGTTCAAAGCCAAACCAGCAAAAGCAAGCAAACCCATGTGCTGATCACCTTTTTGACCAAGCACCCTTACCCATTCTTTCCTCTTCAAGCTTTGGTGAGAAAACAAGAAGCAAAAGTGGGTGGCACCTCACCCACATGAAGAGTCTAGCTGCTTGAGGACCTTGGAACCCCAAAAATCTTCGTGCTTATGGGTTCAAGCTAGAGAAATTTCACCAAACTAGATAAATGGAAGAAAGTGAAGGAAAAGGGGAAAGGGTGGCTTGATAAAATTGAGTCTTCTAGCCCCTATAAAAGGAGACACTTTCTTCCCAGCAAAACAACTCACAATGGACAGAACAGACAAGAACAAATTGAAGGCAAACATCCACTCTGGAATCTTTCAATTTCATGCTTTGTTCCTCCATTCCTCTTCCTCTCTCTCTCTCTCAAAACCCACATCCAGAGATAGCAAACATTATCTCTCATCTCTAGAAGCCTTCAATTTCAAGCCTTGTTCTTCCATTGCTTCCATTTTTCTCCTCTGTCAAGCCACCCAGAAGCCTGACGAAGCTTTCGTCAAGCTGCTGGAAATCTGCTAAAGACACCCATGCTTCCATCTTCTTCCTCTCTTTCCATAAACACACATCTGGAGAGCAAGCTTTATCTCTCACCTCTGAAATCTCTGCAATTTCAAAACCCAAGCCTTCTCCCTTTTTTTCATGCTAAACTCGCGAATACTCAGCTCCCATGCCACAAGCTCTCATGCCAAGCCCAAGAATTTGTCTGTAAGCAACTATTGGTTTTGTTGGTGAAAAAGACCAAGGTGTTTCCTAAGGCTTAGCTACCCTTTCGAAACACTCTTGGGGCCTGATCCTTGAACTCAGACTCAAGGGGCAATTTCACACATGTTTCTCTTTTCGGCAGCCCAAGCCCATTCTTCAAGCTGCTGGAATAAAAGACCCCTATAAGGGGTTTCATAAATTTATGAAAAAGAATCAGACAACACAAAATAAAGTTAACATATTAACTTCATCAATTGTTCATACATATGGTAACCTCTGTTACATTTTCACATCATGTGCTAATCTTAATCTATGATATGGATACAAAAAAACAAAAAATAAAAAAACACCAAGTAGGACATTCGACCTAGATGTACAAAAAAAAATGTCATACCTAACCATAGGAACAATCCTTTAAAAACTATTTTACAAAAAAAAAAAGTTGTCTTATTCTACCATGACGACACTCATTCTAAAAATACAAGATATGCACCAAAACCAATAGCATCACAACATTAGGTCTATGCTTACAAAAATATATACTAGTCAATCATGTTAGTCCCATTACCCAACCTTGTTAGCGGCGTCGAGGTTTAGGCTGACCGCAGCCTGTACGTGTTTCTAGTATAATAACTTCCAAATTTTTTTTCCTAATATAAACCCTCTTTTTTCTAATGGTGACATCCGCCACATCCTTTTTTTTAACTTCAACAATACCAATTTTCTTCCCCATCGCCGTAAAAACATATGCATTTTCCATCACTTTCAATGCTTCACTTCTCACATCACATAATTAATTTTTTTTTCATGTCTCATCAACTCAATAGCAAGTCGCATCCGTTGTACATTAGAGTCGTACTACAACCAACAAAAAGAAATATTTAGCGTTTAATTACGTATAAAACATTTTTACCAAAAAAATGGCACATACACAATGCATACCCAATCATACCACAACTAACAATAATATTGCATCTGTCTTATGAAAAAAATGTCACACCATTAGGTTGGACATGATTGGCATTCAATGGGGACACAACAGAAAAGGAGGAGAACGTCCACCTCTTCTCAAATATCGACAAGATGTGATCATGAAAAATGGAGTCTAGGTACAACAACTGTTGCATGAACAACAACATAGTCGACATAAGTAACATCGACCAAAAGAAAAATGTATAAGTGTATTGAACAAAAGCTTCTCCACTTACAGTAAGTTGGCAATCGTTTTTGTGTTTCTTATTATGATGCAGATCAGGTAACTATCTCAAATTTTGTTTTCTTATAAAAAAATGTCACAAACCAAAAGATACGAGTGACCAACTACATCATCGTGCATCGGAATATATATCTGCAAAAAAGTAGTATATACATTATTACCGATAATTCACATAATTGGAGCTTGCAACCCACCTGCATGCAGTCCTTCAGTCGCCCATCAAATCTTGCCAAATGACAAAGCTTCTGTGTCCTAGCACATGACGTCATACGATCACTGGGACATACCAACTTGGCGCCTTCTTGCATTTTATGAGGTATAACACATCACCTTTAACTAAAAATATCATCATTTAATCTTATCCATTTACTTACCAACCAAAAATACGTAGGTATGAACCATTTTGTGGAGGTGGTATCGTATAAATATTCTGTCATTACATTGATTACCTATTAAAAGATAAATCACGATTATTAGCATCATAATACCAACATTCTAAACATATATTGATAAGTAGTCAAATACGTATTAAATTCATAGCCCTTACATCATCAAAGAGATACAACCCAGGGGCAAGACTTCCAAAATGGTGATGAGTTATAACTATAAAACTTATGTCGACGAGTAGTTCATTGCAAAACAAAAAAAGAGACTCTTGTAATCAATTTTTCTTATGTCACATATTGTGGTAGAAGTCTCTATGTATGTGTGGAGACGGATGATATAATAATTATTTTCACAAATTTGATTCAGGGTATACATCTAAGGTTTGGATCCATTGGATTGCAACAAAATGCAAAACTTAATAGATCTCTATAATATTCGGAAATATTATTGGTCATCCAGAATGAACCGACATTCAATCTCTTCACAATTCGCTCATGCACAATTCTTTGTCGGGTTTTTACATTTACTTAAACTTTCAACGCATTGAAGTCTTCATAAGGAGTTCTCTTGTGGGGACTTGCCTTTTTATTCGTTATTGCACGAGTCACTACCTGATCTCTTGTTGAAGTAGAACCATAATTCTCTATGAACAAACTTCTTACCTCGTTGTGATCCATTTTATCCTAGTGCTCATAAATCATTACAAAATAGCATTTACAAATCATTCACTACATAAAATAAGGACATCTAACTTTGTTATTACATAGCGAGAAAACTAAATAAAAATACAACATAATTTATAATACAATGATTTCAGCAAATCAAATACTCAATGATTGTCATCATCCAACAATTACTCATCAAACATGTGAAATTATAATCAAACATGTAAAACGACAAGTGAAATTATTAAAACACATACAAACAAGCTACAACCATTACTCGTCATACCTTATTGTTGTTTTGCATATTTTCTCTCATGGATGACTTCAACAGAGAGAGCCAAAGTTTTATCAAGATTTGCAAATCCTTTTACATTGTCACCTTGCTCGTTGGGAGTTCTGCCTTGTTTGTCTTGCCTACTTTTTGGAGGTTTAGTATTTCAAGAGTCTAATTGTCCCCTATCACACCCTATATCAAACATGTTATCATGTTCGTCATTTAGTTTAACTTTGTGTTGATGAGGGTGTGAAGTGCACAATGTTCAATCTTTCTCATTTTTTATGTTAACTCAGAAATAACCTTGGAGAGTGATTCATCCATACGAGCAACAATGCCACCAAAGTTGTCATATCTTTTTTTTATTGAACTTAACTCTTTGGCAAAGTGAGTCATTGTTTTCGTATAATCTCTGAGACCTTCAAATTCAGCTTTGATAACAGCTACCTTGTAACTTTCAAACCCTCCTTTTTTCTTTAGCCACTTCTTCATTTTTTCGGTCTCTACTTTCCCCCACACAGTGAGTGGTAGCACAGACCTATCTACAAGTAGGCTACCATGAGCTATAACATCAAAGTAAAACAATTGAGAGAATAACAAGTAAATACCGATGTAAACTTGATTGTTACCTTTAAATGACCTGACACTATCCAATAAAATTTGAATGAATAACTTGCACAGTTTTTCCTTGTTATCTCTTAACGGAAGCAGATATTTTAGATTCACATACATGAATGTGGTTGGACATAGCAACGTACATAGAGTAAACATGGCAAAACCAACTTTGAAAAAGTCACCTGCTTATTATGTCCCCACCATCTTCTACTTCAACTCATTATTCTTTAAAAACTTCTTCCCAACCAAAAAAGAATTTGGCATCTTTACAATGTGTCGCTCTCCATGGATATGGTGAAATCAACTTCCTCTCCTCCATCCTTAACACCTATTATGTGCACGAAGTCATCCACAAATATCTTAAGTGTTTTCCCATGTAGCACGATTGATAATTCAGAAGGATTGAGTTTACCAATCAAAAAACAACACATTGAATAAGATTGTTTTCCGCACTTCATTTTCAACAACGAAACAAATCTCATTTCTTGAATAACTGCTTTTTTCTCATCACTTAAAACATTTATAGTGTCATTTGGATCCTTTCGACTGTATCGTGTGGCTATCTTCAAACAACTCTTGTTATAGGCGTTCGTTGAAGGTTTTTTAGGTTCATACTTTGCTTTCTAAGTAACATCCAACTGTTGCCACATATCAACGATTTCCTTCTTAGTCTGAGGAAGAAAAAATAAAATTCAATCAATTCATTATAAGTTGTGAGTTGTAATGTCTCTATTTAAATGTATTCTTGCCAATTTATCACATTAGTATCCACCTTCTCCACTATTATTTGTTGCTTTATTTCATCACCCTTTATTTTCCTATTTAAAACATTCACATTTAGTTAGTCCTATAAAAAGTACTAAATATATTGGAAGAGACATTTAACACTTACAAATAGTTTAAAATAACTGGTCTTGCGACCAATCACCGTCTTTGACTGGTCTTTTGTTGTTTTTGGCTTTTTGCCCTTATTATGCACATTAATATTCTTTCCTATGATTTTATAATTCCAATTAATGATGACCTGTATTAAACAAGAAAAACATTGTATCATATCAAATAAACTCATCGAAAATAATAACATGTCAACTTATATGCAAATTGTCAAATTATATCAAACAAACTCAATGGGAAAATAACATTTTAAATCATATGCAATTGCCAAAGACAGGACCCTTAGGCATTGCATGTTTGTGCTCTAATATATCTCCCTATACGCATCCAATGCATTCTCAGGCATCCAAAACTATTTCATGCTTGTTCTCATGCCATCCACTTTCATGGAAATTTTACAATTTTTAATAATATGTGAACGAATTCCATATTTAGAACATCCAAGAATACAACATATTAAACAAAAAAAATTTAGTCATATCAAATAAACTCAATCGAAAAATAACATGTCTCATATGTGTTGTGTTCCTTCCAAGTGCCAATATATGGTTAGTATAGTGGTACAAGTAAGAGTGTTGAACCATAGGGACCGATTGGACCTCTATAAATTACTAGTTTTGAAATAACCCTAACTAAGAATGAAAGTGACAAATTGAAAGTAGTTTTTGTGTTGTAAATGAAAATAACTTAAAATGCAAGAAGAATGTAGTAATGAATGATATATTAATGTAGAAAGAATATGGATGAGATCAGAGATTTCAAATTCATCATTGCAAAACCAATTCCATGTTTATAAAGTTAAACAGTATTCAATTACTAACCTATTTCTAGAGTTCGCTTTACATATACATGATCAGCCATATGATGTGTGGTTTTGATCAAATTCTCCTAATCTGCAACCTAATTGGGATGTTCAACTTTGGTTCCAAGTTAAGAGTCATTGGCATGCAAGAAATGTTAAAGAACCCAAGAAAATACACGGCGGGATGTTTGCATAGCATTCTCTTCATACATTCACATGTCTACCAAGATTAAGCATGATGTTTACTATAACCATGTCCAGATAATCTGTAGGCAACCCTAATGGTGATCAAACATTAAAATTGACAACAAATTTAACAATAGATGCAGTAAATGAAACAGGAAGCATATTGATAAACTGAATACTTTAACTTAGAAACATGGATCAATGTTGCAAGGCTACATCGAAATCCCTAGCTATAAATTTAGTTACACATCATGTTCCCAAATATTAAAACGAAAATAAACAAAATGAGTGAAAATAAATTCAAGAGAGGAAACCCTTGAACCAATTCTGATGTTGAACTTCTCCAAGAACAGCCTCCTGCGATGAGTCCTGATAGTGGAAATATATGGAACGGCTAGGGTTTTAAGTGTGCATGAAAGGAGAGAATAACCAAAAAGTGGTCCTAGGTTATGAAATTCATCCAGAATAAATAGAGTCTGTAAAAGTGGCTAAAATGCAAGTTTTTATGGGTTAAAAGAGGCTGCAAGATATTTCAAAGAGATCCTAACAACTCAGCTTTTATTTTGCATGTTTTTGCCTTATTTGGCACCTCCAAATCAGGCTAGAAATCCCCATTGCTTTCCCATTCTGCTCTTAGTCTTCAAACAAGCCAGGTTCGCCTTGGATTCTTTATTTGGACTTCAAAACGGGTCACGAAACTTGTTTCCACGTTTGAATAAGGGTTAGCTCCAAAAATAGCATGTTTTCATTTCTTTTGCCTTCAACTTGATCCTAAAGTAGATGCAACTGCATACTAACACAAAATAGGGTAAAACGCAACAAGTTTAACTCAAAAACATCACAAATAGACTAGAAATGGATGGTATAAATATATAAATATATGAGTTATCAATATGTCAATTGCCAACGAGGGGATATGAAATTGCATTACTCCTAGGCAATTGTATTTTTGTACTCCAATATATCACCTTCTACATATCCAGTATAATTCTGAGGCATCACGAAACTCTTTCAATGGTTTCCCAGCCTACTGACTTTAATGACAATTTTACAATTTTGAATAAAGTTACCCACCCATAGAAATTAAATTCATATTACATTTTCAAAAATTAATTTAAAGAGGTAAGGTTAGGGTTTCGCAAAACATAGGTCATATTACGCAATACTAATTTTACAAAAGGTTAGGGTTTATCAAGAGATAAAATGAGATTCCTCAATACTATCCTTACAAAACTTCAAACCCAGTGCTAGGTTAAATTGGTTGAATGCGGACTATTCTATGATGTTGTCTCCATTATAGCCTCACAAAGTAGTGGTACACATTTATAATATTCCTCACCTCAAACATGATTAATATTCTAGAGTTTAGGGTTTAGGAATGTCATATATATTTTCTGCTTTCTTATCATATATATTTTTTAGACATGGATGTCATATATATATTTTGTAGGAATATATTTTCTGCTTTATCATCGTATTGTGATATGTTGCCCTTTGAAGCACCTTGCATAAATTGCTTTCATAATTATTGGCTTACTTTAGTCACGGCATATAATATGTTAAGGTTTCGCTTAATTTCTTGTTTTTTTCTCCTTCAATAATGATATGGCCAGGAAATAGCACACTGTTAAATCATTTATTTGCTACCAACTGTAGGGAGATGAATGCTTTTAGAGGAAGACATATTCTTATAATGCTCAATATGAAATTAGTCATCTTTCTCTTGTAGTGATATGTGATATGATGCCCATATACTTTTTAGTTTTCATCAAATTTTGCTCATCCTTGAATTTTATTGTCTTTACCAATTCTTTGTTCATATTCCATAACATCAAATAAATAAGAAGATAATCCATTGAGAGTTGTACATGTTTCCTAACTATGTGGAATGAAACGCTAGAATTTGTAAGCAAAAAGTATATTTCTTTTTCACTTATTATTATAATAATTCACTATATATACAATAGGGAGCACTCCGACAATCAATAAACTCATTGCTTAAGAGTGTGAAGGAAAGGTTGTTGTATAGATTAGATGTTGAAAGTCATGTACACAATCAACCTGTTTCGACCCAAACCCATGGGGAAACCCGATTGCTTGCTCAAGTTCCAGGTTGCAGAATGTGCACAAGATTATTAAAAGTGGAACATACGGGTCAATCAATCTATACTATATTAGGGGTGGGCACGGTTCAGGTTAGACCGGCTTTTGCCCCAAATTAGAACCGATCCGATACTATGCATCCGGTTTGGTTCAGTTCGATTTTAATAAAAAAAATTCAAAAATTGTCTGATTCGGGTTGAACCGGTTCTGGTCCGGTTCGGTTTTGAACTGGATTATAAAATTAATTTTTTAAAATTAATTTTTAATACAATTCTCAACTGAAATATTATTATTATTATTACTTGAAAATTAAAAAATTATTCAATTTCATATAAAAATAAATATTAAAGTTAGAAAAGAGAGATATATTGAAATTGAACTTGGAAAAATATTAGTTTTTTGTTGTTGTGAAATTAAAAATATAGCATTAAGTATAAATAAATATTGAAATTATATATTTTTCAATTTGATCGGTTCGGTTTGGCCCGGTCTGATTTTGAAAGACATGGAATCGGATCCAAAATCGGTCAAAACTGGTTCGGTTCAATTTTTGACAAATTGTTGACTTTTTAGTCAACTCAATTTTTTTCTTATTTTGTTCGGTGTGGTTCGGCTCAAATTTCCGGTTCGCCGGTTTAAGTGCCCACCCCTATACTATATGGATGATGAGCTAATTTGGCCTAAGAGATTTAAGGGAACAATAGTGGAACATATGGGTCTCCAATATGAAGCACGTTACCATATGTTCTTAACAAATGAAAAAAAAATACAACTACTAACTTGTTAAATGCCAATTACACCTCCGGATATATGGACATACCGAAGTATGGATTAGTGAGGATATGTGCACTCTTACTTTAACGGAACTTGGTATAAGTTTTCAAATTTGGATTTATCATAATCAACTAGTATAAGTTATATCTTTCATTTACCTGTATCTCCACTATGAAGTAAACTATATTTCCTATTAATCTTCTAAGTAAACTATATTTCCTATTAATCTTCTAACTTTGTTTTCATAGATATATCATGTTATTAATCATTTCCTCTAACAAATATGGTTATATTTCTTCAAGAATTTTCTAAAATGTGGCCAGTTACCTCTGATGTTGATGAATTTGTCTGAATGATCCGCCCCTTTTTCCTTCTGAAGACAATCCATGAGGAATTGTAGATGTTTCTTAACTATGTGTTACTTGACATTTGTTGTGGATGTGTAGCTCGTGCAATCTTATCTCCCTTATTTTTTTCAATCCAAACGAATGGTCACTACTACAAAAATTGGAAAAGAATATGGGGAATCACCGTCATTTGTGTGTCTCTAAAACCATCATAGTTGCAATCACTATCTTTTCATAAGCCAACTATGACAGGGTCATCTTTCAACATTATTGTAGTATTGGGTAACTTCTTCTTCTTCTTCTTCTTTTTTTTTTATGAGTAAATAATTATTTTTTTTTGCCTCTTGAACTATTAGGCAATTCGAACTTACCGGATTAAATTATTTTGTCTGCCGATTTAGTCCTTCTAATCATAATAAATATTCAATTTCACTCTTACTGTCAAGTTTTTCTAATTTCATCCACTTTTCTGTTAATAATAAGAACAAATTCATAATTTTAAAACAAAATATAAATTAAACCCCTTTAAAAATACAAATTAGATTTTTAAAAGTTAAAAAAAATATCAACAAAATGGACAAACACCCCGCCAACCCTAAATCCCTTTTCCCTCCATTTTCTCTCAAATGGCTTCTAAGCTACAATGAAGAAGAAAGATCTAATGTACTTGACTCTCTGGCCCTTTTTAATTTGAGCATCATGAGTGGAAGCTTCATGTCCTTAAAAACTTAAAAATCATATTTCAATTTAAAGCAATGGGTCTCTTTTATTTTTATTGTTCTCAATGTTCAATTTAATTTCATCCAATTTTTATCAGTTTCAAAGCAATGGGTCTCTCTTAATTTTCTTTTTTTAATATACAATTTTTTTGGTTTTGGGTGTTTCGATGAGGCTTATGGGAGGGTGCATGGTGTGTTTTACAGGAACTAGGCGATTGAGAATGTAACCTGCTAAAATATGATAACTATGATAGAATATTTGTTTGTGGGAATTTTCTGTATATTCTTCTCCTTGTAGGAGGTCATATTTATAATACAACAAAACCTGAATGGGCAAGTAAATAATAGATTCCTAAATCTATTTACAGTAGGAAATCAGGAATTAAAGTAAATCAATTACAATTATAATAGGAATCCTTGGTGTGTAAGGAAAGTAAGTCAATATCCACAAATCACGCCAACACTCCCCTTCACGTTGGTGCATAGATGTCGCCAATGCCCAACTGATCCAGTGAATTGTGGAATGCTTTACTGGAAATCGCCTTTGTCAAAATATCCGCCAATTGATCCTCGGATTTCACAAAAGGAAACTGAAACACTTTAGCCTCAAGCTTCTGTTTGATGAAGTGTCGATCCACCTCAACATGTTTAGTACGATCATGCTGAACTGGATTCTATGCAATGGCTATAGCAGCCTTGTTGTCACAAAAGAGATTTATTGTGGATGTAGGTTTATACCCAAGTTCAGTAAGCAACTTTCTTAACCAAAGAAGTTCACAAATCCCTTTAGTCATACCTCTGAACTCGGCTTCTGCACTGGATAAAGCTACTACATTCTGTTTCTTGCTTCTCCATGTCACCACATTACCTCCCACGAATGTGAAGTAACCCGATGTGAATTTCTATCTGTTACATTACCTGCCCAATCTGCATCTGAATAACCATCAATATTTAGATGACCATGCTTTGAGAACATAAGTCCTTTTCCAGGTGCAGACTTCAAATATCTAAGTATCCGAAGAACTGCATTCATGTGGTCTTCACTTGGAGAGTGCATAAATTGACTAACAACGCTCACCGCATAAGCAATGTCTGGTCGAGTATGTGACAAATAGATCAATCTTCCCACTAACCTTTGGTATCTTTCTTTGTTAGTTGGAACTTGATCCGGATATTCTCCAAGATGATGATTTTGAATAATAGGAGTGTCCGCAGGTTTGCAATCTAGCATTCCTGTGTCTGTCAACAAGTCCAAGACATATTTCCTTTGAGATAGAAATATGCCTTGCTGCGATCGAGCAACCTCAATTCCCAAGAAATACTTGAGTCCACCTAGATCCTTCATCTCAAACTCAGTAGCCAAATAGTCTTGTAGTTGTGATATTTCCTGTTTATCATTCCCAGTAATAATCATATCATCAACATAGATTATTAATGTTGTTACCTTCCCTTTCCGATGTTTCAAGAACAGAGTATGATCTGAGTTGCACTGTTTGAAACCATTATTCTTCATTGCCATGGTGAACCGTCCAAACCATGCACGTGGTGACTGTTTCAATCCATACAATGCTTTTCGTAACCTGCAAACTGTTCCAGTCTGAGTAGTATTATATCCATGAGGAATGTCCATGTACACCTCCTCCGCGAGTTCGCCATGTAGAAAAGCATTCTTTACATCAAACTGGTGTAGTGGCCAATCCAAATTAGCTGCAAGGGACAATAAGACTCTGACGGTATTTAACTTTGCAACTGGTGCAAAGGTTTCTTCATAGTTTATACCATAGGTCTGTGTGTACCATTTTGCCACAAGTCTTGCCTTGTATCGCTCGATAGATCCATCTGCATTGTGTTTTATAGTAAACACCCACCTACATCCGATAGTCTTTTTTCCTCGTGGTATAGTCTGCAATGTCCAAGTCTGATTTTTCTTAAGAGCTCTCATCTCTTCTTTTATAGCTTGGACCCACTTAGGATCTTTCAATGCTTCAGAGACCTTGGTTGGAATCTGGATAGCAGACAACTGATGCACAAAAGCCTTGAGTGGTTCAGACAGCTTCTCAGTGGATACATGATTTGCAATTGGATACTTGGATGCCTTGTCAATATCAGGTGAATAACGGTTTGGTGGCTTCCCACGATTTTGCCTGAAAGGTAATTGATATCTAATAGTTTTATCCTCTAAATGCACAAGTCTAGTAGGAGTATTTACCTCAAAGATATTCTCAGGAGATTGGTCCGTTGGTACTGTTGAGTGAGAGGGGGGTCTTCATCTTGTTGTTCTGAGTTGTCTGTAAGAGTATGACTCGAATCAAAAACAGCTTTGCAAGGGGTAGGCGATTGATCGTTGTTTGGCAGAGGGCATTCGCACGTGCCAGACTCGGGATGATCGATTGTTATTGTTTCTTGGCCGAGAGCAATCTTTGTGCATAGATGAATATCTTCGTTTTCCAAGCTGCTCCAATTGAGCTCTTCACTCGGTATCTCCCCCTGAAGAGTAGAATTGGATGCTGGGTCATAGAAAAACATCTCCGATTCTAGAAAAGTGACATCCAAAGTGACATAGGTTCGCCGGGTATGAGGGTGATAACATCGGTAGCCTTTCTAATGAGTGGCATAACCCAAAAAAACACAACGAAGCGCACATGGATCAAGTTTGCTTTGTTGATTTTTGTGGAGATGAACGAAGGCCACACAACCAAAAATGCGAGGGGTAAGCACCAAAACAGAGGGTAGAGGCCCATGTTGCGCCAGCACTTGTAATGGAGTTTTGAAGTTCAAGACCCCAGATGGCATGCGGTTGATAAGGTGGACAGCAGTGATGACAGCATCATCCCAGTGATGACGAGGAACATGGCCACCAATGAGAAGAGCACGGGCGGTTTCAAGGAGATGACGATTCTTCCGTTCGGCAACACCATTTTGTTGTGGTGTCTGGGGACAAGTTGTCTCATGAATAATGCCATGTGTCTGGAAGTAAGTCTGAAAATCATGATTGACAAATTCTCCACCGTTGTCAGAGCGAAGAATCTGTATTCGAGCATTGAACTGTGTTTCCATCTGTTTGTGAAAGGATTGAAACAGGGAAAACACTTCATTCTTATTTTTCATCAAATAAAACCATGTCATCCGTGTACAATCATCTACGAATGTGACAAACCAACGAATACCGGAATGAGTAGAAATAGGTGAGGGTCCCCAAACATCAGAATGAATTAAAGCAAAAGGAATATTACTTTTATTCATACTTAAAGGATAGGATGCTCTGTGACTCTTGGCTAAAATGCAAGTGTCACATTTAAAATCTGAGTCTTTAAATACAAAAAACAACTCGGGCAATAAGTGTCTCATATAACCAAAAGATGGATGCCCCAAACGTCGGTGCCAGAGCCAAATCTGTCTGTGCTTGTCATCAGACGGATGCTTTACACTATTGGCACATCCCATACTGAAGTCCTCCACATAGTACAACCCCCCTCTTTTAGTACCACACCCAATGATCTCCTTGGTGAGAATATCCTGTAGCAAACAAAAATTTGGATAAATTAGTGCACAACAATTGAGTTGTTCAGTTGCCTGGCTCACAGACAGTAATTTATTGGACAAAGATGGAACGAGGAGAGTATTAGAAAGGGACAGAGAAGGTGAAAGGGCGACAGTGCCGGCCCCTGTTACAGGATAGGTAACTCCATTTGCATTGGCAATACTTGTGCGGCGGGGTGTAGTGGTGTGCAAAAAATCATTCGGATCAAAGGTCATATGATCAGTGGCGCCAGAAACAATTATCCAACCAGTAGTATCTCGTATATCAGAAGTATGAAATGCATAACCGCAGTTACCTGAGACATCCGGAAGCGCAGGACTATCAGTAGGGTCTACCTGCGGGAACAAGGCTAATTGGGGTTCGGTAGAGACAAGAGCAGCACGGCCGGAATTACTAGCAGTTTCTCTGAGCTTGCGAGCGCGGAGGTCCTCCCACCAATCAGGATAACCATTCAGCTTAAAACAGGTGTCACGGGTATGTTTGGGATTGCCATAATGCGTGCAACCACTTCCATCAGTCGGAGCCTTGGGACGGGAAGGTGGGATAGTTTTAGGAGGTGGCGCACCAGCAGCAGTAGCATATGATTGGATCTGAAGGTGGGCTGAAGTAGAGGAATTATGGGGCTGTCCCGCACGAGTAGGGGGACCTGATCGAGGCGCACTCTTCGCCGCTAAGCCAGCGCCAGTGGGTGCAGATGAACCCATCATCACTGCTTGTCGAACATCTTCACGGCGAACATAGGCATAAGCTTGGTCCACAGTGGGGAATGGAGTCATGTGAAGAACATCACTTCGGGCCTTATCAAGACGATCATCAAGGCCATCCAAAAATATGTAAACTCGATCTTCCTGTAGAATATCATTATACTGCTTGATATCATTTTCATACTCCATCATATTTGGACGACGGAAATCAATTTCTCTCCATAAGCTTTGGAGAGTATTGTAATAGGTTTCAATAGAGCCGCCAGCTTGTCGCATACGGGAGACTCGTCGTTTCAGATCATAAACCTGAAAGGTGTCAGTGCCATCATAGTAAGTTGTGGCAATTGCATCCCACACTGCTTTTGCCGTCGGAAAACGAATGAAATTGCCAATCAAGCTCTGCTCTAGAGAATTGATGAGCCATCCCTTTACAATAGAGTTCTCGGTGCGCCAGCAAGGAAACGTTGGAGCGGTCAAATGAGGTTGTGGAAGATCACCATTAATATATCCCAATTTGTCTTTGCCGGAGATATACAACTCTACAACTTGGGACCATAGGGCATAGTTGGTGCCATCCAACTTTATGCCAATTTGTGCAGCGGAAGTTTCATAGGTAATCGTCGTCGGAATCGTTGTCTGATTCGGGTTCAAGGTCGTCGTCTGATTCGAGGTCGGGGTCGTCGTCTGAGTCGAGGTCGGGGTCGTCTTGGTAGGATCCTGAGTTAGGATCAAGTTCGAGGTCTGAGTTTGCATCTGCATTAGTTGAGCCACCTGGGCACTCAACTCGGCTATGGTTGGTTGAGAAGGAAATGAGGAAGCAGTGGTGCTACCGCCATGAGGATTAGAAGAGTCATCCTCCCCCATGGTAGCGGCTAGGGTTTAGAAACTAGAGTCAGCAATCCCAAGATCGCCGCTCTGATACCATGCTAAAATATGAGAACTATGATAGAATATTTGTTTGTGGGAATTTTCTGTATATTCTTCTCCTTGTAGGAGGTCATATTTATAATACAACAAAACCTGAATGGGCAAGTAAATAATAGATTCCTAAATCTATTTACAGTAGGAAATCAGGAATTAAAGTAAATCAATTACAATTATAATAGGAATCCTTGGTGTGTAAGGAAAGTAAGTCAATATCCACAAATCACGCCAACATAACCTACTCCTAAAACCCGAGAAAAATACTCAAAGCTCTCTCCCTCTCCACTCTCCATATTTTCTCCACACCGCTTTGGCCACCACACACAGCTTCGGCCACCACACACAGCTTCGGCCACCCGGTTCACACCATACATATATCTTCGTACCCTTTTGTTAGCTATTATTTTCCTACAAGCACTCAAACAAACTTAGGCATCGAAGGGCTTTTGGCCAACACCCGCCGAGTGTGGTCTATTTACTCCAGTCTTTTTTACAGGAATCGAGGAAGAGAGAGAAGGAAGATCAAATGGCGAAGGATCTAGAAGAGAATATTCTCCCGCGATATTATTTGCACAAACAGTAGACCCACCTGTTGTGGTTATTGGGCTCAAAGTCTTTCCTAGCATTGAGGACCCTGACACTAGATTCAAGCGCAAAGGGTCTGATCCTTAGAGGAGGATGAGGAGGAGAACAATGGAAAATCACCCATCGTTTTGAAGGAGGTTGAAGAAGGCAAGGAAGAAAGGACCATATTGCCCTCAAAATAAAAAGCATGTGCTCCCTCACGTGATTTATTTGATGGCAATTTGGATGGAATTGCCTCAAATTTAATGGCAAGTGCGAAATTGACCAAAAAAAATAATTGAGGGGGATAATTCGAATAACGTGATAATTCAGGGGGGAAAACAACACTTTAAATTAAAAAAAAACTTACATATGCCAGCCGGGTTAAATTTAGAGAAAAAAGCCTAACAATGATTTAAATGTATGAGTTGAGGGAGAGACTACGATGAGGAATTTAAAGTGAAGAGTCTATTTGAGGAAGCCAATTCCACCATCAAAATATTTAAAATGTTTAAATCTTATGATTTCTTTACATTTGTTGATAGTGAGATTCCTTATCAAATAGCCTCCTGATGAATGGAATACACAGCCGGGCGCAGTCGTAATTTTCCATAACTACTTTTGTCATTGGTTGTTCAACTAAAATAACCAGTTGGGTGAAGAGTCAAGCAACAATTATTCACGAGGTGACGCGTGCTCCATGTTTGCTTAACGTACTTCGCCACTTCACAAAATGGACTCATCTCGGGTCCTTCCAGATTATGAGGAAAACAATTGGCTATGAAACTGCCATGTCAGCATCACTTCCTTCCACCTCAGGATTTTCAAAGATTCCATTAAAAAAATCCAACTTTTTATTTATTTTTACTCTGACCTCATTTTCCTCTGTTTCATATTAGCCCAAAGCAAAGCTGAGTTGCATGTTCCATGGCTCAAATTCAATTACTATCCCCTGGGTTCTCTGAAGCTCTCAAATTCCAAAACCCATTACCAAATGGGTGCTCAAGAAGCCCATGGCGCATGTTAGTTAAGACCAGCAGCAGTCAATCTTTGATGGGTCATGGCGGGAGGAGGCGAAGAGGCTTTGGCAGGGTCAGAGTGGCAACCGGGGGCTCACCTTCAACTGACGCAGTGGCTGATGACTATTACTCGGTCTTGGGATTGGTATTTCTCTTAATTTGATCTGGATTTTGTTTAAACATGCAAAATATTATGAAGTTTATGATATTTTACACTTCACATTAGTTCGATTTTTCTGGGAAAATTTTCTTTCTTTTATGATTATAATGGTTGTGTTGAATTTTAAAAAGTTTGGGTTTTGTGCAATGCTTTGATTTTGTATTTATCATGTCTGATCATTGATTGGTATGTGTTACTAGCTTCCAGATGCCACAACTGCACAAATAAAAAAGGCCTATTATAATTGTATGAAAGCTTGCCATCCGGATTTGAGTGGTGATGATCCAGAGACCACAAATTTCTGCATGTTCATTAATGAGGTCTACGAGGTGGGTTTCCGTTTGAACTTGAATGCTTTGAACTCTGATCAATTATGTTGTTTTGTTTGGATATTTTGTGTGCTTTCACTGGAAATAAAGCATTGCAGTGCAGGTGCTCAGTGACCCCGTGCAACGAATGGTTTACGACGAAATTCATGGTTATGCATTGACGGCAGTCAATCCTTTCCTTGATGACTCAACAACAAGGGATCATGCATTTGTTGATGAGTTCAGCTGCATAGGTAAGTTCAGATGCTGAGATATCATCCCATTCCCATGCATAGAGATAATTGGATCTTTCTTTTCTTGAACATTAATTATATCTGGTAAATGAATGCTTGAACATTATTGCCTACTGTGAAATGGGGCTAGAAGTACGACTCCTTGCAATCTTTGAGTACTGATATTGGTAAGAACTTTATAACATATGTTTCTTTGCAGGCTGCAAAAATTGCGCCAATGTGGCCCCGGATGTCTTTGGAATCGAAGAAGACTTCGGAAGAGCCAGAGTATACAATCAGTGTGGGAACCCAAACCTAGTTCAACAAGCAATTGATAGTTGGTAAGTCCTCCTTCGTAGGTCCTGCTAATATGATGAACATTTGTGATAAAAACTATCAAGTTCTACTTCCATTCTTGTCTATTATATTGTGTCTTCAACTTTAATGTGCTGTTAATAATTTAAAGAGATATTTGATGTGGTATAAAGAGAATAAACCTTAAACCACATTGCAATATTACAAATCAGGCGTCTTTATATGTTAATGGTTCACTTGTTAAAAGGTAGAAACAGGATGAACTTCCAAGATGAGTGATAATTAGCTTCAATTCACTTAAGAGAGTTACTTTTCTGTAACTCTTGTGAACAACCAATTGATGTTGCACCTTTTGTTATGTTCAGTTCCAATGCTGAAAAGTGTTCTCGCAAGTCTTCATAAGCCAATTAGAGTGTCTCTATTTTCTGACAATCAATCAAATCATTATTCTATAATACTTCAAATCTTTCTGCGGCATCAACTCGCCTTTTATGTATGCTTGTACTTCTCTTGTAAACTTAAAGTTTAGAAGTTTCATCTAGTTGGGTAGTTATGAATTGGACTGTGAGATGCCTGGATATTACTAGATTAACAACTTTTAAGTTTAACTGTTAGTTGACAAGATCTTCTTTGTTTCAGTCCTGTTGATTGCATTCATTGGACTTCTGCTGCACAACTATCATTGCTAGAAGATGAAATGCGCAGAGTAGAAAGAGTAAATGTAAGGAAAATAATCAGTTTATTTACTTTCATCCTAGTTTTATTTTAATCTTCTTATCTTATGTCACCATTTTGAAATCCATAATTCTGAACAGTTTTAGTAGCTCCTTGGCGTACTAATCAATTTGAAGTCTGTCTAGCTATCTAAAACTGCTTTAACCAATAGAATTGCATTCTCTACCTTTTGTTTCATTTGGAACTTCAGTGGCTAAAAGTGTTTTGTAAATTGGTCAGGTCGCACTGATGCTTGCAGGTATGGGCTCATCAGCGGATGTTTTCAGAATGGTATGCTACTTTTTCTTTGTAATACAAACTGTCTATTATCTCAATATTAGCAATATCCACTTAATGACTTGAAGCCATTTTCAAATGACTTGCTTCAGTTCACTTAGCTTATGTGCATTGATTGAACTACACTTTGTGTGATATAAATATAAAAAAGACTAACAATTGGAGAAGTGTATTCCTTTGAAGCTCTTGAAACACTTTCAGATGTAATCAAGAGTCAAATTGCTAGAAGAATGTAGAAATATTTGTTACACTTGGTTCTCAAACTCATCTGCTTAGGTGATCTTAGGATGAAAGTTATTTATAGCCTAGCTTCATTGTCGCCATAACTAGCTTTAGCAGTTTATTCATTTATGCTTATTAATGTGGCAGGCAAGTGCTCGGTGGCAAAAGAGGCAATCAAAAGTCTTGGTAGGAACTCATATTTTTCTTCACCCTCAACTAATCTAATCTTTCATGAATAATTTTTCTGTCTACTACTTGTTTTTCTGATATCATCCTTTCCATCACCTACACTGTAAAGGCACATGAAGTCATGAAATAGAAAAATTCAAATTTCAACAACAAAAGAAAAAATAAATAGATAATTCAAATGTCAACTGGAAAATTTTATTGCTTCTGGGACATTTGCTTCAAGTCATCTTGGCGGTTCGAATATGATAGAAAACAACAATAATATCACATACTTTTGAGATCTATGATTTGAAGATCTTCAGCTAGAAAACTTCAATAATATGACATACTTTTGAGACCTATGATTTACTCTAAGATACCTTTTATTACAGCCTTTTGAGTTCTAAAACTTTTTCAAGACCAAATTCATCATTTTTTATATATTAAGATTGCATATATAGAATTGAAACGTTACATGAACTTAACAAATTTGGTGACCTAAGCAACAACTAAGTATATTGCTCCCAAAATACTAATATGAGAAGTAAAAGACGCAAGGCTATACATCTCAATAACATGCCAGGATTGATGAATGCTTTTTACCATACATAGGAGTGTTTTTAAAAAAAGTCAAATTTGAGTGGGAAGGGAGATGTAGGGAAAAAGGGAAGGGGACTGTAAAGTAAAATCTGTGGTGCTGGGTGTGTCAGTTGTAGAACCAAGGATGCATCCCTTGATATTCTGATATTCTAACAGTTCACAAACCTCTGGTTTTATTGCAGGAACAAGCTAAAATGAGGATGATGAATCAGAAGGATTCAGATAAAACAGAATCATACTGGGACAACATTTGGGGCAACACCAAGGACAACCGAAATTCAGGTATAAGAAACCTCCCTCCTGAGGCCCAATTTTTTTTAATAGAACGTACCTGATGTGAGTCTCATCCATCCTTAATTCATGTCTGACCATTTTACCCTTAATTCATTCATTTCTCACCATTATATTCCTTCTTGAGGGGATTCGAGTTTCTTTCAGAAACTTCCTCTCTTTCCTTGTTAGATCTGAACCAGCCTTGATTTCTTTCATTGATTGCTACACTTCTTGAATTTTTAATTGTCTAGGGTTGTGTCTTTTCCTGTCCTTGGTCCAATGAACTAGAATCAGCCCCTTTGGATTGCCAGCTGATAACAAAAAGATTACTCTTTTTTTTGTTTTTTTTGTTTTTGCTGCTATGCTCATATTCCTGCCTGGCTACATCAGTGTCACCTCGTCCAATTAGATGTTTCTTTTTAAAGGGGCAATGCCTCAAACTTAGAAAGGCTTTCAATGTTCATCCTCCCGATTCTCTCCATCACGACATGCTATCTTCCACTAGCACGTGTTCTTATCCCCCTTATTTTCTTACGTGCCTACTCAATTGGCATCCTCTGAATATTCTTCACTAGTGGTTCCTCCCCTCCCGCCTCAGCTCATAAGAACTCACTTTGAACTATCTCATCAAAATATCTATAGTAGATGCATGGTTACAATGGTCAGGAGCACTTTATAGGTAAAGCCCCTGCACAACAAGTCTGCTACTTCAATAACATTAGTGTAAAACATGTTCGATGCTTCAACTTGTAACATATTTCTCATGGTTTCAGATGTTTTTATAAAAATCAAAGTTTTTAAAATGTGTTTATTTGCAGAGGAGGAAGTGAAAGAAAGAGCGAAGAGAACTGCAGCAGCGGCTCGTAGATGGAGAGAGTACTCAAGGAGGGGTGCTGATAAGCCTCCTAGCTATAAACTTCCGGAGGCAATCTCCAACACGGACAAGTGACCATTAATCTTTTAACACCATTAATATTTTTACCATAAAATGTAATTATTTTATAGCCTATACGTCAATATACATTCATGTAAAATTCGAAGTGACCTTAGATCTGTATAATCAGTATAGATGCTATCATTTACAATAAATTGATCTATAAGTTAAAAAGAAAAAGAAGAGAGAGAGAGAGAGAGAGAGAGAGAGAGGAGCATGCAAAGAGCGGTTTTGTTGCATCAAGCTCCATACTTGAGGTTGAGTTCACAGGTTTTCTTTCTTTTTCCTAAGTACTATATTACAACCCTAGTCGAAACTTATTAGTTATATCATATTAATCAATATGCCATAGAGTTATAAAGAGAAACAAGAAAGGTAAAAGGCTTTAATTTTAATAGAGGTCACATGGGGGTCATGTTTTCACCGGAACGATGCTTACAAGATGATCACGTGATATAATTAATTTAAGTGTTATAATATGGGTCGGTAACGAGTTTATTTATACGTTATAACATGAATGGATTAGTTTTACTTGTGGCAGTATTTCAATACCACACCTTACAAGTTGAGATAAGAAGATCAATCGTAATTTGACATCTATCTACTTACCAAGAAAAATAACTTCTTAAAATTGTGATTTTCCATCTCAACTTACAAAGCAATTGTATGTAATTTAATTGTAAGTAGATTAGCAATCATTACAGTTGTGTCACATGTCAAATGGTTATGCCATGTGGGTGCGCGATATCTTATAATTCCATGGATGTTGCAATAATGGTAGGTTATTCTGAGGGTCAATACATTATACATAGTTTAGTACTAGTAGTCAACGGTTAGACAGTTGGATATATTGCCCCATTTTAGCTGTTAAAACTTAAAAGGGATAGTCTAAACTCATACTACAAAACTAAACTTTTTTTTTATAATTAATACAAGCAATAGTATAAACTATAAAAGGGAGAGAAAAGAGGTGTCATAGGGGCTTGAATCTGAGACCACTGATATGCAAGTCGAGATACTTTTCCACTGAACTAGACCCCGTGGCTACTACAAAACTAAACTCAAACCAAACCTTTGTTTTCCTTATGTTTTCTGTTGTTTAAAATAGCTAATTAAAGTAGATATTTAAACAGTTAAGTTTGAAAGTTACTACAAGAATCAAGATCAACATATATTCTGTAGATATTAGAAGGAAAAACTATTGTGCACAATGGTAATACTTCTTGAATGCCAACATAGTATTATATAATTCACAAATTATAACTCGTGTATTGAGTTTATATAAGAGCTTAAATGTTAATAAATGTACACATCTCATGATTTAAGTGAACTCGTAATATCATATCGGTATATCACATACTATTACGTACCATCGACGAGGTTTCGACTTTCCATCAAAGTGAGGGTATCTACGAGAGAAGTTTATCAGAGACTAACAATCCTGAAATTGACTCTTCCAGATTCCATAATTAAGAATTAATCAGAAGTATCTTTAATTACATACTTCTCTGTAGGCTCTAGGACAAGTACTGTATATTACCGTTTTCCTTTAAATTATTGACATATACATCACATGCATCTGTTTGGTGAGAAATTTAATCTGTCAAGGCTGGAAGTTGACTAGAAGGACAATATATATTTGGTATTAAATTAGACAGACGTGGAATAATAATTAGATATTTGTTGTCCGTATTACATTAGATCTTTGATAAAAAAATGTACACATTAAATAGTTTAATCAGTGAAGTTGTGGTCCATCATATCATAAAATAAGAGTTTATGTAAACCCCGCTTTGTACGGGTTGGGACCAAAATTCAGAAGCGTGCATAATTTTAAATTAATTTAACTGAATCGCTCAACCAAATAATAAAAAGATGAGAGATTCATTATTATACCTAATATGGGGGGCCCAAATTATAAAAATATCTCATATGAAATGGGCTTTAGAAACACACCCAAAGCTCATTTACAACATAACAAAAAAGTTTTTAACTTCTTATAAATTACAAAACTGCTATCAATTTTTTAAAACAAGCTCAACTCCAAAATCTCATAAAAATACCCAAAACACTTAATAGGGCATCAAAGTAATTTAATAATCAATATTAAATTCAATAAGGCCAGCTGTCATTTTTTGAGTTTTTTTATGGTTTGTTTATAGAAATTCAATTGTGTATGGTTTAGAAATGAGTATATCACTAAATATCTCTAAAAAGATTGAATTGAGTTAGATTGGCTTAATAATAAGCGGATCTTGAATTTAAGAAATTATATACTTATGAGTTGAGTGACGAGTTGGGACCAAAACCGACCCAACCCAACTTATTCCCACCCCTACTTTGCTTCTTTCTTTCATTTTCTTTAACATATGATAGCCACACAACACAACTAGCCCAAAAAATAAATCTACACGTGCACAAATCACATGTGACTTGATGGAAGAAAAAACTTCCAGTTGGCTGACTTGTGTTTATCTTTTAAATTACAGGTGCAGTTGTATGTCGTCAAAACGTGCTTTAGAATTCAAAAAGGAGAAATAGCGAGTACCACGTGACAAGATTTACTCTTTTTTTTAAGTTAAAAAAACCCAAAAAGTTTGAATGATCTCATAATCTCCCACAATTACATTAAAATAATGGTGCCACTTTCCTCAAGCGACAATTATATCATTCTCCACATCATGTAAGCTAGCGGACCAAATTTGAATTAAGAAAAGGGGACATTTACTGATCCTTTTTTTTATAAATAGACCCATTTTAACATGATATTTTATAATAATAAAAAACCTTTAAAGGGCTTATTTAGAAGAAGAAAAAAAAACTCTCAATTAGTCATTTGTTCTTTTGTAATTGGTTCTTAGTGTGTTACAATTTTTTCGCTTAAACGTAAACACAGAGTTTTTTTATATATTATTATTTTAAAGTATTGGACTTTAAGGATTTTTTTTTATAAAAAAAATGTCATGTTAAAATGGATCTACTTGTGAAAAACTTTTTTTTATGAGTCCATGAGCATTAATCCAAATGAATTAGTGGTAGGTAGAATATCCTAACCAAATATAGCACAGCTATGATACATTATCTCTTTATTTCATTTACAACAAAATTTCCAAAAAACCCACAAACTTGAACAAAGAGAAATTTAGAAAGCAAAAAAATAGCACAGAGAAGGGGCATCCTACCAACTTAATTACATTCGTAACCAAAAAAAAATGGAAAACAAAATTTACATTTACAAAATTTATAATGCTAACCGCAAAATATATCCGATAATAAGTAAGTAATTTTTCGGTGTGACAGTAACAAAATACAACCTAGCTAATGTACATGATTTATTCCAAGGAATCCAAGTAGAAAAAGAGGAAAAGAAAAGAGTAGTGTTGTTATCTTACAGTTGATGCAACAGTATGAGCCCAAAACCTGAGATTATGCTTCATGTCCTTACCTAAATTAGCTGGTATTCTCCAATTCACCAATTTGTTCTCTTTCTTTCTTTGATCCAAAGCATCCCAAGCCTCAGACAGATAGGGCCTTGAAACCACATGATGACTACTTGGATCAATATTATTATCATTATTATTATTTCTCTGATCCTCTTCATCTCTATCTTGTTCCCCAATACTTCCAAGCCTTTGCAAACCAGGAATTATGGAAACCAATTTTGAATCTTTGTCTTCCTCAGTGAACACAAAACCCAAATCCATAAAACCCTTGAGCTCATCAAACTCCAGGTCAGACAAGCTCTTGCTGGGCCCTACTCTTCTTCTACTTCTGTTTCTTTCACCACGACCATGGACCCTTTTTGTCTGAGCTGCTGGCACTTGTTCTTGTTTCACACTTTGTTTGGAGAACTCTATGACTTGTTTACCAGAGAAAACTGTTTGGAATTTTGGTGTGGTGCTCATGAGGATTGAGTGTGGGGAGAGAGAATCAGAAGAGAAGAGGCTCCCCTTGGTGTTTAAAGATTGGTCGTCACTTAGAGATCTTGGCAAGCATGAAAGGCTGGGGAAATTTGGTACTTGTTGTTGGGTTGCTTCTTGGGCTGATTGGTCCACTTGGAGACTTGGGTTCGTTGCTTCTTGGGGTTTTGAAGGGGATTTCTTGCTCAAAATTCCATGTTCAAACCAGTATGAATCAAAGAGGCTGAGAAGCACTTCTTCTTCTTCTTCTTCTTCTTCTGCAGCCATTTTGAGAAGATGTGAGCTAGAAGGTTCAAGATATGTTATGCTAATTGTAGATGTTTTACCAATTGTAGATAAGAAGGACGGGGTTGACGTACCTATATTGGCAACCTTGTTGCCCCTCATTTCTGGCTCATATTGAATATATATTGGCAACGTGTAATATATTATCTACAAGTTGCCCCTTTCTTTTTAATTAAATTAAAATTTTATATACATCTAGTGGGGCATTCCTACCAGAAACTCCGGGTATATATTCGATTGCAATTCCTAGGGCGGGGGATTTAGATCGCCAAAACAAGAAAACCGGCCGAATTGGACTGACCGGTTTGATTTCGTGCGGTTTTTGCTTTGATTTAAAAAAAAGAATTGGTTTGGAAGTCTAATTAGACCGGCTGCAGTGATCTGGTTCTTGGTTTCTAAAATCAAACTGGTGGTTTACCCAAATCAAACTAGTATTCTAAAGTTTTTAGTTTCTAATTTTTATAAATCGTTACACGTGGCATAACACATTGATTGGACACAACATTTACCGTACCACTCTTCACATCATATCAAACCTCACCTAAAACACTAAAATCTTCTCCTATTTTCTTTCCACATCTCACCAATCTCCACCCAATTTCTCCATGCACAGCAACGCCACCACCTCGACCTCTCTTTCTTGTCGAATTCGGAAGACCGACACAAACCTTGATCTAGATAGTGCCTTTGATTTGCACAACCATTCTCAACATTGATCTCTCTTTATAGTCAAATTTGGCATATCTACCATTGATCCTCATAGCGCCTTCAATCTACACAACCATCACCACCTCAACCTCAACCTCAACCTCTCTTTCTTGAAAGAGAATCACATATCTCGTAGTATTTGGCAAAGCCGCCTTGACCTCTCTTTCTCTCTCTTCTTGCTCTCTCCTATTTCAGTCTATCCATTTTTCAAAACCGACCCAAGTTACTAAAAATGTTACTATACATGCCCTAAGTTATAATTACCTCATAAGAATAGTGTCATCAATTCATATAAATTTAAAAATAAAAATAAAAGGGGTATTTGTTGAAATGTCATCTAAACTTACACCTTAGTTTCAATTTGTCACCTAAAACTTTTTTTTAAGTGAAATGTCACATGAATTTTTCAAAATCCATGATTTGTCACCTCAGTTTAACATAATCCAATTTTCCATATATTTTCAAGGGTATTTTAGTCTTTTCATTTTCAAGAATATTTTTAAAATGGAAAAAATTATTATTAAAAAAAATAAAGCTTAAATGTAAAAATGGTTAGGGGGTTAAATGTGAAAAGATGTATAGGCTCACATCTCCATATTGATTTCATTGGAATATTAGAGAGAATCGAACCTTAAACCTATTATAATCTTAACTCATTTCCCTACTTCCTCACGAGTTGAGCTAACCCCAAGGGATTACATCTCCATATTGAATTAGGCACAGTAGAAAATAGACATTTTTCAGGAGCTTCAAACCGTGATCTCATGGAAGGGCTGGTAAAAAAAAGATATAGTTTAGGAGGATATAGTATGAAAGAGGTTTCAAGAGTGGGAAAAAAAAGAAGGTATATCATCGTTTCTATGAGTTGCCATGGTTAAAAGATTAGACAAATTGTATTTCTTGGATACATAAAATTTTGGTTGAATGTGTTCTTTGTATAGAACATTCAACATGTTATTTAGAAATCATCGCAACTGATGGTATAAAAATTAGAGATATTTAGTTATGGGAGATTCACTATTACACCTAATAAAGGAGTCCACATTTTATAAATAAATAAAATAATAATAAAAACCCTATATGAAATGGATTTTAGAAACACACCCAAAACTCATTTACAACATAACAAAGGCCTTTAACTTCTTATAAATTACAAAACTGCCATCGATTTCTTAAAACAAGCCAACCCCAAAACCTCATAAAAAAATGTCAAAACACTCAATAAGGCATCAAAGTAATTTAATAATCAAAATTAAATTCAATAGGGCCAGCTGTCATTTTTTGAGTTTTTTTTTGTTTGTTTATAGAAATTAAATGGTGTAGGTTTTATCTATATCATTAGTGCTAAAAATGGTTATACGACTATATATCTCTAAATGTCTATAAACAAACCCAAAAATTAACAACTGGCCTTATTGAATTTAATTTTGACTATTAAATAACTTTGATGTCCTATTGAGTGTTTTTTATTTTTTATTTTAATGAGGTTTTGATGTTGGGTTTGTTTTAAGAAATCGATGATAGTTTTGTAACTTATAAGAAATTCGAAGTCTCTTTGTTATGTTGTAGATGAGCTTTGGGTGTGTTTCTAAAGTCCATTTCATGTATGGTATTTTTATAATTTAGACTCCTTATTGGGTATAATAGTGAATCGCCCTAAAAAGTATATTTTCTTTATTTTGGAATTGTAGTTGATCTACTTTTTTTTTTTAAAGAGAAACAAGTTTTTGTCCTTCCAATATTTCTGGAAGCTGTTCCAGTAGTCTTGCTTGGTATTTTCTTTTTTGTGTATGTATTTTGAGGTTGAATAATAGTTTTTATTTGGATATAAGTTCATGGTTTAACATAGAGCTTGAGTACTCCTATCAAACTGAGTAAAATACTAGATTAGTATAATAAAATATAAAATACATGTGTGTATTATTCAGAAAATTTATTTAAAACAAACGATGAAAAATTCGGCCATTATATAAAAATTTAAAATTATCTATACAATTTTTATTGTTTGTAATATGTGAAATATATAGATAAAATATGCGAATAATATGTGTATTATTGTAAAATATTTGAATTTTTTTTTATTATTCATGAAAAATATGTGTGTGTGTATGACAAGCGAATAATACGTTCACGTTCAAACATCGCATATTTTTTCGTACAATTAAGAAGTGTGTGGGAAATAAAAATATTATTTTAAAATATGTACATATGTGTATAATTCATAAATATATTAATTTAGACTTATATATATATATATAGATATGTAAGTGTATAATACGCAAATTTACTAATTCAAGCTCATATATATACATACCTGGAGCGAGGAATAGCAAGAAAGGGTAGAGGAGGCACTTAAGAATTTAAGAGGAGTTTTGCAATTACTTGTACAAGATTCATAAGTTATTTTGACAATAACAGTGGAGCGAGGAATAGCAAGAAAGGGTAGAGGAGGCACTTAAGAATTTAAGAGGAGTTTTTCAATTACTTGTACAAGATTCATAAGTTGTTTTGACAATAATAAAAGAGAGGAGGGGCATGTGCCCTCTTAGCAGAAAAACTTACTTGTAACTTTGCTATTCGCGCCAATAATACAATGGCATATAGAAAAGTTACCCCACGTGTCATTGGCACCCCAATGACGGACATATTAGTGAGATATTTAGTAGACTTGTTTTTTTTTTTTTTTTTTTTTGTTTTTTTTTTGGGTTCATCAATTTATTAGCCTTATTTTTAAACAAATATTTATCAAAAGCAATATTTCCTTCAGATTAATGAAAGTGTATACTTTTTGACTAAATTAGTATATTTTCTTCATATTAAAAACTATTTTCAGAATTCATTATTTAAAAAAAAACTATTTTTAGAGAGATATCTAAACAAAGAAACCTACAACATACAAAGAAAACCTAGAAAAACCAAAATTCAGAGGGTTAAACAAAGAACAATTTGAAGCTCGAGGACTTTGGGTCAGTAGAGTGGTTTAGTTAGGGAGAGTCCATATTTTAATATTTCCAAAAGAAGCAACATCAATAAATTCAAAAAATAAAATAAAATTAGAGAGACATATAAACATTATTTGAGCCAAATCAAAGCAGAATAAACCAAAGAAGGGAGAGAAAAAAAAATTAGTAATTGAAGTATTAAAGTATTTGGCTGTAGATATGGGTTGCTTTCTAGAAAAAATGGTGGGCTATTATTTAATTTTTATGGATTGAACTTACACAACTAAGCCTAATTTGTCTCTTTCCATAGTCAACACTAGGCTAGAGCCTACTTTAGTCCAAGCATGGATCCGCCCTTGATTGCCTTATTGGATGGAGATAGCAAGGGTCTTATCTTGTAAATCAAGTGGATAAGAGCAATATTCATGCACTTGAGTTGAGGTCTCGAGTTTAAATACTCCCTCCCCAATATTACTTGTATTGAAAATAAATATAAACTTTCTATGCAAAAAAATTATATATATATATATATACCAAAATTAAAAAACATGTATTCAATTGATTAAATGGTAGTTATTTTAGTGTTTTACTTTTGAAAATATTGTCCTGTATTCATTTCATCATAATTAGATGTCTTATTAGTTTATGATTTATCTAATATTTAATTTTCTTTTTTCCAAAACTGGCTCATGAATCAAGATTTGGAAAATAAACAACTCAGATTATTGTTAATCTTTTTAGTAGTCCCTGAATTTTGATCCGATTTGCATATAAGTACCTAAATTTCCAAATGGTTCCCATGGTCCTTTAACTTTAGTTTCGTTTGAACAAATGTACATGTCGTCAATTTTGTTAACTTTTTCTGTTAAATGCAAGGGCAAAATGGTATTTTTATATTAAAACAAAAAAAAATAACAATAAAATAAAATCAAATAAAAAACCAAAAAAGAAAAAGAAAAATCAAGTTTTGGGGAGTAGAAATCGAGATAGAGGGGGAGAGAGAGAGAGTTTAATTTTAATTTTTTATTCATATTTTAATAAATTTTGATACAAAAATACCATTTTGCCCTTGCACTTATCAGAAAAGTTAACAAAATTGACGGTAGGACCATTGTCTTAACGAAACTAAAGTTAAAGGACCACATGAACCATTTTGAAAATTGAGGTACTCAAATGCAAATTGGGTCTAAATTTATGAACTAATAAAACGATTAACCCTATATTATAATAAAATCCAAAAAATATCTCTCAAATAAACTTTTTATTTTTTTCACTAATGATTTGGCAACTCCAAGGTTCTGCTATTGCCACAATCCATTCATATGAAACAAAGTCACTTTATTTATTAAAAACATGTTTTATCCATATTCTTGAAAGAATCCAACTATACAAAAATATTAATGTGACTCCCTCTCCACTTGATCATTCTTCCACCTTTTTATTTCTCCTTTCCATATCAAACCTCCCCCACTTGATTTTGGACCGTTTGTTGTCCCATCCCAATCCCATCTAATCCAATCCAATCCAATCATTTCATGATCCCACAGCATCTTACGATGAACTCAGCCTCACCCAATCATCGAACCTTATAGTTTTATACATACATTTTGTGTATTTTAGTGCTTATTTGCTTGCACGTCCCTAATAAACTACTTAGCTGCCCATCTGTCAACATGACGATATTAAACACCCCCACAACCCCAACCCCATTCTATTTTCCCCTCAACACTCTTCCCCCCCTTCCCCAACCTCAGCCCCTACTTTCTCTTCTGCCAAACACTTCTTAATTTTCTCACTATTTTCCGGGAAAATCCACCCAAAAACCCTAGAATAATATAGCCAACAAAGTTGCTCTTGAGCCTCTTGATCCTATGGACCCACAATTCTACAGAATTTCCCCATTTGGGACTGACCCAGCAGACCCTGATCAGCCCATGACGTCAGAGAATGGTCCGGGCTCTCCCTCCTCAGGGGAGGAGACAAAGGTGGCCACTGCCCCATCACCCAAGAAAAGGTAATTAATTAACTAAGAAGGGTTTTTTTTTCCTTTCTTCTTTTGGGTTTTTTCTTTTGCAAAAAAAGGAAAAGAAATTTATAGGGTTGTTTATAATTTTAGAAATTAAATTGACCGTTATAATGGTTGGTTCTGTTGGTTTCTGTTTTAGGAGGGGAGTGCAGAAGAGGGTGGTGACAGTACCGATCGGTGACGTGGAGGGATCCAAGAGCAAAGGGGAGGGCCATCCACCGTCAGATTCTTGGGCTTGGAGGAAGTACGGCCAAAAGCCCATCAAAGGGTCTCCATATCCCAGGTATTTATTCAATTATTCTTCTTTATATTTTCTCAGTACAATTTTTTATAAAATTCAACCACTGTGAGATTTGAATTTAAAATTTTTCGAGACAAAAAAAAATATTACAGATGCAGTAATTTTAATCATTTAGTATGTGAATATCATATATTATATGGTTTAAATTCAAGATATTATATTTTTATAGTATTTTGAAAATCCTAAAAAATCCACTCAATTAATTTTTTTTTGTGGATGGAAAATGAAGAAAAATAAAATAATTGATGCATTGAGCTTCATAAATTTGGTGGTGGAATAGGCATGCAATTTTCTTGTATTCGCCGCCGGATGTTGTATTGATTATATATATATATATTTTTTATCAATGATGTATTGATTATTTAGTGTCTTTCATTTGCTGCACTGCGGCGTATTTTAGTCTATGAAGGCGGCTCTATTAAAATGCGCCTGCTGTCGTAGTAGGGAACACCGTCCACGCTCTCACCACATCTCGTGAAAAGCACGCTCTAGGACCCAGTTCAAAAATGACAGATTCTCTCTCACCCTTTCTCAAGATTTTAAGGTTAACTAAACCACAATATATAATGGGCTTTTCATGAATAGGTCCATTTTACAAGTATCCATATAGAGCCTATTTAGAGAAAAAAAAACTCAAAACTAGCCAAACTAGCCACTTGTCATTTTCTAATTGGTTCTTAGAAAATTTTAACACACTAAGAACCAATTAAAAAAAGACAAGTGGCTAGTTTTGGATTTTTCTCTTCAAATAGGCTCTATATAGGTATTTGTATAATATGTCATGCAAAAATAAGGTTTTCCCTAAAAACCTAATATATAATTGCCGTGGACTTTCATTTGGCAATAATTTACGGGAATATTGCTATTTGTACCATATTTATTGATCACATTGCTGACCACCTCTCTAATATAAGTGAGTCCCACATACAACGGTGTAGTCCACCTTTTTAGAGACAAGGTGGTCAATAAATGTGGTACAGATAGTAATATTGAACTTAGAGATGTAAAAAGATATTTTATATGAAAAAAATAAACTAAGAATATGAAGTTTTACTTTTATGCCAAGGGGGGTCTAGCCTAGTGGCAAATAGCCTTAATTTGTAGACAAATAGTCTCTAGTTTGAATCCTCATGGCAACATGGTAATGTTTGTGAGAAATCTCCCTCCCTATTCCTAAGCAAAAAGAGAAATGTTGCATGTCTCATTCTATTAAGAAAATATGAAGTTTGAGAAAGAACAATTGGTTTCTGAATATTTTCTAAATTTTAGAAGAATTTTCGCGAGCTATATATAGTTAGTAGATGCATCTTCCGTATAGCTTTTACATGTTTACATGTAAAGCGACCTCATTTTGAGATTTAAAAGTTAATTTAGGATTTAGGATTTAGTATGTATATTGAAAATATTGTGAACGTAATTTTTGGCACCACTGATATCTTTAGCTACCCACCCACATGAGGGTTTGAGACATGCTTAATGAGGCTTCACCTACTTGTAATGATGAACAGATTAAGACCACCTTGCTTACTTGATTTAGCTCATTATACTAGCAACTTAGTTACAAGCCCACTTTACAAGACTTTGGTAAACGACATTTTTTTTAACTCGAACGCCCTCATTCGAAAATAATATATGCTTCTTTCTTAATAAAAAATAAGTTTGCTCTCTTTCAAATGTGTTAAATGTGACTACAAATTTTTTATTGATGGCGTTTGTTTTAACTACTTGTTTGTTAATAATTTTATTTAATCCACATTTGGTATTTTTTGCAGGGGATATTATCGATGTAGTAGCTCCAAGGGTTGCCCGGCAAGGAAACAAGTGGAGAGAAGTCGTGTGGACCCCACAATGCTCTTGATCACCTATGCTTGTGAGCACAACCACCCCAAGCCCACCACCAAGCCACACCAAACCTCCACTGCCACGTCACCCAACGCCGAACCCGAACTTCCCGCCAAAACAGTCACACCCAATGATGAGGAGCTCACAATTTTTGCGAGCCAAGTTGACCTTGACCTTAGTGACGACTCGGCCACGTTGCTTAGCGCCTTCGGTTGGTTCAGTGATGTGGCATCGACAGCTGTTCTAGAAAGTCCGATTTGTGCGGGAAATAGTAGTTGCGTTGATTATGACATGGCAACGAGGTTGGGAGATGAGGAGGACGAGTATTTGTTCGCCGACCTGGGAGAGTTACCGGAGGGTTCAATGATTTTCCGACACAAGATGGTGGAATCGGACGAGCAGAACCGGAGATGTAGTTTAAGTGTAGTTCCTTGTTGTGATAGTAGATGATAAAAATTGTAGACATTGAATCAAATGGTTGAGAGTATAGGAACCACATTTTTTAATCACAAAGTGGGTAAGACAGTTGTTAGTTTACACATCAACTGTCGTATCACGTGGTAAAAAAATATGGTAACTCTAATATTTACTCGGTGTTTAATATCATTATTTGTTGATTGAATGGACCCTAAGAAGCTACAATTTTTCTTGTATAAAGTATGTTTCATAATTTTTTTTAAAATTTTTTTGGTATTGTTTTGTACAAATTTTTCTTGGACAAACGCAAAGAATAAAGAAGAGAAAAAAAAAAAATCGGAACATCATTTTCCCGCTGCCATGTTTATGATTATTAATTCACCTTGTACTTCTTGTAGTTTTGATATCATTGCCGACCAGATCTAAAGATAACATTCTTAAAATTTGATTGACATCATATAATAACACGAAAAACCTTGGACATTTGGAGTACGGCCTTTATTATTCTATTCTTTTTAAAAAAAATAATAATTTATTTTTATATTTAAATAATAAGAAAACATACTAGGGCATCTTCAATACTAATATCTTCGTCTTCGTCCACGCCAATCCATGGATAAGCACACTATAAGGATTTTGTTAAGATCATATACAACAATGAATGCCTCATGCGTCGACATGACTTATCGAAAGCCACTCACAGTCGACGTCGTCGTGGATCTTCGACACAACACCCTAATAATAAGAGTTTGTTGAGGTCAATCCCACAATCATAAGTCATTTCTAAGCGTTAATGAGACGCGGCCTTCATTTGCATTACATGCTGACCATCTGACTGTAACATATCCCTAATAATAATTGAAATTTGCTTTTGTTTGGTGGTTTTAGTTTTAGAAAAGGGTTCAAAGGAGCATGCTCAAAAGTTCTATAAGCCCAGGTCACCAATTGCAACTTGGAACTTTTTCGGGCCCATTATTAGTTTCCTCATGATTTTGCAAGAAAACCAATGGGGTGAATTTGCCAAAATACTATAACAAGCAAACAAATGTCACCTGGGGGCTACAAGTTACGTATACAGACCCTTGCCTAGTAGGCAATTTTTGCAAACAATATATCTGACATACTAGTTTCACTGCCGGTGATCATATACAAAGAGAAGGGGAAAAAAAACAAATAAAATAAAATAAAAACAGTAAAAAAACACCAGCAGAAAGAATTACCAAGTCTAGTTTGAGCAGCATCCAATTCTCTTAAAAACAGAACTATCATCTTTGACATTTATGGTCTGTCCTTTGGACGGAACAGCAGTAGCACTTCCGTTGTTGCCTGCCTCAACTGCCCTCTTGCTTACGACACGGTATATTTGAGTCAAGACTTCAGTAAATGCACTTTCTACATTGGTTGCTTCCAATGCAGAAGTTTCCATGAAGTAGAGGGACTCTCTTTCAGCAAAAGATTTACCATCCTCTTTTGAGACGGCCACCAGATGGCGAAGATCTGATTTGTTGCCAATGAGCATGACTACAATGTTGGGGTCGGTATGGTCCCTCAGCTCCTTCAACCACCTTGCTACATTCTCAAATGTGGCTCCCCGAGTTACATCATACACTAGCAAAGCACCCACGGCTCCTCGGTAGTATGCACTTGTAATGGCTCGATATCTATAAGAATAAGGAAATTAGTGGAAACTACAAAACAGCTGTTAATTTGATAAAAATCATTAATGTTAGAATTTTAAATACCAACTTGCAACTATAGCAGTATTCTCTAGCGGGGAATTGACCAGACAATTGATTTGATATAATTTCCAGTTGGACATGACACTCAATTTAGGTAGATTCCAACGGAGACAAAATATGGGCCTTTATGCACACGAAAATATTGCAGTCCAACTATTTGCAGCTTTGCAGGCAGAATGGAACTGGGATGAAAATCAAGCATTTATGCCATCTGATAACATTTTAGATACCAATACAACATCATGAATTGGTGAAAATAAAATGCCCTGATAACAGTTAGCTCCACTGAAAATTGAACATTCATGCAACTCATGTTCAAATGCCCTAAGGTTTAGTTATTGGCACAACAAATCATGGTAATTAGCATATACTGAACCACAAATTAGACAAAACATGCTATAGTCCCAGGCAGCATCAACGATAAGGCGGCGGCCAGCTGGTTTATCTGTCCCTCAGTGAACCTGGTGTTACCAAATGCAGTTAGTGTTGTTAGCCGTTCATGCTTTTCCTAAAAAATTATATTCTCCACACCAGGACTCAATAGGAATCAATCACTTACAGGCAGCTAACAAAAATAACAAACATGCATATGAAATGAACTAAAGCAGTAACTTGTGTATTTTGAGTACGGTTATATGAAAGTCAAAAGCATTTGGGAATGCTAATCAGGTAAACTATTGTTCTAACATGACAATTAACTCATAGGAGAGGAGTGTTGTCACAAAATGAAAGCGGTGGAGGAAAAAAAAAAAAAAAAAAAAAACAGTTTCATACTACAGCAGATGGCAAATACAAGTATTTACATGAACTAAACAGAAATAAATGGCTGTTAAGAGCACTGCAGAGGTTCATTACATTTTACCAACAAAACTCAAAATTGAAAGTTTTCAAAATTCCTTCTTTTACTCTCAGGATTGTTTGTAGGTAATGACTAAAAGTGCACTTTATCATATAACTTCAAATTCATTTCTAAAGACATTCAATATAAAGACAACATCAAGCCAGAAGGTCATTTTTCTATCAAATCAACAACTTGGATGCAAATGAGGGGACAGAGGAACACACCCCAGAGCACCTCCTCTAAAAAATATTTGGAACCTGAACATATTGCAAAAAATCAAATTCTTCAGGTGCATCTTTCTACAAAGAAGGCTTAAAACGAAACTGTGGATTGCAATATTTAATCCAAATATAGACCAGGCATGCCTCTTTTGTGGAGAGGTGGTGGAAAACATTGACTGCTAGTTGACATAATGTCCTGTTCTGAAAAGTGTCTAGATGCGTGTTGGCATGGTCTGCCAATACCCTAACACAAACTTACCTTTTCTCAATTGGGTTGAAGATACAGAGAACAAACAGATCACAAGCAGGGAATGACCCTAGTAATTTGTTGGAAAAACCGTCGGCCTTGTGCTGGGAGCTCACATGGTGTGCAACGTTATTCAAGAACCACAAGCCTAACCCTATTCAGGCCATTACTATTGCTACTAAATGTCTCACAGACTTCGCCTGAGATACAACATCTTACAAAAAGAACCCAAATAATCCCCTCCCACAAAGAGGATCAAATGGAAACCCCCAGAGGAGCACTTCATTAAACACAACTTAGATGCTCCAGTAAAGAATAGCAATCAAGTCAAATCTAGCTTTATCATCAAAAACTCTAATAAAACCCACTCTTTGCAGACACTAGAGACCTAGACTTTGGTTCTGTTCCAATGGCAGAATGCAAAGCCCTAAAGTGACTCCAAACTAGTAATTGACAGCACCACAAGCCAAATAAAAAAAAACAAGCCATAGCAGTTGCTGGTCATGAGAGATATACACTCAGCTTCCACATGGAGCACATAGAACTCCAACATGTTATCAAAGAGGCAAATGTGGTGGCAGACGTACTTGCTGAGTCTGCATACATCATGTTTCATGTACTGGACTTCCCTCTTCATCATCAACAGATCCAGCTTGGATCTTGTAGGTTGTGGGCACTATTCAGGTGAGTCTATTAATAACAAAAAAAAACGAAGAATTTTTTCTACTATGCTATGAATATAAAGAAGATTTTTTCAGAACAGGGTAAATTAAGAACAGCCCCTACATTCAAATCTCCTTTTCTCTGTTCAGTTTTTCTTTTGTCAAGCAATATCTACCTATTTTCTTTCTCCATTAATAACGATATTGTGATGGTGATCTGATTACCTTATCAAATTTTAACTCACCCTAGGACTTAATACTTTCCAGCCATCAAGTTGGCAAATTAAAGCTTTTAAGACTGGCTTAATAACAAATTACAATTAAGTAGCCATAATGGAGACAAATAAATGCTTCAACGATTCTTGAAAATTGAGATCAAACAATGAATAATTGAAAAACCTCCCCTCCATACACTGCCAACAAGCCAAGTAATAAAAAAGAACAAAGAACAGTCCATGTTAGGGATACACTTCCAAAGGACCAACTACTCAAATTTCCGAGTAATGAAATGAGAAAAAATAAGAAATGTGTCTTACAGCTTCTCACATGAAGAAAGTTGTATAATGAACAGACAATCTATGTTTCCTATGTATTACATCCAAAGCATGTTGAGACTTCAGGCCCTATTAAATGCGTGCTTCTCTGATCTTTAGTTCTACAATGATCATCTATTACCTATCTACATAATATTCCAACACAGCCTAATTAATATGCCTTGTTACTAAATCCCTAAATAACATGTGTTGGAGATGCATGTTTGTGCCTAACACCTATAACATACCCTCTATAGACAAACTATAGTGCTTTAGACGCATAGGGTCTAGAATGGCCTATCCATTTACACCACGATAAATCCTATTCTTTTTTCTTTATGCCAAACTATTATATAAAAAACTCGGAATAATTTACCTAATGAAACATTTCATCAGGGCGCACGTGACATCAAAGTGTAATATCTAATACATTTCAAACACTCTCATCTACATCACCAGAAAAATTGAGCACTTGAAAAAAGAAAATATCCATTTTGCCCTCCAGTACAGATAATGACAATAATAATAAAACTCAGAAATTTTAATCAAGGGCAGTCATGGTTTTTCTCTATAGCATCTAATTCTTGTCTTCTAAAAGAAGAGTAGATGATGTTTAAATCACTTAGTTTTCTCTATAGCCAATAGGAATGGTAACAATGCCTCCAACATGTTGCAACTTATTAACAAGCCAATTAAATGATTTTTCACCACATAAAATGCCATGTGAACATATAAGAAGGGTTAATATCAAATTTCATTTTGATGTAACATAATAGCTTGCTCAACCAATTCTGCATAGCAAAAGTATCCTTTCCCCAAGGATAATATCATGCCACACTAGGAGCACGATAGCATACAAAAGGACTGCAAAAGTCAAAGCATGCAAAACTTCACCAAGCCATTATATCTATTACAGATAAAATTTCAAAATGATTGCCTACGATTTAGGAAGACAAAGAAAAAAACATCAAAACCCCATGATTTTCAGAAACTATGGAAAAACCCTTTTGACAAAACCAAATGTTGTATTCGTTCTGTTTTCAGTACTAACATATACAAACCAATCTGCCTAAGGCTTCATATCCCTAAATATTTCAGCAGAAAGAAAGAACAGCTATCATAAATCATCAGAAGAATTTTAAAAGTAACAAACCGATGATATCTTATCTTCAGAAAGAATAACCCTCTAGAGCATACAATCCAACTCGAACCACAAATAGTAAAAATCAAAGTTTTTCCAATACTCTAGAGAAAACCCATGTCTAATCAGATAAAACGATCAAACCCCACATCACAAAAGCCAAAAATTTTGGCAATAAACAAAGGAAAAAGAAAAGCCATACCTCTCTTGGCCAGCAGTGTCCCAAATCTGAGCCTTAATGGTTTTTCCATCAACGTTCATAGTCTTGGTAGCAAACTCCACCCCAATAGTAGACTTGGACTCCAGATTAAACTCGTTCCTCGTGAACCTGGAAAGCAGGTTTGATTTTCCTACACCAGAATCACCAATCAAAACCAGCTTGAACAAGTAATCATAGTCATCATCAGCTTTGTACCCAGCCATATATGATATATACTTCTTACTGAGAGAGAGAGAGAGAGAGAGAGAGAGGAGAAATAGAGAGAAGGAAATAGAGAAAAAAGGAGCAAAGAGCAACGAGCATAAAGGACACAGCTTTTTTCTTGGTCTGGTCTAACAAGTGTTGAAAATTGGCGTAAGAGCAAATGGGGATATGGTGGTCTTAAAATTTTTCTTTTTTAGAAAAAGGCAAAGATTTGGTTTTTAATATATTGAAGGATTTTGTAGGTAAAGATTTTGAAATGGGAAATGATAGAGACTATTTTACTGGCCTGGCTGAAATCTAGGAAGAGAATAATAGCCGAAGACACGAGAATACGATAATGGCGCCACACAACTTTTCTAGTACGGACAGACGCACACAAAAACATTCTTAATTTTCTTACGCGGAAGCTACCCAAAAATCCAAAATGTTGGAATTTGCAAATGAAAGAAGGCGGGAACATGTGTTATGGTTACTTGTTAAAATCAAATTGGGAACTGCAGTGGTGAAATTAGGATTCCATATGTAGATAGAGAGGCTATAACAAAAGAGGGTTCAGATCACATATCCTTAAAATTGGGGAAATTTTAAGTGTTTTGGATATTTTTTTTTAAAGTGAGGAAATTAAGGGTTTTAGGATTTCATTTGTTTTGAGTGGTTTGGTTTTTTTTGGGTGAGATTTTGAGGTTGGGCTTGTTTTAAGAAAATTGATGGCAGTTTTGTAAATTATAGGAAGTTCAAAGCCTCTTTGTTATATTGTAAACGAGCTTTAGGTGTATTTCTAAAGTCTATTTCATATAGTTTTTTTAATATATAATTTGAACTTCTATATTTGGCATAGTAACGAAACACCCAAATTTTAATGCCTAGCCTCAATTATTGAATAGCCAACTCCCATATAACAAAATTTACAGCATTTTAACTCCTCAACAGCAACAGTAGGAATTTTATTTGCAAAACCGGCATGCTTTTAAACGTGTTTTTATTGGTCTAACTTCTTAGAGAGGCAGCCAACATTATATAAACTTTATAGAAGAGCAGCAACATTCGAACAATTTTCTCACTCCTCCACATTGTGCTTACTCCTCCGCATTGTTCTTTCAAGTTTTAGTTTATCTCAAGGGAAAAATTCAAGTTCTTCATCTGAGTCAAGTGTTGCGAGTGTTTACTACGACATTGTTCTGAAAGGGTGAAAGTTACTTTTAAAAATAGTGATCACACATGCCTCCATATTGGGTGAGTTCAAATCAAAGAATTTTTTATTTGATAATTGAAGGATTTTTTATTGGGTGAGTTCAAATCAAAGAATTTTTTTGGTTTATTTTATTTTATTTTAATTCATTTTTCTCTTATATGAATAATAACATATTTTTAATAATTAAATAATACAAAACTCAATCAAAATAAATTAAATACAATTATTCTGATGAACAAAATGTTTGTTATGCTTAATATATTTAGCTTGATATGTATATTTGTGACTCTGATCAGATAATCTGATAATAACAAAAATTTGGATCATAATACCTTATAGTGACAAAAACTCTAGTAAGATGACTTGACAATGACAAAACTCAGTTGTTTATGTTGCTCATTATCTTCCTCTTTAGTTTTCTTCTCCTCACTTCTATTTTGGGTCATCCATGTAATTATATATTGAGGTAAATATGTGAGTGACAGCGATAGATTCATTATATTTCTCCATCATATTGATTGCCTTCCCATATAGGTAGCTAGCTAGGGTTCCCAACATAGCAAAGTAGAAAACGAAAGGTGAAAATCTATAAAAATAAAATGAATTGTAAAAGATAGTTTATGAATAAATGAAAAGAAAAGGGTGAGAGAAGCTTCAAATCAAGAGGATTGAAAAAATGACTCAGAGAGTTGTTTCTCTTCATCTTTCAATCTTGGGCCTTACAAGGCCCACTTGAATTTGGCACGAAACAATCTCCCTGGTTCAATTCCGCCATCCATAAGCAATCTCTCTTCCATCCTCACTAATTTGAATCTAGGTACAAATAGTCTCAAATTCAAGACGTCAAGCTTTGTCAGATTGCCAATATGAGGGCTTATCTTATGGACCCTATGGGCATGTTTGGTAGGCCTCACTAACCTGGACTGGACAAAATAATATTTGAAATCCATGTTTGATTTGAGGATGGACTAACTTAAATGAGACTATATAGTCCAACGGGGAAAAAAACGGCTCGCTCGCCCTTCAAATATAGTGATGCTGAAAATTGGTTCACAAAATAGCGCTCTCGCTGAATAGAACAAGCGAGTCCGACATAGTGCAAACCAGTTTCTTCTTCTTCTTCACATGCGTCGTGATATCTTGGTGCAACGTGTATCGACTCTGCCACACAATTCTGCCATTGACCTTCACAACAGATTTGATTGCAGGAGTGATAAGCAATTGAAATATTTCTCTATTCTGAGGGCGCCATCCATGTGAGTCTTGAATCATAACATTACAATAGTGATCACGTTTACAAACAAAGACCAAAACATGAAACCTAATACACATAGCAAAGACCAAAACATGAATCATAAGCTCAGAGAAGAAGAAAAATATCTTATTGATTTCTTACCGATCAATATGAGAGTAACTAAAACAATGGCAATGGGAAACTTCAACACTAAAAGAGAAAATTGTACATGTACTTGCAGGATGGAACTAGATAATCTTTTATAGCCTAGCCTCATCGTTATGGCATCGCATTCACTAAGCTAAGTGTTGGAGTGTCGGACACTCGGACACTTTGTCCAACAGTCAACGCCGCGTTCACAGTCAAGACATTCTCTGGACACGGGTTAACTCATACTCACGGTCAACTAATGTGTTAGTTCAATTATAATTCGTATAAAATTAATAAACTACATTTGAAAGGTAAAGGACTTTCAGGCCAGTGGGACATTTTGCTAAGGTTGTCATGATTTTTTTTTACACCCAATTATGCTCTCAAATGTCATGATATATTTTGGATAATTTGTTTACCCAATCTACCATGAAAAGTAATAACTCATTTCTAAGCCTCCAACCATTTTGAGTCTTGTAAAAGTATACAGAGTCGGAATTTAAGAAGCTGCTACATTTTCATACTGACGATAGTTCATCTTTTGTTGAGCCAAAACAAAAGATATTATCACCTAGACTTGATCTGAGTAAGAAATTTGTCATGTTACCACAAAAGAAAGGGCCTGCCTGCTTGCTGCCACTGATGTTTTCTCATCTAACGAAACAACAAGAAATCTAAGATGCATCATTGATTTCCATATAAAAGAAAGAAAAAAAAATCTCCATAAAAATAATGCCTCCCTCTCAACTGCACATTGCAATGCCCTTGATAACATTACAAAACAACAACGATTTAACCATTCATAAACTGATTCATTCATGACATGACATGAGGCATAACAGTACAGCTGCAGCACCATGATCGATCGTTGATGACTTCTTTTTATTTAGACGTAATAATATTAGCATCAACTGATCAACATCTTTCTGGAGCAAATGACAACTTGGATGCCCCAACATCATATACAAATCTGTGGTTGAACTGCTGGAATGCTCAGCTGGAGTAGGACGCTGGAGGGATCATCCCTCCCCAACCCCAGAATTCCAGACATTGGATTGGCATGCTGGGCATCTCCGGCGAAACCAGGGATGCGGTTGATGATACCGCAGCCAAATGCCACATTATGGATTTGTGTTTGCCGCAGCTGCTGCCCAACTTGGTCGTTCAGAGTCGTGGTGAAGTAGAAGGTGTCGAGGCCGAAGTCACCTGTAGTGACCTGGTTTCCGAGGTATTCAATCCCGTACTTGCATAAATTTCCCATCGGAGCAGGACATGTACCGTGACAGAGTGGATGGTCGGAGGGCATAGGCTGGAAAGTGAGCGAACTGTTGGGGTCGAAATTGGGCAACGAAACTTGGAAGCACTCCGTACAGTGGGCAGACTGGACCCATGTGGGACTGCTGCCGGTGTCAAAGGCCAGGTTGAATTTCACGGGCGGAGTTCCGACATACAGGTGGCGCAGAAGCAGAAGCTTTGTTGGGGATATTGGGAAAGGGGAAGGGGAAGGGATGGTGTTTGGTTTTGAGAGTCAAGGCATGAGATTGATGATCATAGCCTTGTGTTCCGAGGAACACCAACAAGGTGACAAGTAGGATGCTGTTCATGCTGCTCAAACAGAGAAAAGATGAAACAATTTTCACTGCAGCACAGGATAGCACATATATTTTCTGATACATTTATAGAAGGAATACAGCAAAAGGGATCACCTAGTCTATTGAGTTAGTAATTAAGGAAGGATTTCACATGCTAGCTGTTTGTTTTATCGTTTTAATTCTGGATGAAATTTAGAGATTCATTTTCACATGTCTTTCCTTGACCCTTTCTCACTCCTCTTTTCATTTTGAGTTTGAGTTCGAGTTTTCTGTTTCATTTCATTTTCATAGTTGCTCGTTTTGACTATTCCAATTTCCCTCGGTGGTAATCTTTTAGGCTAGCCTAGCCGCAATTAAACCATAATTAAGCGCTTCTGAAAAAATTCATTTGTCTAGTCTAGTCTATAGATTCACTTCATAGGTCTTTACATTTGGGTCTAGACTAGAAGGGTATCCAAGGTAGAGGTGTATTGAATTTGAGGGGGATAAGCTGTTGCCTTGCGTTGCGTTGCGGGTGTGTTTAGGAAATGCATCGAGTGTTGCCTTTTTTATTAACTCAATACACTCTTAGCAAGCACAAAGCAACAGAACACACAAAGTGAAGAAACAGAGCAAGGAAAAGTTATATCTCTTTTCTGTTTTGATAAATGTGCATTGATCCATCAACATTCACATTGCATTGATCTATCAGATTCAACACAAGAGGCAACCAACCCCCATCCGATCTGATGATTGAAGCAAATAAAAGAATCTATACAAAAATTACATTGTAGAACGAGATCGTCACAACATACGGTACACTACCTTTCATAAGCTAAAACCTCAAAAATAAATAAATAAATAATAATCACATGCTGATTTGAAGTCATGCATCAGTTGGCCTTTATCAGGATATACACAACTCACAATTTATTTCACTAATTGCTCCACTATATATCTTCTCATTGCCACCGAGTGTTGTTCCGTTCCGTTGGTGAGCTGGGAACAAAGGGAACAAAACCCCGGCCGCCAAACACTGGACGCATGAAGGCGTTATCAAACTTACGCCAATAGCGGTGGACAGTGTGTGTTGGAGTTGTCAGAAGATCACGTATTCTGGCCGGCCGCCGAACCTCTTGGCTACCCAGATCACCTTCAGAATCCTGCCCAAGAAGTGGAGCAATGATTGATTTTCAGGAAGCCATACTTGGTTGTGACTCTCGAACTCTCAGTCACATTATGCCAGTGTAATGGGACATCACAATCCCACAAAAGAATACAGTGAGAATGCCACTCAAATAGAATAACTGCAACACACATCAAACATATCACTATTATAGTTATTTAGGATCTTCTTTTTCTAGTCAGTTTGTCCTTTTTGTAATGATTGCGATGTCATTTTCCTTTCTTTTTCCTTGTAACATTATCTGGCTTTAAGTAGTATGTTGCATTATAGTTCCGATTATCTGTTATGTTGTCTGGCTTTTAAGTACTATATGTTTGTTTAGATGCGGCTTTAAGCTTTAAGAAACTTGTTTGACTCGCAGAAACTTGCTCATCGGTTCTGAACAAGTTTAATAGAGGCAGATTAGAAAACGAAGTGTTGAGCTCTTGCATATATAAGTTTAAAAAGTCAAGTAAAAGACTTAAATTTATGAGTCGTGTGTACATAGGATGTCTAGAAGAGATGAAGCACCTAGCTGAATTGAGAAACGCTCATTTATTATTTATTTTATTTTTTTAATTAATGGGAGGTTGGGAATTCGAATTTGAGGACGTCTTTCAACATTAAAAAGAGAAATACCATTAAATAAAGAGATAGTTGGTTTCTATTCCAACATGACTAGATGAATTGTTAGTGTTTGGTTGCTTCTGAAAGCAAATTTCCACCATAACTTATTCTCCCACATCGAAAGAGTACATAAATAAAAGGGTCACGTGTGTGTATAAAATGCATCCAAAACACAATGGGAAACCTATCTTTGCGCTTGGGGCAATGACGCAGCTAATGAGGTTCTAACCGAGGCGCGTCTATTGCTGGTTGAAAACTATTTCCAAACCCCCTCTTAGGCCTTGGCTCAGCCTTGTGCCTTCGAGAATTTCTGCAAGGGCTCCCTTCGGGGTAAAGCCCTACAAATTCCAGTTTTAAGTGTTTTTGCCCTAATTTACCCTCTAATTCCACTTGTGTGCCTCTTATTACTTTTAACAATTGTGATATTGAACTTAGAAATCAAATGCAATATGGTAATTGTATATTATCATCCAAATATACCCTTGTCACATTTTCTTTTTATCAACATGGTAGGAGGAATTTTGAACTTTGAATTTTGTCAATAATAAGAATAATAAGAAGAAAAATATCAGTAAATAAAGAGCTAATTGGTTACTCTATCACGTTGTGAGAACTATCTAGATAATATGATTTCACTGGATCAATTTTAGCCATATTTAAGGCCGAAAGGCCTACAAATTTAGCATTAATGGGGACCATGTAGCAAGGTTCATTTGTATAAAGGCCTACAAATTTAGCATTAAGGGGGACCATGTAGCAAGGTTCTAAGTTATACAAATGGTTGTTAAAATATCCAAATCAATATTTATGTTTTTATATTTTATGAATATCCTAGTTAATATTACACGTGCCACTAACCATTACTAGTTCTAAAAGGAACCTAGTTAAAATTACATTCTCCAGAAAAGAAAATTTGTCAAACTTTCAGCTTCAAAATCCAAGTACTTGAAATGAACCATATTTTGCACTGGTGTTTTTACTAGAGTAAATATTCATTGCTGTCCCTTTGGCCCTTGTCCCAAAAATAAAAAATTCACTGCTATCCCACATCGGTGAAGTCCAAGTTACTCTTTCTACATCAAAGGGTTTTGTTGAACCAAACAAAATATCAAGGGGGTTTCACTACTAGAGCATTTACAACGAGCTCTTTAAATTATATTTTTAGACAAATTTTAGAGCGGATCTGGAAAAATACAACTCCAGGAGCTCCTAAATCTGCTGAAAGAGAAAAGAATCCTAGTAGCTCCCTATAATTTAATACTGCTTTATCTTATGAGTATTTTAAACATTTAATTAATGGTAACTATTATATATATATATTTTATAGAGGTGGACTATTTAAAAAAGAGTTATAGCTTTCAGAATTACCTAAACTCGAGAGTATGATTGGATTTAAAATTTTATAGAAAGCTCTTAAAATAGCTTTCATTTATTCTTAGCTAAATTTTAACTTAAAAATAAAGAGCATGATTGTAATATCTCCCAAAACACACAATCATTTCAATAATTTCCTTTTTTCTTTTTTTAATTTTTAATTTTTCGGTTACAACAATCATTTTGAGTTTTCACAGCTCATTTCCAATGACGTCAAGCTGTCCCTGCCAAAAGTCGCCACTTAAAGCCCCGCCTTCTACGCAAAATTGTCGCCCACTTGCCACGTGTCGCTTCCAAGTGCCCAGCGTCCTATCTGTCAATCCAAGTCAGCACCTAAATCGCGCCCCTGATTGGTCAGTCCGTACGCACCAAAGCCCGAGGCGTTTTCACGCGCTTAGACTCCTCCTCGTCTTACTTGTCCAGTTCTCACAGCTCACGTGTTGAACGTGTGTCTAGTCGCCGCGTGAGGCCAGCTGGCTGACCTTATCCAATTTCTTATAAAGCGCTGATAAATTCACCAGCAGAGTACACCATACCGTCACCGGCGTCTTGTTTTATTGGCTCAGCTCAACGCTTTCACGTGCAAGTCTCCACTGTCATTGGCTCTTGGCGTGGGGTGCCTGGTGCTCGTATAATTTCTCTTGAATTTGTTCCACGTTTACATGAAAGGCAAGTTAATCTTTTCATTAAGTTTTTGCCTAATTAATCTCTAACACACCATTCCCTGAATAATGATAGCCCTAATTTGCCCAATTCGGGAAAGAAAATTGTAGATGTCAAACAATGATATATGTAAATACATTGAAACCCTAGACTTCCAACATCAAACTGCACCAAAATAAAGCGTCATTTCTTATTGCTTTTTAACACACAGGTCAGTTTCAATCTTCTTCTATAATCATGATCTCTTTATCATTTCTCAAGATTAAGGTTTTTGAAGAATTGGGTTATTGTTTTTGTGCCCTTGCAGTATCTGGGTATGGTTTGTATTTCATATTTTTCGTGGTTGAGTGTCAATAGATAGCATTTTGGTTTTGGTTTTGGGGGGGTGCTCTGTTTTTTGTGTTCATGAGAATTTTGTACAATGTGGCTCTGGCTGCCACAGATCTGAATGTGGTATCTAAGTGTACCTGTTTTTGGTTGCTCTGTTACATTTTGTGGAAAAGCTGGGTTCTTGAGATCATTCTGTGGTATAAGTTAACCCACTTAGAGGGAAAAAGAATCTTGGGCTTTTTGCATCTGTAAGATTAGAATATGTGTTGGATATGTCAGTAGTTTCTGTTGTTTTCAGAATGAGAATCTTTGTTCTTTCGGTTTCTTTAGTTCTGTGTTTGATTTTCACTGCATTGAACCATGTATGGCTCTGGCTGATTCTTCTTGTTATATTATGTTTTTTTATGGAACGTTTTACCTTTCGTTTTTCTATGTGTTATGTACTTTTGGAATTTATAATATGTAGGATTGGATTAGGATTTTTGTGTTTTTGTGTTTTTGTCACTGAAGTGAAATTGATGGGCTATATGCAGATTGTGTGATTTTGCTATTTTGAGTGGAAAAGAGTCTTGTGAG